GGATGAAATCACCCTGTTTAGATATCTCTCTCATTTTAATACGACTTTCTCGAAGAAGTTAAGAATGGATACGTGTTTTCATCTAAATACGAATCGCGTATGAAAACATTTAACTCTCCTCACGTTGTAGTCATGATGAACGAATTACCAGATAAAACGAAACTTTCCGAGGATCGATATAATATTATTGAATTAAATGAGGACCTATATAACACTCTTAAATTAAATTAATTATCGTTTTGTTACGACGCCGCCTTGATGGTTCGCATGCGTTTCTTTTGTTGAATACCCGTTAATGTAGACGGGTACACTTGATGTGATGCCGACATAAATTGTGCCACGTCAGAGTTCGCTCTGTAATTGAACTCGTAATTACCATAAAAGTCTATAAGCATATGTGTATGAGCAGATCCCTTAATATCTAGTAGGATCATGTCAAAGGACTTGTCGTAAAATTGGTCTTGCACGGCCGGATCAAAAATATTATTTCTTTTGTCATCGAACTCCCGCCAAGGGTGCGTTTGATCTTCTGTAGCTAGAATGAAGTCTTTCCGGATCAAGTCTTTGATACGACCAGAGCTGAATGAATTGTCATTTGGCCACGACGCGAAACCTGGTACGTCTGGCAAGATTGGAATCATACCTCCGTCAACAAGGACAGATTTGTCGTTGTGACATTGCTTTAGCCTAATAGCCTTCCAGTACCCGTCGTTTTGTTCGTCGTTGTTTACTGTCCTGACTTTCATTCCACATGATACCATCCGCCATGATTCCAACGTAGACGGTAGATTAGTGATTGGAATAGCGAAATCTGGATCTGGTACGGCTAGGTCGGGTATAGATACAATAGCTCCTCCTGAAATTGTCATCCCAGTGTTAAGTACGCCTGAACCAAGTGGTCTAGTTGCGGTCCGGATTGCATTCGGATCCAAAGTTGATATTTTATCCCAAATCGGTATGTTAGTAGTACCTGTTGCATTAATGATACCAAAAGTACTAAACCCAGGTAAAAGCAAAACCTGGATGTGAGGGTTAGTCACGTCTAGCTGAGCGCGATAGCTAACCCCAAGAGTCATGTTTCGTGACCCATCAGGGATTTTGGGATGTTGAGTCTTGAGAGACATAGGGTTCATGTAAACCGCTAATTCCCGCATAGGTTGACTCGTGACATAACGAGACGATTTGGATCTTCTGGATCCGTATCGTTTACCCCCCCTTTCTCTGTTTCCATATTTTGGAGTCGACTTCGAACGGCGACCTCCCTTTTTTGATCTAGATTTACCTTTTGCCATTGCCAAAAATGAGTAGTTTAATTTATGACCATGATCACATTGGTGACATCCGTGGTCTTATATTGTTGGAAGGAAACAAAGGCTGGTGCGGGTCTGCCCTTGCTACATCACCTGAGTTTCTTCCCGAATGGTATTGGCACGAACGTATATCTTGGATGTGGTGGGTATCCCCCAGGTGGTACAATCCAATCGAGATGGAATTGGCTCTTGACATCGCCGATCGTTACATGATGGCTGAACCCGACATCACCTACCATTGCTGCGCCATGAAACCTATTTTCTTGGTTTCGTACTGGATCGCAACAAAATTCTCTTCTGGGCAGTACGAAACCACAAAAGCCGAAAACCAAGCATTGTCTCTCGAACAGATTTTGAAATCAATCCCCGAGATGTCAAGTCAGACGATTAAACAATTGGAAATGCACATTCTCAATGTGATTGACTGGAAGGTCACTGTCCCTACTACTGTTGCCTTCGTGGACGCTTTTTTCGGATACATCATTGCTCATTTCACCAGTCCTTTCTTTCAACACGCCAAAGCCACTGCGGTTCGCATCGCTGAGATCGTAACCGTGGACAATCGATTGGCTCGCGTAAAGCGGTCTGTTATTGCTACTGCCTGTATTGAACATGCATATCATTTGGCAAAAGTATCTTTCAGACTCGACGCCGCATTGTTTTACGAAGGGGCAACGGGAGTTGAACTGGACGACAGTCTATATCACCGCGTTTATTTGGTCATTGGTGATCTATTGTACCCCCGTGGACGTAAGTAGATCGCCTGGGATAACAACGAGTCGGTTGCGAAAGATCTGTTCCAATGACACGAAAGATCCAAAAAAATGAACAATGACAATCCTGTTGACAAACATATTGGCTCACAAAAAGTTCAGTTAAGAGTTATAAAACAAAAGCACACACCATGGAACCCATTACTACTTTCTTCAACCGCACTTGCACCGACGTCCGCCTTTTGGTTTTCGATCAGATCGTCTCTTCCACCTACGAGCTTCGTAAGGTATGCGCACGTGAGTATGTGTACGATGAAGCCACGAAGATTTTGAGTTCAATGACGGAACGTGCCGGTGGTCGCATCCCCCAACGCAACAAGTTCACCAAGATTCAAATCGACCGTGTTTTTGGCCTCATCGAAAGGACCGTTTTCTCCACGAAGATGACGTCGATTCTATGTCGGGTCTCTTGGACGATTACAACGTGCTTGTCCGCGACATGGTTGACGCAAGTATGCAGTACCGCAAGATTTATCAGCATGTTGTCGTTGTGACGGCTTGTATTGCTCGTTTGGCTCAAGTTACCTATGACAGGCGTTCCGTTATGAGGAGCGTTTTGAACGAAAGTGGCACAAAATCGCGTCACCGTCTCTTGGAGGCTATCGAAGAAGAAGACAATCGCGTTGATGGACTCTCGGCTGACTTTGCGGCTGTTGTTGGTGTCACTTCAGCTAGTGTTGCCGTCGACTCTGTTGTTGCCGAGATGCCTCCTTCTGAAGTCGTTGTCACTAGGTCTTCTGATTATCAGACACCCCCCGCTCCTGCCGGTCCCGTTGGTATTAAACGCGAATACCCCGAAGATCTTTTCTTACCTGATCTCGATGAAACCTCCGCGCGCAAATTGAAGTTCCGTAAAATCTGAAACGTGTGTCAGTCACACTCGTGAAAACTTTAATTAAGAATAACGTCATAAAAATGTCAAGTGAAAACTCGCTGCTTGTAGTGCTCACCATCATTACCCCCATTATTGCTTTTAGTGACGCTCTGGTTACTGCTTGGGTACATTTAAATCAAATACGAATAGAGAAAAAACAAGATGAAAAGCTTCATTTCATTGGTACTGATGTTACTGCTTCACTCCGTAACAGCACAGCACCATATACCTATTCGTCAACGACTAATAACACAATGGAACCCAGTGAACTCGACGTGTAAGTCCAAGTCCAAATCCAAGAATCATACATCTAGCTGTTCTAAGTCGTCTAGTAAGTCTTCTAGTAAGAAAACAAACACGACATGTTCCAATAAGAAAATGAAAATGACTATGGACAATGTACGTCGAATTTAAAATTAACAATTATAATAATGTGTGTTTTTGAATAAATACCGTCGCAAATCAACCGGTAGGTCTCAGGAAGAGGGAATTCATTTTTGTTGATGACAAAAAAACATTCATTTTCAGAAACGACTCTTCGATTGAATCTCATTTCATTCTTGCGGGCCAACCCACATTTAAGATCTCGTAGAAGTCCATCTCTGTCGAACTTTTTGTTTTTTGGGAAGGATTTAAGAAACCGGAAGACAACACGTACCACTTGTTTCAGCTTTCGTAATTGCCTTATCTCCTTGTAGTCCAATTTAGGAACAGGGTCGATAGATACAATTTGATCCCAATGTTCCATGAACTTACTGAAGACCACTACAGGGTCATCCCGTGGTTGAACCAACGACAAAAAGACACGCGCATCAACACGTGTCCCGAAGAGCTCCTGTTGTGGACTTATTGCAACCACTCTTGCAACGGTAGTCCTTACCGGATCACACTGACGCTCTCCACGACAAAGTTGTTTCAGTCTGTCGAATTCATTTCGATCCAATCCTACCTTGAATCGATCCTCCAAGCTTTTGAGTAAAATGCTGCCATACCCATGGTCGGCACATTCATAGATCAATTCATCCCAACGTCTGAGAAGACCCACACAAACATATTATTTGACGCTGATATCAACATCACCATGGAATAACACCGAACTGATTTTGTTGCCGAGAGTAACACAATCCATATCTTCAAACGTAGGGATTTTCACTTCAGGGAAGACCCCGTTTGTGTCCTTCCATCCAGACATCCAAGTCGCGCCATTCAGAAGATAAGATTCGTGATATTGACAATAGTACTTTCTATTGTCACTCGTGGGAGCGTGACCCGCGAATAAATTCGCTTCCAGCTTCATTGATTTACTATCAAGAAAATACTGCCCAGTCTGTTTACCGAAATGGGATGTTCCCAGCTTTGTTGTTTCGAATGGTTTCGGTGGGAACACAGTCGAAACAGTTTTCAGAGTTTTTTCGTACAGATCTGCTGCTCCAGATTTCTTAACTCCTGTCAACTTTGAAAACATCGGTGCAATTGTCTTCGCCCCGGCTGGTAGTATCATCATAGCAATTCCAATAGCAACAACCGGGCCCAAAAGCACATTTCGTGTACCAGGTACAACAGGCCATTGGCCTTTACCGCTTCCTTTCTGTCGATCAAGGAAACACAACAACGTCGAGTACGTTTTTCCGCTGTAGTGTTGCTTCAACTCAAAATCACTTAACAACATCAGTGACGTTTCCGAGACACGACTATTCAAATGTATCGTCATGATCAAAAGGATGTACAGTTGTATGCTCTCCGGTTGGTTTAACCATAAACATCTTCGACTGATCCATAAAACTTCGTCCATTGTGTAGCTACAACGTTTTTTCGTTTTCTTCACGTGGGCGTCTCTTGTTGTCAATTTTTTTCGTAGATTCGACAACGCAGCCTTGTAAGCTTCAAACACCGTATGATGTGAAACTAATCTTTGTTGTAGACTACACTTGGCTGTTGTAAAGTAACGCTCTGCCGTTGCTGGTGAGTAGAACGTCCCATCAGTTTTCTTACGAGAAACCCAATAATCTACTAACTCGCTCCAGAAACCCAACCACCATTTTCGGATGTCCACAACATCACTATCGTCGGGAAGACCCCCCGACGACCGGAGATCTTCAAACTTTGCAGGTCGAAGGTCGTACCTCGACTGAAAACCATCCAAGAACTCTTGCGTTATATTTCTTGCACTGTTATATTTAGATTGGCATGACGCTGATCTTAGATTTTCGATCTTCCAGTCGACGCTTTCGAACAGTTTAGACGCCATTGCAAAATGAGCATAGCATTGTTTTGTCATTGTTTCGTAGTTCGATGTGGATCTTTCGTGTCATTGTCATTGTTTTACTGCCTCTGAGGAGTGCATCGATTCTTCTTATACGGCTCGCTCGCATGATTCCCAGTCACACGTGTCTGTCTTGGGGATCGCCTTTTATTTGAAACCCCATGTTGTTCCTCAGTTGTGGTTTCGATTACGACTCGTTGAATCACGATAAATCGACCTCCAACCGACCTCAAAAGAGGTTGTCCCTATGGAAAGTTTTTAATAAAAAAAATCAATGCAACTGGAATATTGTTTCTCGCTGACCACTGCTATTACGATTTTCTAGGGTACAGCCAATGAATCCACATACTACATGTAGCTAGCTAGCTGCTAGCTAGGCTCAGCCCTAAAACGGTACGTTGAACGTATCGAAACGAATTGTAGCGTGAAACAGCTGCTTCTTCCCCTCGGTAGGATTGAAGTGAGAGCAGCAAAGAAAAGTCTTGCCATACATGCTACTGGTGTACCATGAAACGGAATGCAAACTCAGGCATGGCTCGTTCAACTGCAATTCATTGCTCTTGCAGCCGGGCATGGCACAAGAATCTTCCAAGCCTCCCAACCAACCAATTCAACCATGCCGATATCAATCATGTAAACCAATCAATCAATCAATCCGATCCAACCTTCCCCTCAATAAAGTGCTGTTTCTTTTTTTAAGATTGATTCTGTTTCTTGCTAGCCTTTGTTTTCTCAATTCGCCGCCTCTTGTGTCGTTTGTTACGCTGTTTGGCAATTTCAATTCGTTTGGGGTTGTTCCATGGCATGTCTTGCATGGATCGTGCAGCACCTCCCCGTGTTTCCACACGCTTGCCCAACGTGGGTTGTCCTTGCCTGTCCTTTTCCAAAACACCGTCCGGCATGGGAATGCTGGATGTTTGGGCCAATTCTTGGAGTTTGCGCAGAGCACTTGGCATTGTTGTGGTTGTTGTGGGTACAAATAATGCAGCAGGGTTTGAAGCATCTGTGGAGGGCTGTTGTTGACAATAGAGTTGCAGGTAGGATGGATCTTTCATTGTGACAATGAGTTGCTGGGTATTCTTCTTGTCAACCTCATCATCATTGTTGTTTTGGACAAAAGCAATGGCCAAAGGCTGGTCCTTGCATTCAATGGATTGTGTCAAACAGAGCTGGAATGATGATTCTTCTCCATCATTGTTGTTATTGTTGCCCTTGGACTGTACAATTTGCAGGATATCCAACTGCTTGCTTTGATCGTAAATGACAGCAATGTCCTTTCCATTCGGACTGACAGCCACCCTGGAAGGAATTCTGTGGCTAGTGCTGCCCTGTTCTTGTGAATTGTCATTTTCTTCTTTTGCCTGCTCCGCCTCGTCGTCATTGGTCGCAGTGTTGTCATTTTCTTTGTCCCTTTTGGCATCTTCTGTGGTGCCATCCTTGTCCTCACCATCAGGATCTTGTTTCGCAGCACCATCCGTTGGTTCCTCCATTTCATGATTGTCACTGCCATCCTTGTTACCCTCTTGGGGAGATGGAGATGTGCTGGCCAATTGTTTCATAGCTTGGTAGTCCCACAAACGCACCGTACCATCCCCACTACAGCTTACACAGTGGTGGTTGCTACCTGCAGCAGATGAATTGGAGGAGGGAACCATATCCATGGAAGAAACATAGGCGGAATGCCCGAGTAGGAATCCCTGAATGATTGTTGTTTGGGGAAACGAACTGACTCGAATTTTTTCATCTCGGTCGGATGTCAAGAGCACCTTGTTGTTTTTGTTTTTGCTAGATGATGATGATGATGATACATGAACCCCCGTCAACATGGATGCCGTATGGCCCAATAACAATCGCGGTTTCTCTTTCTTGTCAGTGTCGGAGTGGAGTGGCCAAGCCCAAGAATCTCCCGTCAAATCACCCGTGACGAGCACGAGCATTCCACCATCCTTACTTTGGCTGTTGCTGGGAACACTGGCAAAGGCAATGCACGCCACCCTCTTGGGACACGAATGGACGGTTGTGGGTGTCGCTGTTTCTATTTTGTCGTTCTCGCTTGTTGTGGTGTTGGTGGTGGTGCTACTACTACATGTATACTGGTAAATCGCCAACGTCTTGTCCAAGCGAGACACAGCACACCAAAAATGGTCACTGCCGTTTTCGTGAACCTGATGGACCGCCACGGCTTGAATGGGATTCTCATCGTTCTCATTCTCATCCTGACTGGTCTTGTCCTTGTCCTTCTTGTTCTTTGTGGAGTTGTCCTTACTATTGTTATCCTTGTCCTTGGTCAGCACCAGTTCCACCAACCTGTTTTTGGACGAGACCACCAAAAAGGCACGGTCGTTCAACGCCAACAAAATGCCGCCTCCGGGGCAACAATCCACCAGCTGCTTCATTATTATATTGCTACCGTAATAAGGTAGAACAATCGACTCGTTCTAGACTAGACTAGCTATTTTAAAGCGAGCTGTGGTCTACTAGCTAGCCAGACAACGAAATCAGGAGGACGAAAAAGTGCTGCGTCCATCGATCGTCAAGGCTTTTGCCAAAAAACATCAATGGATCCGTTTGCTTCCACGTGGAAGTCAAACATAGAGACAACACGGGAGGCCAGACAGACGTCCGCGCGACTGGAACAAGAACATTAACTGCCTTGGTGCGACTTGCTTGGGATAATACTGAGCAGGAAAGGACGGATCTTGGTTTCATTGTTGCTCGAGATCCAGCATAGAGCCAGTCACCGTCGCAGCTTGTCGATCGACCTTTTTCCATGGATCTGCCACAACAAAACGACCACAACAGCAAAAACACACCCAGAACATTATGAATTCTTCATTTCAGATCGATCAATCGGTGGTAACTGCCGGAGAGATTCTTTCCGGTCGCTTGACCGTAACAGCCACAAAAAAAATTCCTTGTGGCGCCCTGACAGTGCGCCTCCATGGCAAAGAATGCACCGCCGTCATGCATGGTTTTGGCCATAATCAACAAACCTATCGCGAAAAGAATACTTTCTTGAACACCAAGATCCCAGTCGAACAGTCTCTCATCACCCAAAAAGAAGAAGAGGAGGGCCATATCCAACCAGGAACGTACAAGATTCCATTTTCCTTTCGTGTTCCTGCAGAAATCCCTGCATCGCAAAAGTTGGGCGAGTACGACAGTGAAGCCAGCATCATTTATTCGCTCCGAGCCGTCTTTGGTGGATCGGGAGTCGTTTTGAACGACTATCAAACCAAAAAAGTGATTGAAGTGGTAGCAGCACCGGAGCCGCCCACACGCATCGTCCCTGCCATTCTCAAGCCACAATATCAAGGCATTACCAAGAATGGTTTGTCCAACAAGGGGCGGGTGTACGTGGGCGCCAAAGTGTCACAGTCCCGATTCACCCGTGGAGAACGACCACACATTTGTCTTGCCATTATCAATGACAGCGCCGCCAGTCTTCACAAAATTCACATGGCAGTAGAGCAGACGGCCAAGTGGACGGCCCGGGATTTCAGTTCGGGCACATCCAAGAATCTCGTCACGGCCAATTATGCCATTCCCTCGGGGTACGCTCCCAAGGTGGATGAGACCACCCGCGTCCAGCGAGCCAATGACAAGGCATGTCAATCGAAAAACATGAAACAGATTACCTCTGCATTAAATCACGAGGATGGCAACAACAATAACAACACAAAGGCATTATCCTTTACTCTCCCCGCAATCCCCGCAGCAGCGGTCGACACACACAGCACGAGCAGAATCGCTGTCTCGCACGAGATTGTCGTGACTCTCGTCACGGAAGGCAGCAAATCGGATCCTTCCTTTCGCATTCCAATTCACATTGGCCCAGGAGGTCCTACTGTCGCCGCGGAACCTGCCACGGGATCATCCGCAGCCATTCCAGTGGCAAACGCAACCCCCCTGACGTCCTCACCTCGGAATACTGCAGCCCGAAACTACAAGACCGTGGGTAGACCCAAATCTCCTCTCAAAACGCTCAATTTTGGAGCCATCAAACTGTTCTAGCTTGAGTGCTTTGTGCATGGAGCAGCTTTCATCAGCTATCGTCGATACCCGGCATACAGTGTGTGGAGCATGTGTAAACTAAAACATACGGTAGTCCTGTAAGACTGTTGTTACATTCTGCCTACTAGTAGATGGTTTGGGTGCGCCCTGCTTTTTTGTGCTGGGGCTGATCCCAAAGTATTCGCTGAATCTTTTAAAAATCTGACCCCTTACTTTAGAGTTTGTTGACTTTCCAATATTAGCATCTTTCTTCGTGCCAAATACTTTTCCCATTGAGCTGATGGATAACATGCCATAGTCAACATGGGTACTCTGAACCCTCGTTCTGGCAGCTTAAACTCCAATACTTGTTCCCACCTTGGAATCAACCTCTTGTCAAGGCTAGCACTCAGTAAACGTGGATTTCTGCTGATAAATTCAAGTGTCTCCGGCCTTGATCCCACACATGTTGCGTAAAACTGTAACTTTTCCTCTAGGCTTGCTTGGTTGAGGCCCAGTATAGATGGAAGCTTGCACACCATAATGGAGAGCTCAGTATCATTGAGTCCGAATGTGCCCTCGAGGTAGTCCAGCCGTGGCTCAATTTTCTCTGAGATGCTGTATCCCAAAATCGGAGGATTACTCATAATCATCTTTCTTGCTGCTGCTTGGCCAAAGCGATCATTGAGCCACTTCAGTGAAGGTTCCAAATTCATTTCAATGCTACTGGTAAGCAATGTAGGTCGACTTCTGATTGCTTTGGCCATCTCCCTTTTTGTCAGGCCAAGGGAAGATGATTGGAACCACGTAACCTTGCTATTCAATGTGTCCTTTGTCAAGGCCAAGGCACATGGAACCTTCCACACAAGCTTTTGTTTGGCTTCTGAAGAATGGAGTTCCAACTGGTCCTGGAGGAATTCCAATCTGTCAACCATGTCATCAACGTTAGCACTAAGCAGTCCTGGGTTCTTCTTGATGAGTTTGGAGATGTCATTTTTGGTAGCATTGAAAGTATTGCTTAACCACTGTCGTTTTGGCTCAATGTTGAATTCAGTAGATAAAGTAATAATGCGAGAAGTAGTCATGACTGTTGCAACGTCCTTGATACTCCAACCCAATGTTTCTTGGTAGTACTTCATTTTCCCCTCTAGTGTTGTGAGATTTTGACCCACGATGGAAGGACATTTGGTGAAAATCTTCTTGAGCGTCTTGTCATTAATGTCTAGATATTCTTGGATCCAGTCCATTTTCTGTATGATAGTTTCTTTTTGGTATTTCAGAATCTGTGGCCACCTTTTCTCCACTGTGTCAGTTTCTTTTCTTGTCATTTTGAACCTTTCTTGGATTGCTTTTTTGCGCTGAATTTCTATTTCTGCAGTTTTTTGTTCACTCCTTTTGGCATGCAAAGCAACTGTTGTGGTTGTTGTTGTTGTTGTTGTTGTTGATATGGGAGCGTTCCAGTACCCTCGAATACCGGTACTAGTAGTTGATGGCTGTCCATTATAATGCTGCCAATTCCTGTTCTTGCGAGGAGCCTGAAACCCACATGCCTTGTGGAAAATAGAGCCGGTGCCTAGTACTAGGAGAAACAGAGCAGTTGCTCTCTTGACACCCTGCGCACACATTTTGGTTCTAGCTGGAGAGCCAATAGATTCATCACACTTGCATGAGGATGAGGATGTGGACCATGAGAATGGTTACTATGGACCATAAGAATGTTGAAGTCTCGATTGGCAGCTCATGAAAGTTGCGTGGCCATCAATTCAGATGGATCTTTGTCGTGACGCTAACCCTAACATGGCTTCGTCCTAGCCGTTATGTTATGATGGCAAAGATCGCGAGTGCGACAGGAGGACAAAACACCTGAAAACTGGATGCGAAGAAGGTTCAGAGTATAGGAATGTTGCCACGATAATAGAGAAACAAAACAATAGCAACGACCATGGCAACAGAAGGAAGTGCAAACGGTCTTTCGTACCTTGCCTCTTGGATGGCCGGAGGAAGTCCTCCTTTGTCCACAAATCCCCCAGCTACGCAAGATGAAGAGCCCATTTCGGCAAAGAATACTACTGTATGTAGTCTGTCTACGTTGGATGCTTTGGCGCGAGACGATTTGATTCGAGAGCTGCGGGAAAAGCTACAGAAAGATTCGTCGAAGGCGGATGCAACGTACACGTTGCATGCGTGGGAGTTACGACTCTTGGTGGGGTTGCCCTCCAATACCAGCACTACATGTAGTACTGCCATGAGAACAGTGTCGGCGTCGGATGTGGCCATTGTGGCCGAGGAAGTGGCGAGTCCAGAAAGTGAGTCGTCTTCGGTGCCACCCATCATGGAACCATTGGAAACGTCTCCTGTGTTTTCCAATTGGGACATCACGTCCTTTTTTGGCAGTGAAGGTGACCACAAGAATGAAAGTAGTTTGTCCTCGGAAGAAGTCCAAGCTATCATGATTGCATTGGCAGCCGAAGAGCAGGATCCAACGAGTCGGCAGCAATGGCCCTCGTTCACACGTCCTCAGTCCATGGATGCTAGACAAATTTCCATTCAATCCTTTGCTACCCGAGAGGGCGATTTGGAAATCATGGTCCTCTTGGATCAGGCACTGCAAGACCAAGATGACGTCGACACTACACCCACACGTCCCGGTCAAGTCACGGCACGACAAGTATCCATTCAAGAAACTACTACAAGGACAGATACTACTAGTCCAGGTCCCGATCCAATAAAAATGCAAGGTCGACAAGCTTCCGTCCGTCCGGCTGCTCCCTCCAAGTTTGTCGTGACCTTTCCAAGTGATACGAATCATCACAAAGAGGAACGAGGCCTACCGAAACCTGCCACTGGCATTCGTCGTCAAGTCTCCGTGCAGCCTTCTCACAACAATACTACAGAGCCGGCGGTCGGCACATCAACCTCGCGACCTCCGACGACGAATGCCACGCATCGTCAAGTATCGGTGCGTCTCGATGGAGGAGAATCGAAACTGTCGTTTCAATTTGTCATTTAGATTATAGCACATGGCAAGACGTGCCGTGTGAGCCAGGCATTCGATCGAGTGCCTGCAGGGAGACCTTGATATATTTTATAGAAGGATTCTCTCTGCGGCTTTTCATTACCCCACTTCACTGTCATTCTATGACAATTGAGGTAGCTATACTGTTTGCATTATTGCTACCACCATTGAGATATCCTGTACATCTAGACTACTGTACGTATTGTATTTATTATTTGTCATTCCCATTCTTCTTCTTTCTGTCTTGCTTTTTCAAGAGTGCTTCCAATTTTCGTTTGGTTTTGGCATGGGCTTGTTGTTCCTTGATGAGTTTGGCTTCGATTCGTACCAGTTTTTTGCGCGATCGCTCTTGTTCTTGCAAGAGTTTCTTGGGTGTAGGAGACTTCTTGCGCTTGGAGGAGGAGGATTCGCCCTCTTGTAGTTTCATGCGCAAGACTTCCAATTCGTTGTAATGTCGGGTTCGTTCCGCTGCCAGGATCTGTTCGTGTTCCTGGCGTGTCAGCATGGCTTGTGGGCCAAACAGCATCGTCGTGTGAGGTTCCACGAGAGGTGGTGGCTTTTTATTCGTACTGGCGGTGGCATGGCCAGGTTTCTTTTTGGCTTGTGGAGGTGATTTCTTTTTCTTGGTTTCAGGTTTCTTATTATGCGGGGACTGTTGTTTCTTTTTCTTGGTTGGTTTTGTGGTACTATTGGATTGGTTGGTGTTGGTGTTGGTGTTGGTGTTGGTGTTGCCTTTGGGAGATTGCTGCTGCATGTGCAACTGAGCTTGCATTTGGGCCACTTGAGACTGTGCGGCTATTTGAGCTTGTACGGCCACCGAAGCAGCCTGCATTTGAGCTGCTGCCATTTGGGCTTGCATCTGCATTTGGGCGGCTTGCATCGCGGCTTGTTGCGACTGTGCCTGCATCTGGAATTGCATCATCATGGCCATGGGCGGAGGAGGAACAAAGCCAAAGGGAAGAAGCGCCAAATTGGGTTTCTTCTTCACTTTGGAAGGTTTCTTGCTGCTGCTCTTGCTGCTGTCTTGGAGTTTGCGCTTCTTCGTGTTGGACTCTTTCGTCTTCTCCTTTTCTTCGCCACCGGATCCACCTACTCTCTTCTCCTTGTCCTTCTTGTCACTCTTGTCATTCATGGTCTCTTTGCCGTCCTTGCTACCTTCTGCATTCACTGCCGCTACCGCTACGGGTGAATCCGACATCTCTTCTTGAATTCTCGTCGCTTCAACACGAAAAACGACGGATCTTTGACGGAAGCATGCAGCAGCAGAGCGGCATGATTCCCAAAGCCTGAACCCTAACGAATGAATGAAATCTGGATGGAAGAAGTCACGCCCTCTATAGCTAGCTACAGGATGTAGACGTTGTCAAAGAACAGATGATAGATAACGGGGGTTTTTAGAGTAGGGAAATTATCTACGGAAGAATAGATACGGGGGGGGGGGGGGTTATGGGAGCTTGAGAGTATGATATATCTTGCTCGATCAAAAACTTGCTACCGGTTATTCTATCTAGCTCTAGATCTAGCTAGATCTGCATGAGTTGCAAGCTTGGAGATATTATTTTATGTACACCTTATTACGATGCATTCCCTACAAAATGGATTTCAAGCGTTGTTTTCCTTCCAGCAATTCTGCTTGACATGGAACCCTACGGCATCTACAAGTACGGTACTTGAATGTGGATTGGTACGGTACGGTGCGTATATACTGTACTATCATCCTGCATCACCTTTGCAGTAGCATCCATACCATGGAAGCTGCCAGTACTACAACCACAGTATTCCCATAATCATAATAGTAACCAAGTCCCCTTGCGTTGCTGCCCTGTGCTGGTTGTTGTCGTTGTTGTTGTGTATCATCCGCCACCGTTTCCAGTTTCACGTCACAATTGTCCACTTCGGGCATGCGCATCGCATCCAAGTAATCGTACATGGCCTGGATTTGCAAGTTCTGTGTATTGACGATTTCTATACATATAGTATCAACAAACGCACAGAACCGAAAAGGATGTATGCAAGTTTGCAGAATGCAGGATGATGAGCTTGCTGGCACAAGTACAGAAGAATCCATCCAATTTCGAGAGAAGAAAGAGGATTCCTTCACTTTCACGTACCATATAGGATTCCCTCGAGAACACAATCTGGAGTTTCCTGGTCCGTCAAATCTTCGCATTGCAGTTTGTCTCGCTTCAACAATGCCTTGGCCATGTTGACGGCATTTTGATGATGCGGGATCATTTGATGCACAAACAGGGCTCGTTCATCCTGTGCCTTGATCCCTGTGGTCATGCCAACCAGCATGTGACAATTCATGGCATCAATGCAACTACCGAATTGTGCCATTTTGGGATCAATGGCGGGATCGTCCTTGTCACAGACAAACTGATCGGGACAGTGGGGATGTCCCGGAATCTGGTAGTCTCCCAATCCAAAGGTTCCACATTCCTTGTCAAAGTCCGACAGCAGAGGTGTATTGTAGTCAAATTCAAAGCCCAACGTAGGGACATCCAGTTCGTTCAGAACGGTGCCATTTTTGGTAAACTTGATGCGTCCAGCCATCCACTCGTGAATGTGGCAGAATATAAACATGTCTTTTTTAATATCGGCATCATCAAATCTCATTTTCATACTAAAGGTTCCCATGGACGTCCATTCGGCGGGACTTCGAAAGAAGAGTGGTTCGTAGACATCCAATCCATTGTCACTGATATTGACCGTCACATTCTGGAGAAGCGTCGGATTGTTGCTGTAGTGCCCCAAATACTCGTCATTCAAATAGTACATGGGTGCGGCACACGTGAGATTGCCAATACACGCTGGGTTGCCTTCGCTGGTGCTGGGAGTGACTTCCTTTTTCAGTTCTTCATCGCCGTATGGAGAGTAGGCAAATCCAATGGGATGAAAGTAATTGCTCCGGTGTTTCTGAATAAACGTGTACGTTTCTCCAATTTCCATTGCCACGGTGGGATTCACATTTTCCAGACCGCATTCTTCAAAGGCGTAGTATCCTTTATGTAGGAGTGTGTGTAAGTGTGTGAGTGAGCAGGAGAAACCAAGAGGTGAGCATAAGCTAGTAGGATACTGTAGTACCACGAACTCTACTGTATGCACAGGATCGATCCATGCTTACCTAGCTCTCCCGAGTACAAATCCACTCGAACGTGAAACACCTTATTCTCCGAGACACAGAGTGGACCATCATATTCGGATCTTGCCACTGCAAGCAGCAATGCCACTATTGCTAGAAACAGAATCTGATGCGACGCTGGCAACAATGATGATTGGGGCTGTGCCATGATAGGACAAGTAGGCTTGCGACGAGGATACTGAGCAGTCTTCCGAGGAAGGAAAGAAAGAAAACAAAGGGTCAGTTTTGTATGAGATCGATCTTGATATATATTATTGGTTTTGATGGCGTCAGTGGATCATGGTCGCATGGTGAGAGGATAGATCCGTGGTGGTTTGCGTGACCAATGCAGATGCATGATTGCTTGGGGGAAGCCCGAGGATTGTTCACCTTCGCAATCAAGAATTGCAGCGCTGCTGGCTGGATCTTGAACCTCAAACCTTCTGAGGGCACCCAGAAGAGAACACAAAATTTAATGACATAGCTGGCGGGGCACGGTGTTAAATAAGTACTGCAGGCGGAAGCCAGTCATCCGTGGGTCGTGGGCACCAGACACTCAGACAGCGACAAAGCGAAGCAGCCCCACAGCAACAGCAACAGACCCACGCACATTCACACAATACATCCCCACCACAATAGACCATGGATCGAGAACAACTGGAACACAGCCTCAATGTCATCAAGGCAAAGCCTGTTGATCCCTTGATGCAGCTTACTGAGGTGGAAATTGCCAGGGCTGTCAACATCAAGGCCAGTGTCGAGCAGGACGACAGAATTCAGAATCTATCCGATTTTGAATATGTTCAGTATGCCCTCACAAACATCAATGAAACTGTAGAACAAGTTCTGGAGCGTGTCTACTTGATGCAATGTTTTCGACAAGAATACAGAATCAATGACACTCCCAAAGAGGGAGCCAAATTGTTTCACGAGTTCTCCCTCATGTGTCCGGGGCACATGCTTGCTGTGGATCACCTGCCATTCCAACAAAATTACACAAAAACCATGGATATGGCAAAGCTTCTTCCCAAAGAACAAATTAGAACAGATGAAGACTTGAGGGTTTATATGGCTGGCCATTATTACCATTGGAACAGTATGTACCCAAACTTTATGGCCATTCGACTAGGATTTACTTTGGTTTGTGAATGTGAGGGGACAACAATGGCATCCTTTGATTCAGAGCTGTTTGAAAAATCGGGGCATCACCTTTTCAAATCGTATCCCCAAAACACAAAGAACGTGTTTGTGCTCAATCCATCCACAACGATCAACTTTTGGTGGGCCTTGTTCAAGAGATTTTTGCGCGACGATCAAAAAGGCAAATATCATTTGGGATATCAAATTCCAGGTTTTGAAGGACGGCGCATTGATGGACTGTACAAAATGCCAACAGAAGAAGCGGGAAGACAGAGAATGATCAGCCATGTCCACGAATTCCTGACACTTCGGAAAAAGAATGAGGCAGACTTTTCCTTGCTAGGGGCAGCTTTACAGGTCATGACTTTAGATGAGGTGCATCAGGTAATTACAAACCAGAATGATCAGACTTGACTCACTATCTGAACATGTACAGTAAGAAAATTTTGCATATAATCAACTTTGTGATTAGGCAAGTACATGTATAGTAGCTAGCTAGTCTGAACAGAATTACACCCAAGACCTTTGGATTTTGTGGCAATTCTCCCCCAAGAACAATTCAAACTGGTGAAGACTTGAGGGTTTAAATATGACTGGCAATTATTACAACTGTAGTAGAACAGTCTGTCCTGGCACCCAAACTTTGATGGCAATTTGACAAGGTTGAAGTCTTGTGTGTGTGTGTTTTTGGTACCTTTGTAACATTGAGCATGTTGCTTCTAGCTTGGCTGGTCAGTGTGGCTGTCCATTGTCCCCAGGGGGAAAGGAGCAGGGAACTTTCCTGCACAAACCAATGGGAATGTCATGCAAACAGGGATCCCGACTTGCCGGCCCTCCTCTCTTGCCACCCTCTCCTTCTTTGGTTTTGATGCTGCTCTGCTCACTCAAGCGGTTGTTTGGCTTGCGTTCTTGCGTCCTGCCCTCCTCCTCTGCCACCCATCCTCCCCATAGTCCCCTCTAACCCATAACGTCTCCCGTCATATATTGTACATGTTCACCCATGAAAGTGACAGCCCTTGAACTGGAGCTACTCCACTGCAAGTGGCGTAGGTGGTGGTGATTTGGACTGTCTCGTATACCACGCCAATGAAACTGGCTGTCCGTGGAGTGGAAATGAAGTGACCAGTTGTGAAGCTGCAAAGAGGTGGCCCAGGAATGGTGTTTTCTGCCCAATGCTGCTTTGCAGGGTCATGTGGACATGCTGCAATATGCGCACCAGACGTCGTCCCCCAACGACATGCTCCAATGCTGCACGAGGTGGCCATCTGGAAGCCCAGAAATGGCTTTGACGTGCGTGGGTGGCCATCTGGACTGCCTCAAGCCGTATGCACAACAAGAAAATCGCTGTCGATGGGGAATCAGCACAAACGTCGATTTGAAGTGTCGCGTATGCCAACAAGAATGGCTGCCCACAGGGAGACGATACGGTACCGTAGCTGGTGACCAGTTGGACGAGTTGTGATCAACAATCTTGTGGTCTTTGGCAGAGGTTTCGTGACTTTGGCGCTGTCCCGAATGGAACAGATGAAAGACGTTTGTTCGATTTGTCCTATCTATATCTGGCTTGATTCGATTCATCCTATTTCTTGCTTGTGCCATACGAGGTTGAGACAGTGAAGTGGGACTCTTCATTATAAAAAGATCAAGGCTACAGTACCTAAAACGATAGGAGAAAGCTGTGGTTGCTTGAAAGGAAGAGCCACTTGCGTTCGTTTTATTCGTTGTGTTCGACTGCTTAGATGGAAAAGTCGAGGGATGGTTGAATCATGCCCAAATCTTGCAGCATGGTAAAGGTTCGTTCTTCCATGCAATCAATGGCAGCGTACTTGGCGGCACGTTCCCGTTCTTCCTGTTCCGAGAGTGGCTGTGGGATCATTCTGCGGCTATTATTATTCATCGTGCCTCCGCCACTTTCGGAGCATTCCAAGGACTCCAAGGCACCGGCGGGCTCTTCTGGGGCCGTCTTGTCGAGTTCCAATCGATACGATAACAAGGAGCGAGCCTGTTGTTCTGCCTTGACTTTGGCCTGGAATGTTTTGGCGGCGGTTTCCAGTTGCAACCGGTATGTGAGCAAGGCACGGGAAGTTGTTTCGTCGACGACAGGATTCGTGGACAGTGTCGTTTTCGTAGGCGCGGCTGTAACAACTTCTGGATCTTCTTCTTGGGCCATCTCCTTGGCTCTGGCTGCCATTTCGAGTTGCAAACGGTATGTCAGCAAGGCACGGGCAGTTGCTTCGTCTGGTTGGACTGCCGCTTTGGTGTTAGGGATTGTGGTTGTGGTTGTGTCTTCCAGCGCCTCTACTAACTCTACCGTTTCAACGACCACGGTAGTAGCGGTCTGCTTTTGTTGGGCATATGTGGAAGCCAAGTTTTGACGAAACCAGGGCGCTGCCATGTTCAAAGCAGATGATAATGGTGTAGTGGACCTTGACAGCGACAGTCGGGGTGTTGCCAAGTAAGCTTCGACCGATGCGCCACTTAGTAGTAAGAGTGGTAACGCAGAGACAAGGAGAAAGACGCGGGGAATCATCATGGTGGCAATTAGTTTGTTGCAGCAGCAACGTCTTGAGGCGGTCCTTTCAAAGGGAGAAGTATGATATGGTGAGCGAATGTCAAAACGTTGTGAGAAAAAGTGAGGAGCGTTTGCTTTTTGTTCCACTCGAGAATTCGGAACAAAAAGAGTGATACGTCAGCATCCAACGCCGTCTGTCCTTCGATGTGGAAGGATCTTTGGATCTAACTTTTGGCGGAACAAAACCTTTGCATGCTATCCGATTGCCTTGCTTGCCAAGTTCACAAATAATAGGGAAGCAAAGCCAAGATGACAGACTCTGGTGACGTTGATAGTGGTGGTAGTTCCTCCGTGGTGGTAGTCTCCAAGATAACTCCCGAGGATCTGAAGTTTGATAAGGACGGAGTGATAATCATCTCGGATGAGGAATCTCGTTTGGATGCTCTGGACGACTTTAATCATCCTAGGATTCGACGATCCTACATTCTCCGGGCATTTCAAAATGCTGCAAAATCTTCTTCCTTATCCATTTCCTTTGAGACTCCTTCTTCTTCATCGGAATCCTCATTATCCTTACAAGAATTGTACAAGGATACCCAGAATGTGGCCTTGTTGAAGTTTTTGGAGTCTGCGTGGCAACAATGGAGTGATCTAGGCGAACAGGGTCGCGATCCCATGGCCTCCTTGAATAGCACGACGACACAAAATGACAAGAAGATAGACAATACCCACACTAATAGCATTCCGGCATTGATCCCTGGAAATACCCCGCTTCCACGAGACCCCCACCAACGACCCAGTCGAAACGTCATGGGACAAATGGGATATTACTGTACCGACAATTGTACTCCCATCTTTGGACAACTACTGTCGGAACTACAAGAAGATGCCGCCATTGTACAACACGCCTTACAATTGGCGACGTCTCAGCCACAAGCCGTCGTCTATGCCATTCCCACGCATCCCGGTCATCATGCCGCCACCGATTCCTTTGGTGGATATTGTTACCTCAATCAAGCCGCCCATGCCGCCCAGACACTCTTACAACAACAAAACGCCTATGAAAGAGTGGCCATTCTCGATATCGATTATCACTGCGGCAATGGTACGGCATCCATCTTTTACAATCATCCACACGTCCTGGTGGCGTCCATTCATTGTCATCCCGATCACGATTATCCCTTTCACAGTGGCTTTACCGAGGATAACAATGAAACCACCTATCATGCTCCACTGCCTCCTGGAGCCACGTGGGAACAACACTACCAACCCGCCCTCGCTCAGTGTTTGGACCGGATCTTCGACCAGTTTCAAGCACACGCCCTCATTGTCTCGATGGGATTGGATACCTTGCAGGGAGATCCCGTCACACTGCGACGGGCGGGATTTGCCATGACACCGCCCGATTACACACCCCTGGGTCGCATGATTGGGAGTAGACTGCACGGCGCTACTAGTAGTATCCCTTGTTTGGTCCTGCAAGAAGGGGGATACAAAATGAACGAATTGGGACCAGCGGCGGCCGATGTGGTACTGGGGATTGCCGAAGCACGACAGCAACAGACCAAGGAGTTATCATAAGAATCACTGGCTTCTTCGTTGCGAATAGAGATCCTGGAGCCAGCTGCAACCTTTGAACGGAAACTGCACGTATTGGGGAAAACTAGCTAGTACGGTTTTCTTCTTCGTTGCGAATAGAGTTGCTGTAGTGAGCTGCAGCAACCTTTTATAGGGTAGGGTAGGGAGACCTACCGGTAGTCCCGGTACGTACGGTTTATTGCGAATCTGGTGAATAGCTCAGGAAAGAAACGTCTTACGGGTTCTTTTCGGCCTCGCTGTAGGTGCATTCAGCATCAGCATTGCTACTTGTAACGTTACCACTTTAGCCACCAGCTCCTCTTCCTCCACCCATATATGTTTGCATCCATGTTCGAGTTTCAGACGACTGTGGAATGGTTGCATAGACGACACCGCAAAGGAAACGATGATGTCAAATCGATACACCTTCTCGCTCGCTATAGTGTTCACGATGCATCTCTTTGATCTAGCTAGCTATAGCTCTTAGTCTCTCTCTCTCTCTTTGTAAGCTGTTCTATGATACATATTGATAGAGTTATGCTGCCACCGTTCGTCGAATGGATTTGCCAGTCACCACGGGAGAATGCCTTGCAGGACTTTTCGATCTATTTCGAGGACGATGACGACGATCCAGTTTGCGGCTGGTATGGCTGGTCAGTTTATCGGGTGTACCCCCACAGTTGCCACCAGCTGTCGAAACCAAACCCGTTTTGAGTTCGACGCAGTGAGCCACTTGTTGGCTCGTGACGGCTTGCCACTCGTCCCCCGCCAATGCGGATGCCACCCGTTGGGCCTTGTCGTAGTATTCTTGGGCTTTTATTGGATTCTTTTGCGCTTGATGAAAGCGCCACAGTTTGACGTAGAGCTGACGCGTTTGTGCTTGCACCTGCTCCGATGACGATTGCAAAAGGGACGTTTCGGCTTGTGTGTAGTATCGTAGGGCATCCTTCGGCTGTCCTTGCTTTTCGTAACAAATGGCAATGTTGGTCAAACACGAGGCCGTTTCGGTGTGATGATATCCATGAATGTTAATGAGTATCCCCAGAGCTTTCTTGTGGAGTTTCAATGCCTTGTCGTACTTTCCTTGTTCTTGTCGACAAAGGGGGATATTGACGTGGCTGGAAACGATGAGAGACTTTACCGTTTCGGTCTGTTCCTCTGTCTCCAATCCCGTACATTGTTCTGCCAGGCTAAGAGTCGTTTTGTGATAGTCAATGGCCTTTTTGTAGATTTTCTTTTCGTCTTGCATAATGCGTGCCAGAGCATTGGAACAATGGGTGGCGTCCAACAATACAAGTGGTTCTTTTTGGTTTGCCTCATGTTCGAGCGTGTCCATGGCACGCGTCAAGTGAAAGAGCGTCACGTTTTGATTGTCATCCGGCAAATTTTGGTAGCACACTCCCAAACGATAGTCCACTTGCGCTATTTGCACCGGGTTGGAGGATTCCATCGTCGTAAGAATCTGAAGGGCACTCTTGAGCCGCGAAATGGCCGCGGGATACTTGCCACTGTTCCGTAACAAGTCTCCAATGCGTTGATGCGTCTGCGCCACTTCCAACGATTCGTTGCCAAACAGCTTGGTTTCCAGTGCAATGCGTTTCTTGAGCAGTTCCACGGCTTTGGGGGTATCGCCTTGGTGTTCGTGACACGCCGCCATGTCGCCGTGCAAATCGGCCACCAAGGCGCTCGATTCATTCGTCGTCGATGCCTTGATCACGGTCAGGGCTCGATTGTACTGCTTGAGCGCTTCATCGTACTTTCCTGCGGCGAAACATTGACGGCCTTTGGCTTTCAAGTCGGCCGCCAATTGGCTCTGTCGACAGTCGCCGTCCTTAGTTCTCGTACTACTTGTCGATGTAGTTGTAGTATTGCTCGTCATGGTGTTGGTTGCTAGCTGTTAATAGCTACGGTGAAAGTAACTAGCGTGGTGAGAAAAGAAGAATTGTGAGATCGATCTGCAGTGTTTACAAAGTGAAGAGCTCTTTTAGAGGGGTGGTCATACCGGTACCGGTAGCTAATCGTTCGAGGCAGATGACTCAGGAACTAACCAGTATTCGCAAACTAACTTCGCATGCCATAATTACCGCAGGTGACTGGACATTGGATCCTAGCCACGTGCTTTCGTTCATTAAACATAAAGTCACAGTCTTCATTTTTGTGACTATCTATTTCTTAAGACTTTTTCTACGGTATGAAAGCGGGCAGACGGGCAGAAAGACATGCAGTCAGATCCATCCACTGCACTCCAAACTGTTCTCAGCATGGACCGTGGAAATCTGCGACTGCTGCCATCTTGCCAGCAAGCCATGCACTCGATGCCTCACAGTCTGTCGTTTTCAAGGGCCCAAAACTTGACAAAGACGCGCTCAAAAGTTGTTCTTGGGTAACCGGTACCTATTAAATAGTGTACCTAGCTACAGACGTACACGTATTATCCAAACGAGCAATCGGTGAGGACCACATCTTTCGAATCGAAGCATGCATGGATGACCTATTGAATCGTCCCGTGTACATGACCGTGGAAGTTTCGACGCTTTGCTGTGGTTTTCGACTCCACTCTACCGGTGTATATCGTTAGATGTGCTGAAACGTCATGACTGTTTGGGTCCCTGGCCCAGTATTCCGTCAGGATATCAGATACACCCTCTTTAATAAATGTAGCCATAATGGATACTACTTGTGGAAAAGGTGATCTCTACGATTCGAAGGGGGGATATTCACATTCACACGCCCCCCCCTCTTTTGTATGCATCACCAGTAGCTTCTTTACTGGCAAGGGCAGTCACAACCGCACAAAGATGTCGAACAGTCAAAAGAAAAATAACCAAAACTTCCACAAATCTCCTCTGGAATAGTCCCTGTGACACCAGTGCCATGGAGTTGCAAGATATGGAGGGTTTCATTCAAATTCCAGAGCTCTGGGGGCACAGGGCCAGTGATGCCTGGATTCTGGTCAATGCGAAGGTCCACAAGGTTGGTCCACAAGCCTATCTCGGATGGAAGCGTTCCCGAGAACAGATTGCCACTGGCATGCACTGTTGTAATGTTGACCAACAGTCCCAGCTCCGATGGTACAGCCCCCGTGATTTCATTGTATTGTATGCCCAATCGAAACAGATCTGTGGCTTGACCGATGGATGTAGGTAATGTGCCAGTAAAGCGATTTCGGGCAACCATAAACAACAGCAAGTGTGGCATCCGGAAGCCAATGTCGGAGGGGAAAGTCCCTGACAAGCCATTTTTATCAATCTTGAGTTCTTTCATGTGAGAAAGAGCCCAGAACTCAGGCGGAAGAGATCCAGACAGGTCATTGTCAATGACAGAAACAATTTCCAAAGTGCCAGACAGCAAGCCAATCTCAGAAGGTATGGAACCAATAAAGTCATTGGTCACCAAATGAAATTCTCTCAACTTCTTCAGGTTTCCTATTTGAGTCAGGATGGGCCCATGGATCTTGTTGCGTCCAACATTGAGTACCTCCAAGGAAGACAACAAAGAAATCTCCTCAGGCAGTCTCCCCATCAAGTTGTTGTGCATCAAATCAAAGAACTGGAGTTGATCTTTTTGATTGCAGACTGTAGGGTATCGCAAAGGTGATGTGAAGAACCAGTTGCACTCAGAATGCTCATAGGATAACCATTGATCCATGGTAATGTTCACCTTTGCAAACTCATGGCGTCTGGATGGTTTGGATCCTATGGCACAACACTGGGAAGAACTCTGTTCGGGCTTGGGATCACTTTGATCGTCCCCATTGTCTGGTAACTGTCCTGAATTCCTAGCTTCTCTTGCTGGAACCCCTGCAGCAGACAGCTCCAGGGTGGTAATTACATCTGCAAGGACCGTTGCAGTGCCCCCTCCTTGTTCTGTCCAAGATTCCCCAATTGTAGAATAGTAAAAGAGAGCCATCACAAACCGTTGGAGAAGCCTTGCGTCCGAGTATGTGTCAATGTAGGGATCTTCTTTCATCCACTGATAGGCTTGGTACAGAGGAGTCTGTACAGCGGCATCCACGTCACGGTGAAGAAAGTGCAAGGTGGTGTTGGGAATTGTGAATGGCAGATCCCAGTGCCAAGAAGTGTCCACTTGGGTAGGTGCCATGGTCCCGTTCGTGTCTTTCACATGTTGTTTCGTGCTGTCCCTTTCGGTAGAAGAGGAATCTCTGAGGGCCAGCCCCACAGCAAGCCCAATTCCAATCAGAATTAATACAACAACTCCAACGAGTACAAACTTGACTGTCCTGGATAAATCTTTCTGATATCGTTGCTGCCGGGCCGCACGATGCTCTGAAACATCAATGGGTTCTGCAAATTCCGTAGATATACATACGGGACTTGCCTCGGCCAAGCCTTCTTCATTAGTTCGCGTGTTGCCTTGATCGTCCTGATCTATGCCAAAGACAAGGGAGGCATCATTCAGAGAAGCTCGCACACTATCATCTTGTCTCCAGGAAGGCGCATGGTAGTAAGCGCCTGGCACTCCCTCGGTCCTGAGTATTTGGGATCCTTGTGCCAGCTGGGTAGGAGGAGGGGCACAGTCACGGAGATTCTTGTCGGGGTTTTCCGAGTCGCCGCCGCCGCTGTCGTCGTGAGAACCACTGTGTAATCTACTATCAGTTTTGGCTCGCGGTAGTATCTGTTCGGTGACAGCTGCGCCTACGGGTACGTTATTGATTGCCACGTTTTTCTCCAGTTTGTCCATAGCATCCGACTTGTGGACGATCCTATTATCCGTGCCACTGCATTCCGTCTCCTCAATGACTCCTGTATCCATGAGAATTTGCAGTCTCCTTTGGGCGGTTGTACCGGTAGCTCGTGATTGTTGTGAGGTCAGAGGAGGCACTGCTTTTGTGGTTTCTTCCAGCGCCAAAATCTTGTCCTCCTTCTGGAGTCTATCATCGTCATTCTCATCATCATCGTCCTCAAGGACACCAGTGTTTCGCAACACGGCCATTCTCAAGTGGACTGTTTCAGTCTGAACTTCCTCGCCCCTGACGTGATGCTGAAAAGACTCCAGCTTTTGCGTCATGAGGTCTTTTTCGGCCTGGCGGATCATGTCCGTGTTGGCCACCATCTCGGTCTCCTTTCTCTCTTTCAACGCAGGCACACCAATGCCACTGCCACCGACCCCAGCGGTAGTATCCTCTAATACCATGGTATCACTACGACGGTATAGTAGTCTAATCCAAGAAGCTCAGTGGTAATAACGATACAGTACCGTAATTGTGGAAATAACAGGTGCTTTGGTTCAGCTGTTCAGCTCAATGCAGGGGACTTGATTTGAAGGCGTAATACATGTAGACTACTGGGTTGGAGGGCGAAAACATGCACGAAGACTGAGTTAAGACTGTCACTCGATCAAGTTGTCGGTGGCTGCCAGTTCAACAGCTCTCCGCACGAGTCGCGTGAATTTGGTGCCATTTCCTTGGTGCAGTGCTCCTAAAGAAGAATGGCACCTTCCACGTCAGTTGAAGTTGTTAAGTCCTTAGAAGAACCTAGTGTTCTTAAGTATTTAATGAGTAGCCAATTATTTAACCAGTGAGAGACTCAAAGACTTAAAGCAAATGTACCAAGTGTGTTTTTTGTGGGAGACGCAGAGAAACCAGCCTGTACAAAAATGAAATTTTACTTTTAGGTAAAAATGTTAAAAGTAAAAATTTAAAAGCCTTGATATTAAGAATCTCCATGGCATGTTGACTGAGGACTCATGTACCAATACTACATGCTGGTGCTGCTGGTGCTGCTGGTGCTGCTGTGCTGGTGCTGGTGCTGGTGCTGCTGGTGCTGCTGCTGCTGCTGCTGCTGCTGCTGCTGCTGCTGTTGATCTATAGCTACTAGCTAGCTAGCTATCAATGACTGAGTTACAAGTAGGTTTTATCTACTACAGAGTAATCATTAAAATTCTACTAACACCAAATTAATTGTATTGCTCTAGAGCTTGATTCAAAGAAGCAATACCATCTTGTTTGACTGACTTGGATCATCATCTTGTTTGACTGACTTGGATGAATCTCACAGAGCTCAGCTGTTGGAAAAGAGGCAGGTGCACTGCAGTGATTAAGTGCTGAAAAGCTTGAAAACTAATGTAATCATTTAAACAGTGTTGCGTTGCTCTGTTGTCTCTATAGAGTTGTTTACAATACAAAGCTAGTTGAAATGACGACCACGTTAGTCGTCCTCCAATGTTCTACGCCAGTTACATCAGTTGCACGCCAGTTACGTCAGTTACCATACGCTAGTTACGCTAGTTACGCTAGTCAGTTACTCTAGTTACGCTAGTTGAAGTGCCCCTAATTTTGGTGCAGTGCGGTGCGAGGACGGTGCAGGAGAACTGCACCGGCACCAAATTATGGCACCAAATTCAACTGACCCCTCCGCACTGGTCACTTGAAAAAGCTTGAGAGATTTAGGCAGCATCAAGTCAGGGATTGTGGGATTGTTTCTTTTCGATTGCCCCTTCGATAATGAACAATTAATTAACGCACTGCACTGCCACCGAGCTTAATTAATTAAACTATCCTTGTCTATTCCAAAGAAGCCAGCGGAAGCTGTGAAACCAATAGTAGATTAGCAAGCAGAAGCGCAGAAGCAGAATGATTGCAGGTAACGGGAAAGCAAGCCCTTTGGCCCCCGCGGCCGTGTTGGTCCTCAACATAATTCCCCGAGCCTGGATTCAGCCAATTATTTGCCCAAGCCTGCCCCTGCCGAAGCCTGGCCCTCACTGGCTTCGGTAGATATCCTCCCTACATACTCAACAACAAAAAAACTGTAACTCTGTGCTGCAGCTCCATATATTAGCAACAGAGTGGACGAGAGGGAAGTACAATACAAGCCACAGATAGCCGTGGTGCTCCCTGATGCCAGTAACCGTGAATGGCAGGGTTAACAGCTTAGTACAGTTTTGAAATGCTTGGAAATGATCGAGGTACTGATATCTAGCTAGCTATGGAATGAAGCAAACAGCAATAGCCACATCCAACAAGATGGTCATCTTTCTATCAACTAGCTAGCTGCATGATTCAATCAAAAAACTTTCACAGTGGATTCTGTCGTCCACTTCTTCTCCCTGCATACTACATTGGCTTCCTTCCAAATATATTCTCCTTGAGCTCGCGGATAACATTCCTGAATCTGAATTCATGTTTTGGAAAGTCCAATTCCATGAAATAATTGTTCCCGCCTTGGAATTCTTTGGTTTCAGCCTTTTCTCTTTTCCAAGTATTTCTCCCATTTTGGATTGGTGAGTGATGCAAGGGAGCTTATTGGCACTGTGAACCCACGTTCTGGCAGCGCAAACTCCAATACTTGTTCCCACCTTGGAATCAGCCGATTATCAAGGCTAGCACTCAGTAAACGTGGATTTCTGCTGATAAATTCAAGTGTCTCAGGTCTTGATCCAACACATGTTGTGTAAAACTGTATCTTTTCCCCCATGCTGGTTTGTTTATAGCCCAGTATTGCAGGATATTTGTACACCATATTTGAGAGCTCGGTCTCATTGAGTCCGAATGTTCCTTGGATATAGTCCGCCTGTGGCTCAAGTTTGCTGTGTATGCTAAATCCAAGAATGGATGGTTGGACTGTAACCAGTTTTTTGGTTTCAGTCTGACCAAAGCGATGGTTAAGCCATTTCACTGTAGGCTCCAAATTGCTTTTGATGCTCATGGTGAGCAATTTGGGTTGCTTTCTGATCACATTGGCTGCCTGGCTTTTTGTGAGGCCAAGAGAAGATGATTGGAACCACAATATCTTCTTCTCCAATAGGTCCTTGGTGAGAACCAAGATTCCTGGAGATGTACAAACCAATTTCCATTTTGCTTCGGTTGAATTGAGTGCCAACTGGTCCTGGAGGAATTCTAGTCTTTCACCCATGTCATTCTGGCTAGCATGAAGAACGACGGGGTTCTTCATAAAGACCTTGGAAATGTCATCAATCGTAGCATTGAATGTATTTCTAAACCACTGTAGTTTTGGCTCAATGTTTTCTTCAATTGAATAAGTCATAATGGGAATGGTGGGCATGGCCATGACTTTTGTGAGGTCCTTGATACTCCAGCCAAGGGTTTCTTGGTAGTATTTCATTTTCCCCTCTAGTGTTGTGATACGATAGCCCAAGATGGACGGACATGCAATGACAATCTTCTTGAGTGTCTTGTCATTAATATCTAGATATTCCTGGATCCAGTCCGTTGTTTGCGCAGTGTTTTCTTCCGCCAGTCTCAGCAACCTGGTAGGCTCTCTCTGAATGAGGCTATCGATCTCTTCCTTTGTCATTTTGAGTCTCAAGCGGATTGCTTTCTTGCGCTGATCTTCTATTTCCGCAGTCCTTGAGGGTGCTCCCCTTTTGGCATGCAAAGCAATACGATCGCCTGGATGGTGCCATTCCCTAGATTCAATTTGATTCGCACGGTACGTGTGGTAAGTTTTAGGACTTGTTTGAAATCCATTTGCCTTCAAGACGGCAACTAATAGTATATGTATCAAAAATATCCAAGTTGGTCTTCGTTCTCCTCGTCGTGCCCTCATTGTTGCCAATGGCCGACGGCATCCCATGGACTTGAGTTTTTGTGAAAGGCCATGGATGCTTCCATGGGTGCCGTCCATCGCATGTGCTGTCTGCTGTGCCTCCGTAGAATGCATGATTGGTTGGTTTCCACGCATTCAGCTATACTAGCTACCGTAAACGTAGCTAGCTAGTACCGGTACAACGATTAACAATAATAATTTATTGGTCAGCGAGGAAAGCTTGCCAAAGGAAACGACGTGCACGCATCGACGTGGACGATCCAGCCCAAATGGGTCCCTCCGCATGCGCATACAGTCCTGAAACAATTCTCTTAGTGGTATGTTACCCGTCATGTGCTTCCAAAGTCCCGCGACCCTACAAGCGCATCATGCGTCCAATCACTTTCTGCAGAGAGCTTTGCAAGGGAACACCCAGAAGAATGAGTGCTTCCTGCCCTCGCTCTCGAACGTTCGGATCATCGGGACAGATACGAATGGCTCTTTGAAGAGCTCGAACCATGGCATTGCGTTCCCGTGATTCCTTGATCTTCTCGACACGAGTCGTCAAGACGTGCAAAATATTGACACCCACCCGCTGCATTTCCAAGTTGTCCCTTGAAGCATCCAGGGAAGTCAACACATTGCCGACATTGTCCCAAGCTTGCACCAACCCCATGTTGGAAACCCCATTAATAACCAGGTTATGCAGTGCCTGGATCGCAAACGTCTGGAGGGACTGATCGTTCCTATTCGTTTCCAGAGCCTTGCAAACGACAAGGATCCCTCCCGCCTCGACGATGCCATGTTGACACGAAGGAGACAGAGCGAGATTGACGAATGTCGCGCAGCCCCATGTGGTAACATCGACATTGTGCTCATGCTGTTGCATTGTCTTTAATATCGCAGGAATGACTTCGACCCTTCGGGCTTGAGAAAAGTACGCCATGTAGGCCATCATTTTGCAGCCCCGAAATGCAATATCCTGGTGATGCTGGTGATGCTCCAGGGCCAAAGCAATCGACGTCATTCCCTCTGCCTGAATGAGTTCTATGACATGGGCTTTGCGTTGGCACAGGAACCCGAGCAAACGAATCCCCGAAATGGCAACATTCGTGTTGGTTGCGTGTGACTTGATGGCGTCGACAATCACCGCATGAATCCCACCGATGGTACTTGCAATCGTTTGGCCATGATGCTCCGACAAGAAGATGAGTGCATCCAATCCCAAGGACTGGATTTCGGCATTGTCGGCGAATTCTCGCAGTACCTTGACAATCGCGTTCGCGGTGGCGCTGGCATCTTGGAGTGTGGCAAAACCTTCTTCGGCGGACACTCCGATAAAGCACAAGACAATCAAACCACGCCTTACAATATCATTTTCGGGGTTGTCCTCCTCCAGTATCGTGACGATACAAGTGACAAGATCTCGAACAGTCTTGATCACGTTCTTCCATTCAAACGGGCCATCTTGATGGTCGACAAAGTCCGCCAACTTGAGGACTTTGCTGCCTCCTAGGGCATTGTCCGTACCGGCCATGGTTGGTCTTTTTTGCAAGAACAGTGTTTTGGTTCGATAGAAAGGCGAGCACAAGTGGCCGTGAGAAACGAGGCGTTACATGGTCGAATTTCGGTCTGCTAGATTCTTCCACGGTCACGACAGATTGTGAACTCTCCACGGTAAATCCACTTGGTACCATCAGGCTGAACCTCAACGCAAGGAACCACCAAACGCCCAGCCCATGCGCATCGTTCGTCATAGTTTCTCTTGAAACAGTTTCGTTATTATTGCCTCTGCCCTTTTTCGTGTTAGAAGCAAAACGGGGCCGTATGATCCGGCCATACCGTGTAATAAAATAGGGGGGAGTAGAGTAGGGAAATTAGCTACTTTGTAATAATAGTTATTTTTATGTTTATCTCCCGTCCCAGCATGCAATTTTACTTATGTGTGGTAGGGTACCTACCCGTTCTTCAAGTTAGCTTCCAGAAATGAAGCATGGCGTACGTGGAATGTGTTTTGGCATGATGCGGGCAGATAAATACGGGCATCGTCTCCTCGAATGAACTTTTGTTGACTTGATCTTGACAACAGTAGGTACCGTAGCTGCAATGGCCTTGACTCGAACACTGTCGATGTCTTGTGTACGGCATCCCTTTTAGTTTACTATTTAAAGCTAGCTAGTAGTGTGCAAACATAATCATAAAATCTAATCTATGACAGCTGGTGCATGCCCCCCTCATTCCCATCATCATCTCTCATCACAAATGCAGCCACAGCCACAAAGCAAGCCAGAACAGTCAAAAGACAACCCAAAGGGACCCTCACATGTATCGATAGCATTGGAGATGCAACTATTGTTGAAGCTGCAGATACCAATGGGGATTGTGCCAGAAAGCTGCGGGTTGTCCTCCATCCTCAACGTATGAAGGGACTGTTGTAGAGCTCCAAGCTCTTCCGGCAAGGTCCCAGAGAGATCATTTCCGGCAAACGTCAGGTGGCCCATGGACTTCAGCTGACCAAATTCACTGGGAATCTGGCCGGTGAAATGGTTGTCTCTGAGTTCTAGCTCTGCAAGCCCTGAGAAGAGCCCAAGCTCTGAAGGAATGGTTCCTGAGAGTTGGTTACTCCGTAGGTTGAGAGTGATGGCAAGTCCAGTAAGGAGTCCCAGTTCGCTTGGCACTGTACCAGTGAGGTGGTTATCCCTCATGGTTAACAGAGCCAGACTGGATATTTGACCCAACTCTGTAGGGATTGTGCCTTGGAAAGAGTTTTCAAAAAGCGTTAGCATCCGTAGCTTTGGAAGCTGCATCAACTCACTGGGAAGACTTCCTGACAATCTGTTTTCATACAAGATTAGCCATACAAGAGAAGTTGCTTTCCCAATCTCTGTAGGGATGGACCCTGAAGCACAGGCATAGCGGACCATGAATTGAGGTGAGGAAGAGCACGAAAAAACAGAGGACCTGGTATTGCTGCAGACTTCACACAGAATATCTACATACCAGTGAGAGAACCACCCCCTAAACCAAGCCAAGTAAGGTTGGACAAGTTTCCAACTTCTACTGGAATGCTGCCTTGCAAGTCTGGATTGAGCCCCATCAATAGATGATTCAAGTTTGTGAGTAGCCAGAGCTCAGTTGGAATACGCCCCTGGTGGTTATTATCCCGAAGTCCAATGTGTCTCAATGTGGTTAATAAACCAATTTCGGAAGGGATGTTTCCAGCATCTTGAAGCGTCGTGATGTGGAGTCCTTCCAAAGATCTGAGCTGGCCAATGTGACTAGAGATGGTTCCCCCAATCTGATTGTATCCAAGGGAAAGTGTCTTGAGGGTTGAAAGTAGATAGATCTCTGTGGGCAAGAAACCTGCCAAATTGTTCTGATCAAGCCAAAGATGCTGATAGAGGCCATGGTCGTCACATGGCTTTGGTAGTTGCTCTGTAGACGGAAAGAACCCGCTGAGATACCCAGGATACAGTTTCGAAAGTGTATTCATCAATGCATAATCTGGACTGTTGTACCAGTTGCATTCATGAACGCTGCGATTAAGCCAGTTTGTTTGTATAGCCCAGTTTGAACCTTCTGTTGCATAATACAAAGTGGCAAGGGCAAACTTTTGGACAACTCGAGCATGATTGTAGTAAGGAAGCAAGTCATAGTCTTGGAGGAGCCATTGCCATGCCTTGGATTGGGGTGATTCAGGGTCATCTGTTATAGCATGAACACTCTCATCTGGCAGCAAAGCCAGCCAAGAGCCCTGAAGAGTTGTTGGAGCTGGGGTAGGAGGGCTTGTTGGTGGCAGTGATGGCATGAGTGCAGAGTCCATTGGTTCGTTTCCTCTCACAGAAACCACCACCACAACAACAACAACAATTATGAGAATGACAATGAGGAAAATTGCTCCCAGACAACCATACTTTTTGATATTATTGTTGCTTTCTTGTCTCATTCTAGCAGCAGCATCAAGATCTTCGGGAAATGCTGGCTGTAGATCCTCTTCTACCACCAAGTTGGCCACTGCCAGGTCGTTATTATCATTATTAGTAATGCTGTCCACGACCGCATTGGCAGAAGCCGTTTCGATGGTTGCAGGAAGAGTCTCTCCTCCTGGTTGTGGCCTACTGGTTGTACCGGTAGTAGAAGAAGCGCCATTGACATGAAAGGCACCGGGTACTAGTACTGGATTCGGATGCCTGAGGTTTGGAGACGGCATAGCTTGAATGTCGTCAGTAACATCAAAGATAACGCTTTGAATTCCGTGGTTCTTTGTTGCCATGACAGGAGGAGAACCTGGTGTCGACTCTGTTTGATTTTCCATGTCCTTGTCGGAATGCTGGCCTTCCTTTGGAATTTCTCGTTTGACATTATCACCCAGAAGTGGCGACTCGGTCTTGGACGGTTGGCCTTTCTCATCCTTTTGGGTTGCTTGTTTGTCAATACCGGTATGTTGCTCCTTGAGACTCATGAGGCCATCTTGTCCCTTTCTCTCGCGCTGTGGGAGGCAATCAATATTGATCCTGTCATCAACAGAAGGAGCTGCCGACGAGGGGCTCTTTTTCTGGTTGGTTTCTTGGCACGGGTTCATCTCGTCTACACAATAAAAAATCAGTTTTTTGGTTGTGATACATACAGTCAGTAGCCACAACAACTTCCCCTCCACGGTTTTTGAGTGTTTCCGGGGGCTGGAAGGCCGGTGAAAGATGAAGACGCTGGAGCTGACGCAGCTTTGCTTGGAGTTTTACCACTGTAGATCTACATGTATGTATGTAGTCCTGCTAGCCAGCTGGCTTGGTGTTCGTGGTTGGATGAAGTCCCAGCATGCTACGAACTCCGAATGTGAAACCTGTGGCGCGCTCAGTATAGTGGTTGTAGTAGACTTTCTTGTGGTGACCCTTCCGCAACAAGACGTGACTTCCGTGCATAACCACTGTAATAAATCCCAACGTGAACCAAGTGAATATTAATTAATAGGATTATTAGAAAAGTTGATTGTATTCTAGCTGTTCACAGATTGGCTGGATCAATTTGAGTCTTAAGGACCACGAGTACCATACTCAAGTTTCACCTGTCGTACCGGTATCCAGTGATCGTAAGCAGTACTGAGTACACCAGTAGGAGCGGTGAATTATGAGCATACCGGTACCGTGCCGGTACAGGTACGCACCGACGTACCCACACTAAAGCATTTTTTTAACCGTTGCTGATTGCATAGGAGATGGAGTTGATCCAAGGCACAGGTCTCTTGCTAGCTTTGCTGGTTACCAAAAAAGAACGCAAAAGATCTTTGCTTCACGACGCAAAAACACATGCAGCAGCACAGCTTTTCTCTGGTTCAGATCTGCTTCCTCCAAACCAATCATTGAGGAACTTGCAACCACAATAATGACGACAAAACCAAGCGTCCTGATACGTCCAGCCCGAGCAGACGATGCCAGTGATCTACTGTACTTGCATCAACTGGCCGCCGTGGATCCGCAAGGTCTGGTTCGACAACCACAAGAAATCACACTCGAATTCATTGTGGAAGGATTCCTTCTCCCCTGTCTGCAGTCGGGTATCATTTTAGTGGCGGAACTACCGGTCGAAGAAGATGACAACGAAGATGAACATGATTGCAAGACGAAACAACAACGCATTGTGGGAGATATGCATGCCTTGAATCCAACATCCCCGATTGCCTTTCAACACTTGCTCACCGATGTATCCATTGCGGTGCTCCCCTCTGTACAAGGGCAAGGGATTGGTCGCAAGCTATTCCAAGACTTTTTTCATCGGATACCCACTCATATTGCTCGAGTGGAACTGTACACGCTGTCTACCAATGCCAGAAACGTCCAATTCTACGAACGAATGGGATTTGTCAATGAAGGTACACAAACCAATAGGATCTTTTACTACGACTGTGACCAAACTGATGGCAAAGCTGTACAAGAAGCAGAAGAAGAAGACGAAGCAGCAGCAGAACTTCGAACGCCCATTCACATGGCATGGCTCAATCCCAACTTTGACATGAAAGAACTGCTTCTGCATCACAAGAAGAGCTTGAAAAAACACGTAACTTGAGCGTTTGTGGCTACCCACTGCGGTCCTAGAATCTAATCATGTTCCTGTTCATCATATTTATTTTATTCTAGTCATTACGTGCGTATTCCTGTTCACCACTTTGTGCTTCTCGTGTTATTCACTTTGTTCTACAAAAACTTATCGTCGCGATTATTGAAAAATCTTCGGGTTTCATACAAACATGTTCTTAGATATGCCGCACAACTCCACCATCAACCATTTGACAGGCTCCATTGACTCCCGCCGCCAAGGGTGACAGCGTAAAGACGGTAACGGCAGCAACTTCATTGGGATCCAAGAATCGTTGGAGCAACGATGTGGGTTCGGCATCTTTAAAGTACGTCGCCACGGCTTCTTCCATGGAAGCAATCTTGTGCATTTCGGCAAATTCTTGCATGTACTTGCGCACCCCTCCCGTCATGGTGGGTCCAGGCAAGATGGAGTTGACCGTGACGGCGGTTCCCTTGGTCATTTCGGCCAATCCACGCGCTAACGCAATTTGCGATGTCTTGCTGACACCGTAGGGTAACATGTGCGGCAACGGTCGCAGTCCACATTCGGAACTAATGAAAAGAATGCGTCCTTCATTGCGTTCTTTCATGAGTGGCAAAAAGTGACGACTCAATCGAACTCCACTCATCGTGTTGGTTTGATAATACTCGATCCATTTGTCATCGGCAATCTCGGTAAATTCCTTGGCTTCAAAGATTCCCACATTATTGACCAGTCCGTAGAGTTTGGTGCCAATTTTGGTTTCCACTTCCTCCAGAGCGGCAATAAACTTGTTAGAGCCTTCTTCACTCGAGACATCTCCCGGAACTCCAATCAATTTGGTAGAGGCGTCTTCTGCCACACTTGCGTTGCTCTTGGTAATGTCGGCGATTGTCTTGTCCACCGAGCCTTGGCTGCGACCATTAATCACCACGTACGCTCCTTGTCGGAACAACTCTTCGGCAATGTGCTTGCCAATGCCATCGCCAGTGCTGCCGGTCACCACCACGAGTTTATCTTTCAACTTCAAATCCATCGTCTCTTACTATCTTTGGTTTAGGTTTGCTTTGCTTTTCTTTCTCTTTCGATCTATTTTATGACAAACACATCAAAGGTAGCTATTATCGACCAAGCTATCGATCGAACTGGCCAACTGATCGAACTGGCCAACTGCCTGCTGAACCAGCAGAACAACCAGAACGATCAAACCAGCCGTAAAAGAAGATCCAAAAGATCCAACAGGATCCATTTTTAAAAGATTCGTCGTTCGAAGAAGCTCCGTCTGGCTGAAACTGAGATTCGAAGAACCTCTCACACTTCAAACAGAAGGCAAATTAAGCCAGCCAAAAGTAAAAAGATACCCTTTGTCTTCTGGCGGTGTGGAATTCCAATGCTAGCTACTGGGTAGAGGTACAAGTACGTACTCTAGTACATGTAGTAGAGATAGCGCGGACTGTCACTCTCCATTCATCCCGTATCAAGTGATGTTGTTGTGAATAGTGGACTTCTTCGGCTAGTCCAATAATTGGTGGTACAGCTGCCTTGCCAAGGTCATGCCCGTGTGAAACATTGACTTTCTCGTTTGCCTGGGGTGGGCGGATGAATTCCTGTGCTATGTATGTGTTGACTCAACTCCAATGAGTTTCTCCAACAGCCGTGTTTGGAACTCGAACTTGGTCAGGAGTTGCTTTTGGTTGTGGCCGGCATGGTTTTTGCAGTCGTGTTGATATCTAGTAGGAAGAAGCAAGGTACCGTACATACCATCGATTATGGTGGGAAGACCACTACACGTTGAAATTGAAAGGACACTGCATTGGTAGCCAATGGACAGTGCTCTTGTGAGGGATTTTTGGTGGATTCACACTGTAGCCAAGGGTGGAAGCCAGATGATACTGGTATCATTTTGGAGGGAAGATGCAACCTGAATCGGAGTCCAGTGATTGAACTCCTTCTTGAGAAGCTCTTGAGCTTCTCTCGAGAAGCAGAAAGCAGTGGCATAATAGCTGATGGCTGATGGTAGATTCCAGCTGGTAGTATTGAGCTTGTGTTTGTGTTGGTCGCCATGATCCGATGGGGACCTATATTGGAGGCCCTCACTTAGCCTACTAGATAGCTAGTAGGTGACTAAGTGGGTTGTAGGCTATTGCCTGCCAGTTTATGATCTACTAGCTAGTCTAGCTATTAGTAGCTAGTACTCCGAGTACTTACATGTACGCATTCCAAAAAAAATAAATAATACTCGAGAATTGCTTTTAATCACGTTATTACTAGCAGCTTTACTAGCTAGCTAGTCTTGTAGTTCTTATACTCACTGAGCTGTGGGTGGCAGAATATTTGCAGATCCAGCTTCATTGGAGAAAAGCCCTTTACGGTACCGGATACTGTACTGTAAGCAGAAGAGCACAACAAGTTTTATTGAAATAGGAGGCAACTTGATGGTTCGGCTATTACTACGGATTCGGATTGAATTGTCCTTTTCCTTGCTCCCAAGCCGATTTCCCACCCTCGGAAGTGGATTTCCGAGGTCCAGAAGCAAATTTCCACTTAAGAGACGTTCTCCGTTTAAGGATAGCGTTAGCTGTCAACCATTTTTGACCACCAGTTCGGATTTCGCCTCACGTACAACCTACACACCCTATGTACCGGGAAGGAAAATCTCCTTCAGAGGGTGGGAAATCCGCTTCAGCACTGGGAAAGGACAGTTCTTCCCGAATCCGTAGTATACATATTAATAACATTCATGCTTTTACTTGGCGAGTGGTCGGAAACGTCTAGTCTGGAGAATAGAGGATTTAATTCAGTAACATCACGAATTTCGGAAACCCAGAAATCAAGAACACATATAATATTATAATATTTAAAATAGTACCGGTACACAGAACACTGAACTTTACACTACTTACTTTACCAGCTACTTATGTTGTACTAGTACATAGTATTAGTAACAGGCCAACTACTCCTCTCCCCACCAAAAATAAAAATTTAAAAATCTCCTCCGAGTAGAGGTTGGTAATATTTACAATGTGTGCCAGGGAAGTTTCACCGCATGGCCTGCCTCGTTTCTTGTCGCTTATTGAAATTTCCTGTTACTAGTACCTTATTATTGAAACAGGGATCCGGAAGGGAAGCTAGTGTTCATGACCATTAATCACCGCGCTTGTCGCTTTTGTTCACCTTCCGGTTGGGATTTAAGCCAATGGTCAAAACCGACATGGGTTCTTTCCTGATCATTACTCTCGCTGTTTTGTGCGGTCCGGATTACGGCCATTAGTTAATTCCTTATTCAGTACTGGTCCAGCTAGTACAATTTCGGACCAGTGCCGCCGGTCCACCGGGGCCTACACCCCTACAAGGTATTGGACTAGCTACTACTGTACCAGCTACTCCGGAGTACCTGGTACCAGCTTCCTGACACACCTCTACATGACATTGTATCACCGTATCACCCGCGCGATGGCACTGCTGAGCTCTGCTTGGAAGAATGTGGTCCACAGCTGCATGTGTCGTCCTGTGCGAACAGATCGCGCTAACATTAATAAAGTGTGTTGCAGAACCGCATTGAAAGAGTCAGAATCGAGCTAGCTACAGTAGCACTAGCTAGATAAGGGGGTATCGAACTAGGCTTACCGACTGGCTCATTATTATTATCATCTTCTACAGTACAGCAGCACAGGTAGCTTTTCCCGTTGCTGCGATTGACTTACGTCTCCATTCTCTCCCTCTCTAATAGCTAGCTAAGCCATCAGGTTCACTCTGAGAGAACAACAGTTGCTGTATTGTTGCATCATGAACGAAGACGACGAGAGGCACGAGGAAACACGTGATGGTGGGTATCATCAGGGTAGCAATGAGGGAGCTTACGGCGGCATTGACGATAATGGGGTAGCTGATGATGATAACGCCCGCACTGAACAGGAATCAGAACAAGAGCTGTTGGCCCGCAAGATGGCCATTCTGCGCCTTACATCACCGGATAACGGTAGCAGCAGTGGCAGTGGCAGCGATCGAGAAGGAGACGAAGAGCAGGGGAGGCAGCCGCGGGAGCCGCGTGGTGCCCCAGGACGGGAAGTCGATCCAGAAGCCCTTAGCAGCACAGCAAGCAGGATCATTGATGGTGACAGCCTTCACGAGTCTCGGACATGTAGCACAGAAGAGGTAGCTGTTGGTGCTGCCAGCGAAAAGGACGTGGAAGCCATGCACCGAGCAGAGGCTACAATTGTAGGCGCCGTGGCATCTTCCGGACTGGACGACGACGACAAAGAGGACACCAAGACCCTTGCGACAGAAACTACGTCCCGCTCCCTGATGGACAGCAGCTCCTCGTCCCATAACATGGACAACAATTCCACGAGGACATCTACCCAACGAAGCTCAGTCGCTAGCAGTCTCACTCCGGGAGCCTACAGTACCCACCCTACCTGGAGGGGTAGCGTAACCAGCAGTGACGGCTTTTCGGAAAATGACGACGAAGACGAAGATGACGGTCTAGCTATTGCCAATGTCAACCGCAATGGGACAGTTCGATGGGCGGACGTTTACGCAGAGGCAGGATTGGTGCAAGCCAATCCCGTGGCCGAGCTCCCTGCCAATATGGAACGAGCCGAGCCTATGGACGAATCCGACCATTCGAGGACCAGACGCCATCACCATCGACGCAAGGATTCTTCGTTACACATTTCATTGCTCGTAGCTCTCTGCTGTATCGTTGTGGCAGCGGCGGGGCTCACTATACTTCTTTCCAACAGTGGGAATAGTACTATGCCGGAAAAGAATGCAAAGAATGCAACTGCTGTGATGGATATGTCCAACGAAGACGATCCCAACCAACCATGGCAGTGGGATTTGCCCTTTCCACCGACGTCCAACACCACCCTCCACGTCCTGACGCAGGACAACTACAACGGAACGTGTTCAACGTCCAAAGCGTACCGATGGATGAAACAAGATCCTTTTATCGCCAACTATTCCGAAGAAAGACTGTGCCAACGATTTGTCATGGCACAATTCTACTATGCCATGGGAGGTCCCGAGTGGACCAATCAAGGAGGTGGCACAGTGACAATCCTGACGGATGCCTACAAGTCCAAGGAACGATTCACGAGCCCCAAGCCCTCGTCGGCACCCACGCACCCGCCGCCATTGGGAGGACGGCAACTGTTGCGTGGCCAGAGCAACAGTATGGGTGGTATTCAAGCAAGGGGAGGTTTCAAAAGCAAGGAAACGATTGAAGTCAACATCACATCTGAACCATGGTTGTCATATCAGCATTCCGAGTGTGAATGGTTCTCAACGGCACCCATTCACAATCACGTGATATGTTATGAGGATCAAAGAATACGGAATGTGGTCCTGAAAGACAACAACTTGGTAGGGACGCTTCCGGATGACCTGTTTCTTCTGGACTCCTTGGAAGGAATAAGGTTGGGCAGAAACAAAATCAGGGGACCCATCCCCACGCAGATTGGAGCATTGACAAACCTCCAAGGCTTTCAAGTTTTTCGAAATCATCTCACCGGAACTGTCCCGTCCGAGATTGGATTGCTGTCCAACTCAATCGCATTTCTGTCCATTGTGCTAAACGAACTTCATGGCTCACTTCCATCGGAACTGTGGAACCTTTCCAAGCTACAACAGCTCAAAGTTGGCAAGAACGAATTCACTGGATCCCTCCCTGCGAACATTGGTGAATCCATGCCTAACCTTGAACTTTTCATGGCTGGCGTCAACCAGCTCACAGGTACCATACCAAGCTCCCTGGGATCATTGACTGGATGTATTGTTTTGGATATCAGCGACAACAACCTAGAAGGTACACTCCCTACTGAGCTGGGTAACCTCGGCAACCTGACAACATTGTATGCAGGAACGAACTATCTATCTGGAACTGTGCCGTCAGAGTTAGGTCTTGCTCCACTAATCAATCTCAACTTGGAGGGAAATGAAGCCCTGACTGGAGATTTCCCGCCAGAGCTATCTCAATTGAATCAAACTGTTGCTCATCTGCTATTGAAGGGCACTTCTATCACTGGCACCATTCCCGAGCAGTTGTGTGACATCCAGGAGCTCAGCTTTGACTGTTCACCAACGCTGTGTGGTTGTGACTGTCCCTGCAATACAACGTCCCTTTAGGAGGGTGAGGTAAACCCTCCATGAACACTACCTTGTACATTAGACAACTACTGTATCATCTAGCTGTCTATTACCCTGTCTCTTCAGTGCAAACCTACACTTCTCTAAGTTGGCCAAGAGCGAAACAGTGCTGAACATAAAATCAGATAAGGTTTCCATACTTCATAAGCAGAACTTGGTATTCACCTTTAGAATGAACCTAAGATCGCCTACACATTCTACCACCATGGCTCCCAGCACAACCCAAGGATTGAAAGCTACATGCCTGTAGCAATCCATGTCAAGAGACAGAGGTACCTGCCTTGACCGGATGGAAGATGAGGATTGCTCGAAGAACAATGGTATTTTAAGTAGATACTACAGCAGAATTAGATATTAGTTGGTGAAAATTCGATGGAGAGTTGTCCAATGGATCAGAGCAACACCGTTGCACTGTTCCAAAGCATTTTACATAGAGATGGCTGGTCGGTTGTAGCTATTCCAATGATAGCGAGCGCTCTGCTTACTACAGCCTGACTCGACTCTTTCAGCCAGCAAGCAGTTCTTTTGCAATTTTTCTTTTTCATTGGATCGGTGCTCCCCGTACAGTACCGCAGGCTCACTGAATCACACAGGTAATTTCCTTCGCTTCCTTGACCTTGCTGGAACGGAACCAGGACCGTCCGACGGTTTTCACTCAGGATTTAAAAAGCTTCCACGACTGAAAAAAATTGACCAGCACAATTAAGGGATTGTTTCTTAAGGGATTGTTTAAGGGAGAGTCAAAGAGTTAAGGGATTGTTGTTAAGGGATTGTTTATTTAAGGGATTGTTTAGGGGATAGTTGAAGAAATAGGGGATAGTTGTATGGTATTTCCATGTGGCGTTAAGGGATTGTTTAGGGGACAGTCCAAGTTTTAAGGGATTGTTTTAAGGGATTGTATCTTTAAGGGATTGTTTAAGGGATAGTTGATTAGTTAAGGGATTGTTTAAGGGATTGTTTTAAAGGGTCCTTCAGTTGTGGCAATTTCAAGATTTTTTAAATCCTGTGTGAAAACCGTCGCACAGTCCAGTACACAGGTAGAACGCACTATTCGCCGAAATGTACGTTGAATAGCCTGGCTGATGGCGGAAGTCATACGGCATCTACTCGAGATCTGTACCGGTACCATATCTGCTCTGCTTGATGTGCAAACCTGGCTGGATTGAAATATAAGAAGGCTACTACGGTACCTTACCGCTACGAACATAGCTGTCTAGCGTCAGTTGATGTTTCAAGTTGGTGGGTCTGTTCTGGCCTCTCTTGACTCTCAGTGCGTTCATCTCAGGGCTGGTCCTAACCACATTCATGTGGTTCGTACGTTCGCACAGGAAACACATTTATTTTCGCGTATGTGTTTTCATTCTTAACCATTCGCAGATACGTCATTCGCGAATAAGCCGAACTCATCAGGGTTAGGGTGAAAACGGATGGCTACTACGGTAGTAGTACATGCATGCATGTACTGAATACAGTACTTCTTCTCACTTTTCAATGATTCGAGGACGTGCTCGAGAGGAGATCTCACTTTTCGATTTTCGAAACTCGCTAGAGTTGGGGATAGTGCGAGATAATGAGTTCTGATTTTCGAAACTCGCTAGAGTTGGGGATAGTGCGAGATAATGAGTTCTGATTGGTCCTACGCGAATTCCAAATCCACACGTTCGGCGAACCGCAGCTCCACTTTTTTACTATAAACATTTTCTGCGGTTCGCCGAACGTGTGGATTTGGAGGAAATTGAGCCGTTATTTCGATTTCACGAACGAACGGACGTCATTTTTAAAAGCTGGATAGGACCAGCCCTCACTCTTTTATCTGCCATCATCTCGAGGATTCCTCTCTACGGTACTAATAGCTCTAGAGCTGGCTAGCTAGCTGGAGAGATACTACTAGTAGCTAGCTAGCTAGCTGTCCAGATAGCAGACAGGGATGCAACTAAATCGCATTGCTCCGCAATGCGATTTCACGGCACACTCAGAATAAACACGGTGACCTCCACGTGATTGAGCGTTTTCGAGTCTTCGGAACAGTTCAAGAACGGTCCTTTTTGTTGACATTTTCCCGGAAGTCTCGTGGAAGTTTCCCGTTCATTAATGACCCCTCACGTCAGTACCAGTACACGTAAGATGTCATCGCCCATTCCTTCGCTCCCACAATTTCGAAGATCCTCTTTGCACACCTCAAAATTTAGCAAACATCTGACGAGTCATAATCACCATCATCATGAACTTTCGCTTCCCAATTGCTTTGCTGTGGCCCTTGATTGTCCCTCTCACCGTTGCGGCTGATGTTGTAACAAAGCAAGTGGATGGCTCTTCCTTCACACCCCGTGATCTCCAGGATCCCGGCGATTTTGATACCGTCGTCATTGGAAGTGATTCGCAGACGATCACGGTTACCATCGACAAGACTGCTGTGAGCGGGTTGGTAACCTACGGAGAGAAGTATGTGATTATCACTCCATCAGTGTCAGGTTCCGACACTAGAGTTACTTGCACCGCGACCCTTGCGTCTAGCTTGGTCAACATGCAATTCTTTCTCCGCAAATTTCTCCAACCTGACGAAGACCAGAATGGCAATGCGCAAGATTACGACTGTGCTGCCAACGGCGACAATAACTTTGTTGAACCCGATGTCGAATCGTGCTCTGTCACAAACTTTCCAGATATTGGACGGGACATGATTTTCGGTTATGTTGCCGTCCTGGACAGCAGTCTCGCCCAGGGAGCCACCTACTCCATCAACTTTGTTTGCAATAAAGTCGAGCCCGGGGGTTCCGCTTGCTTTTCAAAAGACAGCACGGTCGACGTTCTCGACAAGGGGTCGACTCCGATGAAGGACCTTGCCAATGGTGACACAATCCTTGTGGGTGGAGGGTCGTATGAACCAATCTACTCGTTTGCCCACCTGGACAAGACAAAATCCGCAACATTCCTACAGGTCCATACCAATGACCAGGAAGACGCCCCTCTTGAAGTTACAGAAGAACACTTGGTACATGCCAATGGCAAGTACGTTCCAGCCGGAGAGCTTCAAATTGGAGATATTCTCACTGCCGCCAACAGCAACGAAAAACGAATCATTACCAAGCTCGAAAGTATTGTCAAGACCGGCTTGTATGCCCCTCTCACGGCTTCTGGAACTCTGATTGTCAATGATGTCACTGCATCGGCCTATGTATCCCTGCAAGGTAGCTCTGTGTCAGGAGGCAACCTGCTTCTTGGTCATGGCAAAATCAACAGTGAGATATCGTATCACTTTATCAGTCACTTGGCGTTGAGCCCGATTCGAATGGCATGCATGGGGGTATCTTCCAGCTTTTGCAGCATGCCCAATGACGAGGAGGACAAGAGCCAACACGACGGGTATGCTCCTTTTGTTCGAATTTGGTTCGATCTGGTACAGTTGTTCGAAAGCCAAACATCTACCGCAGTGCAAATCTTTCTTTTGGCAGCTTTCTTGGGTGTCGTTTCTCCCTTGTATCTGATCGAGTCTGTCTTTGGCGCTGCGTTGGCTCCCTCTGCTATTTTCATTGTCATGACTTTTATTTCCCTTGCTGCCAATAAACGGCAGACCAGCAATGATACCGTCCGAAAGGTCAAGACTGTCTGAGCCCGATCAGCCAGTGAGACCTCGTAAGTGTACGATGTACGTCTTTTGGCTACAAGCTACTCAAGATAGCATATTAGATAATACAAATAGCAATCCATCAAGTCAATCAATCAAACAACATTCCAAGACGAATTTCCAGCACCAGTACCACCTACTCGTACTCAAGGAAACCAAATCAGATTTCCGCGACTAACGATCAGTACCATTGCCAGTCGTGAAGGATTTTAAGATTGCTCCTTGCCAGGTCGTCTACGACTGTACAGTGTACTGTTTTGTTTAAACGCTGTGTTGTCATCTGTCGTGGCACGACACGAGTTCTGTCCTGGATGGGTCCACTCGAGTCCGCAAAATATATGCCCTTTTTCGGAAAAGTCAATGCTCACAATTTGAAACAAAACACAAACACAACTCAAAGAACAACCAACTCTAGAAGAAACAACAAAGTAGAAGCAAGGATGGGCTGCGAACAATCAACACCTGTGAATTATTCACACTCTCCGGTCAACAGCTACAAACGCAAACAAAGAGCTGGTGGGTATTCTTCAGCGACACCAAGCCAAGGACACCGCCGACGAAACTACCATTCCAGGACCACCCTCGATTATGGTGGGTTCGGTGGCTATTCAGGTGGATGTGATTATGGTGGATATAGTGGTGGCGGTGGAGGAGGCGGAGGAGGTGGATGTGATGGTGGTGGCGGCGGCGGCGGTGGTGGTGGCGGTGGTGGCGGTGGTGGTTGTGGCGAGTAGAACGATACCTAATTGACTGCCAGGACCAAGGAGAAACTGGTCATGTTAGGATGCCATTGCAGAAAATAAAAAATAAACGAGATCGCGGTTTTGACTTTCGATTTATGTGATCAGAGATGGATCGTTTCTGCCTAGACGATGACTTTTGGAAATACTCTCGATAGTTACGGGTTTGTTGCTTTGAATGCATGTGCGGCATGAGAACGACGCAGTACTGAAAATCAAGTGAAGCAGCAACTGCCCAAGGCCCCAAGAGGGCACTCAATGCGATACCGGAGCGCGAAACTAATGGGCCTAGTATTGCCTGGCCTATTTTAGTGTAGCTCAGAAATCGACTGTGTACTACGGCAGTATTCCCTTCTTGTGTTCGACCTTCCCATGATCGGGATGGTTGCATGAAGCCCAGGAAAAGTATCCCGTGGAACCAAACCAAACCAAACCAAACCAAACCAAGGTCAGCCCCACACCACAGGCTGTGCTTTGTAAATGCGTCAGTCATTATTATTACCACAGCTTACTGAGCCGGGCTTTGTATCATTCTTTTGAAGTCAGGGAATACAAGCAACAGAAAGCAACGTAACCCCGGTCCATACAAAAAAAGCAGAACATGCAGCAGAAAATAGGAGTGCAGAACACAAAACAAGGTTGCCATGCAACAGTTGACGCAGGTCCATCTTGCATATTGCTACGAAAGCTTACTTGCCAAGCACAATATAAACCAACAAAAACCAACGTCGTCGTTTCCACAACTAAGTAACCAGCCGCCGCTTCAGGCAGTGACAAGAACAACTTCCAGGATGTTTCCTCAAGATGCTGAAGATTCCCAAGCGATTTGATTACCAACTTATAATATATATACCTCCAAATTTACCCCATCGCAACGGTGATCCATTGGTCTAGTGGCTATGACGTCTCGTTTACACCGAGAAGGTCCCCAGTTCAATCCTGGGATGGATTATTCTATTTTACTCGACAGCTAAGGGGTAATTTTTTCCGTAGCTCAAGTGCACGATGCTGAAGCTCTGCAGCTATTATGTAGCACAGTAGCAAGCAAGCCTTAGTTTAGTCCAATTCCTGTTGTGCTGGCGATAGTCTACCACTAGCTAGCTTGCTTATTGGCTGGCTGCGTTGGTGCAGGTTGTGCTCGGCAGCCATACATGTAGTAGCTGCCACGGTACTGCTAATAAAGCTCTGCGTCTTCCCCACACGAACAAAGACTCGCAAGAAACGAGATCGGTGGGGGAACGGATTACTCTTGAACATGCTCCTGCCGTTAACGGATTCCAAGAAGAGGAGCTCATAATAGTGGTTGAACTCCAAGTCCTCCTTCTCTGTCACGTCGCTCAAAAGAGAAAAGAAATCCTATCGGCCAACGGTGGGATCAGACGCATGATGCATGATCATATCTAAATGCATGGAGTTGTCCGAGGCATTCGATCTTTGCTACGCTAAGGACATCAGTACGACTCCGGCCAGACATCTCTTGGAGAGCAACTCCAGCAAATAGTCATGGAACCTACAAGCCGATTTTCCGTAGATAATCCACCTACTCTAAATCCCCGTGGCATCTACTGGTGCGCCTCCCGGTACCGGCACCTGCAACCAAGACGAGGAAACCTAACTTGAGGTGGGTAAAATGCTCCTTTCGTAAGTACCAGGTACCATGTAACAAAGACATCTAGTTAGTGTCGGCGCGGGAATGGCGCTCGGGGATGGCATCACTTCCCCAACCCAAAACGCGCTCACCACGCTTTACAGCGGGTCTTTCGGCAACGGTCTTGGACCAGCGTTGAAGATTGGAATAAGAGGCTCCGTCGAGGTATTCCTGACTGATCAAACCAGAGGTCCACTTCCAATGCATAATGTCGGCAATTGTATATTCATCGCCGCACAAGTACTGTTTCCCCTCAAGAGCCTTGTCGAGAACGTCTAGAATGCGCTTGGTCTCAATGGTGTAACGGTCGATGGCGTACTCCCTGCAGGTTCGACCAGCCACGACGACAAGAGAGGAACCAAGTCCGGTTAGTGACATAGCAATCCAAGTGTCCATTGTTCGTCTCGGTAGGGTGAGTTAGTTAAATGTACTCACCAATTCTTGGGAGCTCGCCCTTTGAAATGGCTCAGACCGCCACCACCGTAGTACGGCCCAGCACCAACCTGAAAGAACACCCAACTCAAACATTCAGCCTTCTTGGCGAGATCTGTTGGCATGAGCTTGCCATACTTCTCCGCCAGGTAGACCAGAATGGCCCCGGATTCAAAGACACGGGCACCCGTGGACTGGTCAAAGATTGCAGGGATCTTTGAGTTTGGATTCACAGCCACAAATCCAGATGTGAACTGGTCACCTTTCATGATATTGATAGTGTAAGCGTCGTAGTCAAAGGTTTCGTCCATTTCCACCAACTCCTCCAGCATGATAGATGCCTTGACACCATTCCCTGTACCCAAGCCGTAGAGCTGAATGTCGTGGGAGCCACGAGGGAGTTCTTTATCGGATTGAGGCCCACTCTTGGGAATGTTGCTCCCGTGGACAGGCTTCATGGTTTCTTCATTGTACTTCCACACTTGGGGAATCGTGTATCCTTCTGGGATGCTGGGTTTTGGGTTCATGTGAGCCATGCTTCTTGCTGAGAAAGTTTACTTGTTTTTTGTTTCTGTGTGATTGTGCTTTTGTTTTATGGTCTTCATGATTGCACAATTGAAGGGATTTGTTTTGTTTTGCTTTGTTTTGCTGGACGGAGATGTCGGCATCTCGATAGACTTCCTTCCTGAGCGGATATGTCGGTCAAAGGTACCTCTGTAGGTTTCTTCGCTGCTCACTGTCAGAGAAGCGACGGGGGTGGTCTTCAGTCTCGGGTTTCATCGGCTTGGCTGCTCGTGCAGGGTGGGGTGGAGCTGAGCGGAAAAGTATGTGTCAGAGACCTTCGAGGAGCTTCCAAGAAACCATCTCATTTTTTGCGACATAGCATTATTATTGCTATTCCAAACCGGCAAAGGGTGCCCACGGAACAGCCAAGAGGTTCGGGCCTCATTTCAATCAGACCCTACTGTACCCATCCTCCATCCATCCATTGATTCTAGTATGGAGCGGATGGAAATTTTGTTGGTGGACTTGATGGTGACGGCAGAATCCGTCGCCCATGGCCAAAGTTTGAACCCTACACTGAAACAGCTTCCCGTCGTACAACTTCTACGGACAAGATAAATATAAGTCGTTGACCAATCAATTTAATAATTAGATGATCAGTTTATGGAGCTTCTGCCGGTCGGAGGAGTGTATTATTATTAGAACATGACACCCATGACCTCACAAAAGTCACGCTTCATGTCCTCGTCGAAAAGAAAGTCACTCTCAAAGGAGGATTCCGAGTCGTCCGAGATTGGCTCCAATGCTGGTTCTTCCTCAAAGATGGATGGAGAAAACGTTTCTGTCGAGTGGAATTTGTGGCAACCAAAGACCTCGAGACTCTCCGATCGCATGGTTTGTGGTGGTTGTGGTTGGAAAACGTTGTTCATCATCATGGGTGCGATTTCAATTGAGACTCTTTGTTGTTGCTTGGCGGGCGATGGTGGCATTTCATCCTCGCTGTCACTGGAAGAAGAAAAATCCTCATCGGATACAATGGAAGATGTCGAGTATTCAAACAACGGAGGCGTCGATGATTGTTGTGTCAGTGGAAGTGCTGTTGCTATGGTTGCTTCTGCTGCGGATCCCTCGTATTCTTGAGTGCGACGCTGTTGTCGTACAATGGCCTTTGCCTTTGTAGAAGAGCTGTAGAGATTGGGATTTCTGTCTCGGAAGGATTGTCCGCACTTTTCCTTGGCGGCACGATCGCCCACTTCAAACCAGACTCCATCCATTCCGCGCTTGACAAAGCCACCTTCTGGCGAAGCGGATCGGACTGTGGCGACGACCTTGGAGACGATTTTGCTCTTCAAGTATTTGCAGTTTGATACGGCGGCATATTCGGCTCTGTGGAGTTCAATCAGAGCGCGGAATCGTTGGTTGCCCGAGTGTTCATAGGCGTCCTTTCCTCTGGCGCAAATGACATCGAAGGGGCCTGGTCGAAAGGACTTGGAGAGGCGGCGTTTGCCACGGATGCTTTGGTATCCGCTGAGGTTGTTGATTGTAGGGTAGTCCAACATGTTTTGTTTACTTTGTTTGCTTGATAGACTGTTTTTGTTGGGTATGAGCTTTGTGTTGCTGTTTGTGTGTTTTGTGTTGTTGTGATTTTGATTTGTGAGATGATCAAAGGATCAAAGGATCCTATTCTCGTTGCCATGTTGAAGTGACGGTACTGAAATCGTGCCAAAGGAAGGCCGCATGCAGCTTATTCCACTGAGCGCTTATGAAAAGCTTCTGCTGTTGAAGAAACCAAACCTGTTTTCGGAATCCCGAGAAGTGCTCCAAGGACGCTTCTATGTAGATTTTGTACTAAATTTCAAAACCGTAATTCTCTCATTCTTGAAAGATCGCTCCCATGAGATCCGGATGATCGGGACCAGTGTCCCCTCCCTTCTTTTCCCCAGCTCATTCACCTCAAATTGGTCTGATTGATAAACCGGCAAACGACCTCACAATTTGAAGATTTTTGAGAACACGCAAGGGAGGTTCCAGGGTACGATGTAGGCTTTGGAAGAGTGCATCATCTGCCTGGCTACTAGCTAGGCACGGTATGTACCATGAACATGTTGCTCACACTTCAAGAAAACAAAACTGCTCTGTCTTCCGAATTGATTTCACAGAGAACTCACACTTCAAGAAACAAACATGCCCTGTCTTCCGACTTGATTTCACAGAGAACTCACACTTCAAGAAAACCAAAAGACGTTCGAATCGAATCGAATCAATTGTAGGCGGTGATCTGGAGGCTCCAGCCCTACCGGCAATGCAAGCTGATGCTGACCGTAGAGAACCAACAATCTGCGCGTACCAAGATGCGGTCGTCACCTATAATCGTAATTCAAAGACAAGAACAACAAATGAAAATGACAAAAAATCAAGAGGAATCACATCCGACAAAAGTGAAGAAGAAAGACCATGTGCCGACCAAAATCGATAATCTTGTCATCCCCTGCCATGGAAGACGAATGACGAGGATAACTGGCTACCTTGCATTGGCGGCGCGGTGCCTACCGAGTCTGTTTGGTTTCGTTTCCGTTGCCCCAGATCTTGGTATACATCAAACAAGGGTATAAAGACAGACAAGGCATAAAATCATTATATAGCTGACGTTATCACTTCACTGAGCCACCATCTATAAGCTAGTCACACTATACCTGTTGCTATCGATCAGATTCTGGTCCTGCGGTACCGGCAATCCTATCAATATCTGCTGTAGCTACATGTGGGTTGCGGGGTGGTAGCGTACTGCGTACCACGGTGCTCGCGATTTGGCGTCCCCAAAAATCAGCAACAGAAGGGTATCCTTTCTCAGCACGAAGGAAGTCAGCGACATCGCCAAACTCTTGATCTGACAAGGTGTCAGCAGAGCTCAGTGCTGGCGACGGAGTGGCGGGCTTGGAACCATCCTTTAACCTTCTTTCGACGGACAGCTTTCAGAATTGAAACGGGATTTGCATGAACTGGAACAGGACATCAAAGGATACGCCATCCATGACTCCATGACCTGAAGAATGGTGTCAAGGAGTTCAGTAGAAGGAACTGATGAAGGGTCAAGAGGAAACGAAGTAATTGAAGGCTGAGCTAAAGGGGATGGGAGGATGGGAAGAAGGCACCTGAGGAACGGTGGTATTTGGGAGGGATGCATAAGCGAAAGCCTCTACTTGGTTTGATAGCGACACTACATGAACAAAAGAAGTGCCCCATCCACCATCCAGCGCTGAGATAATAGTAACAATTTAGTTAGTTATTTAGCCTCTGTTAAAGGTGCAATGGAAGAATAGGAACATGGCCATGCTCTCGCAGAAGAAGGACTCGCCATCACCATAGTAGTGTCTGCTTTTGCTGGCATCATTCATGGAGTGCCTTCTTCTCAGTTTTTTGAAGGGGTTCTTTAGTTTTGGCATTTTGATCAGGGTATCATTGGTCATTTCAGAGGATCTTCGAGACTTGGAAGGTTTGTCATATGTGCTACTACGTCTCTTGGAGGTGGCGGGGTTGGAGATTTTGGTGGATGATGGCAAAGATTGTCGTTTTCTGCTGTCTTCGGCTGGCCGATCACTTTGACATCCCATCAGCGAATGTCGCTTTGCATACAACGATTTGCTGTAGGTACTTGCATCGTCGTCGTAAACTTTTGATTGCCTCATTGTTTGTGCTATTTCAGTGCTTGGATTTTATGAGGAAGATCTCGGCTTGCTAGTACCGGTCAACACAGCCCATGCCGTGTTGAAGAGGAGGTGCGGCGCCAACAAGCATGAAGCAAAGCAACCCGTGAAGCATGATGCGTGAGCCACATTGGACCGACTCGGCACCTTTAAGTAATTAACCTCGGCAGTCTTGCTGCCAGAGCCCTCAACCCCTTTAATTGTTTTTCCTGCTACGGTGGTCCCTGCAGGTATAAGGGTAGGGTTAGAATACAAATAAGTCAGCAAAACTAAATAGGTATCCTATCCTAGGATGGTGCTTTTAAAAATCAGCTAAAGCTATTTACATGCATCCTAGTAGGGGGTTTGCTTCTACCAGGAAAAACTCTAAAGCCAGCGAACGCTATATAACTAGGATTCTAGCTAGCTAGGGTATCTGCTTCTAGCTGTGCTATGGGAATCTGCTTCTAGCTAGGGGGATCTACTTCTAGCTAGCTAACGCAGTAAAGCACTAGCTAAGCACTAGAGTATCTGCTTCTAAGCAACTGGAACGCTGTGGAAATGGCGGTATCTGGTCAGTCGTGCTTCCGATTTTGTCTAATTTTGAAATAAGACAAGATTGAAAACACGGTTTTGTCCTAATTCTCAATCTTGTCTTCAAATCTTGTCCTATAAGCCGGATTGGCTCTTCCGGTCTTGTCATATAGGACAAGGTTGCTGTCTCTAAATCTTTCATCTTGTCCTAAGTCTTCAAGCCAATTTTCAACGACACTACTAGTAGCTATTACAAGACGACTACGACCGTACTCCATCTATCGACAGCTAGAGGCTTTGTTCATTCTTCTTTATCTTTGGTTTCAAGCGCTTCTTTCCTTTCATATCCAATGTATGCAGGTATTTCTTTGTTTTGGCTAGCTGATAGATGTGATCTCTAAAAACTTTCAGGCATCTCGAAGGCACTTAAGCTCCGCGGGTTCTAGCGTCTCGAGTAAGCCAAGCTCGATGTCTTCTTCCAATCACTTTTTTGCTTCTGATCCATCCCATTCCAGGTAACCATGAGCAGAGAATTTGTGCACAACATTGTTTGTGAGGAAATTGCTCAATGCAGCCTTGTCATCATCGGTTCTAGAGAGGTGCCACTTCACAATCTTTCAAAGGCTTGAAAGTCGTGTCGAGAAGTTTTTGTACCCATGAAGAGCATATTCGGGACGGCTTGTAAAGATCTCACTGGTTGGCATTGCTTTGTCGGGCTGTCGCGGAATCACATTGTCGATAATATCTTGCATCAAAAGCGCTCTAGCTTTGCTCTTGAGCCAGGATTCTTCGGCATCTGGTGGGATCTCGTCCAATGGACTTCAACTGCTCATCCTTAAGGATGTCGGGTGGTAATGGAGGAGGAGTCCTCGAATTCTTGGTGGTTTGACGTCGCGGCATGATTTGTGTGTGTTTGTTGTTGTTGCTGTTGCTGTCAAACGACCCAACTAACTTCAAGAACTTTGAGAGCTAAAAATCTAGCTCTCCAAGAAAGAATTTGAAGAGCAGGGATACACGTAGAAATCCTACCACGAGCAGGCCTTGCTGGCTTAGGTGACCTCTGAATTCAGAATTCTGCCTCCAATTTTTTGGCGGCCCAAAGGTGCCACAATGGTCTCAACCCGAAGTGGAAAGAAGGAAACAAAGGCTGATCCTGGTGGAGGGTCTGTTGCATCGTCTACTGTTGGCAGTAGACCAGGGTTACCGCATTTGTAATCAAGTTCTTGCAACTGACATTCAACGAGAGTACGAGGAATTAACAAGCTAAAGGGCCCAAAGGTGCTGCAAAAGCTTCTCGACAAGCACAACTCGGACGACAAAGCTTTGTACGGAGATGTTGGCTCGGCTCTTCGTACCAAGATTAGCAACAAGGTAAACAAGTGGGAATTGTTGTCACAGAATCAGTGGCGGAGCAGAGTATTGCTGAAGCTAGAAATTCCAGAAATGCCCACCAAGAAAGAGAAAGAACAGGTGAGAAACCGATTCTTCGATCAGCTCAAAGGAAGACGAAGATGAAGATGACGAACTGCCTGTTCCAGCAGTGATCGAGACGCCCACCAAACTATCCAAGAAGAAGCAGGAAACGCAGGAAACTCCTGAAGTCAACACCAACAAAGCAGCAAGGGATCGCAAGATGAAGAAATCAACCCCAACAAAAGATCTTGCTGCCAGTCTCGACAATTTGAACTTGGGCAACAGCAACTCTAGCATTCGTACGTGCTGAGAAATGGGATAATGTTTGTTCTTGGCTGTTCTCCTCACTGCATTTTGCTTGTTTCTTAGTTCCAATCCAAGTCGATATTGAAAATCTGGCAAATAATGGCCACTTCAGGTCTACGAGCTCAGCCAGATGCTTGAGGGTGTGGGCAACCACAAAGGATATCTCTATTATGGATACGGTATTGTTCTTCTATTGGATCTCCGCTGGATTTTGGACGATCTGACGACCTTTTGGTATTCGGCGCGTATTACGAGCAGCAATGAGATATTGGTCAAACTCCCGCCTGGGATTACAATCAGCGGTTCCATCGAGATGCATTTGAAGCATCGACAACGAACGCTGCCAAGGGACTTGCGGGTGCATTGGATCATAGTTATGACAAGCTCAAGAAGAAGCAACCAAAGGGAGGGCCGGCTATCAAGCAGTTCCAATACTATCGACTTGTGTTTCCGGATGATCACGAGTTCGACGCCAAGACTATTTTTGCCGATTCTGGAGAGGACAATTGGCTTCAGCTTTTGATTGAACTGTGAAGATTGACCATCAACTTGCAAAGGTGAAGGACTGAGAAGACAATTACGCAGTCTTTTTGGTTGTATGCGATCATCTCACCAGTCGCAAAAAGGAAAGACGGAGGAGAATGCTTAATGAAATCCCGTCGCTGCAGCGCGCTCATGCTCTGTTGGATATTGTCGGAGAAAGTGCATGGACATAAGAAAATAATCCAGCCGAATTGATCCAGAATCTACGCGGCATTCTTCATTCTCAGATCGTTAGAGATCTTCAAAGATGGCGCACAGCACGGTTGGAGATGCTCCATATCGCGACAAGAACCTTTCGATGCTGGTTGATTCCTTGCAACGGTCGACAGTCTTCTTGGAATAATCGGCAAACAGCAACCCCCTCTCTAGCATCTCGCTAGGAGTGAGAACCACAAGCTGCCCTATGTCGTTCTCATCGTGTAGTCTCTTCGTGTCGGCCATGGTCTCCTTTTGATTGTTCTGTTGAGTGGCTGTTATTGGTTTCTGGCTTTGTCGTTGGTTTCGTGATCTTGTCTTAAATCTACCAGTCTTGTCACCCAATTTTGTCTAGTGAGAATTATAGGATAAGATGTCGTGTCCTAATCGAGAATTAGGACAAAACGAGATTTCCAATCTTGTCTTAATTCCAAACCATCTTGTCTAGGCACGACTGCCCATTCCACAACGTTCCTGTAGCTAGCTAATAGGGGGATCTGCTTCTACACTGAAACCTTTCTGCCGAGGTTACACAGCTCCGCTGGCTTATTTGAGGTGCACGATTCAGGTTCTGGAATGTTCTTGAAAACGTAACGAATTAAGTCGTGTTGTGTATGCTTTACGTCATTTTCATGACTACGGCAGCAACCCACCGGTACCGTAAAACCCACCTTTACCGGTGGAGCCTGTACGAGTAGTTCTGGCCACCGGTAGCTAGCTAGTAGTAGCATACCGGTAGCAGGCTGCCTTTGCAAACACCCCCCCTGTAGCGAAGATGAACCCATGAAAGCAAACTCAAACAATGTCAAGCTAGCTACATGAGGAATAATGCCGTTGTTTGGTGATTGGTTATTTTTTTAAGGTCGCTTCAGCTAGCAGTGCAAAAGGAACTGTGCAAAGGGAAAGCACACACATGAGCACACCAATACTTTCACTGCATGATGGATGATCACCGTCACCGTAGTAATGGTGACTTTGGCTGGCATCATTCATGGAGCGTCGCCTTCTCAATCGCTTGAAAGGGTTCTTGAGTTTTCGCCTAGCCGTTTGTGTATCACTGTTCGGGAGAGAGGATCGCCGTTCATTGGAAGGTGGGTTGGCACTGTGCTGTGTGGATGTTGTATCAGTGGACAAAGAATGCCGTTTCCTGCTGGCTTTGGTTTTCTTCTTCTTGCCTTGTCCTCCTGTTTTCTTGCTTTGTCCTGGTGCCATAATGGAATGTCTCCTTGCATACAGTGAGTTTCTGTATGAGCTGACATCGTCGTCATTGGTGGTTGAGTGTCTTGTCTGTGGCATTGAAGGGGCTGCTCTTAGTTTGTTTCTTCAAAGTTTATGGATTTTGATGCCTGATGATGGCCTTGGCTGGAAGCAGGTCCAGCCATGGCGCGACTGGGAATCGGGACCAGTGATCTTTAAGATCTGTGGATCAGATAAGTCGTGTTTACGATCAGTGACGTCAGTTTCATGACCAACAATCGCGGATACTCATCTCTTTTTGCCACGTTTCAAAAGCCATCAGAGAAGCGATGGATCTGCCACCACAGATCTTTTTCAACAACTATAAAAATTTCAATCCGACCATGATGCCTCGTCCGAGCCTTCTTTGTCCTCTTTCGCTGCTGTTGGCACTGTTGAGTGTGTCTGTGGTGTGTTCTTTTGTCACTACAGGTCCTTCGTCGAAGCAGCAATTTGTGATTCGCAACGCCAAGGCCAAGGCTGATGTCGAGCCGCTGCAGCACGACAACAACAAGCACGATCCGGCATACGTGCGGCACCCTTCGGATGGCAGCGTGATTGTGGATCCGAATGGAAAACCTCTTACGGTAGATCGCATGCTGGCCACCAAACCTCTGCGCTCCGACTTGATGACCCGCCCTGGTCCTGGAAGACGTGAGCTCACATACATGGCGGGGGAAAGCGTCATTAGCACGTTAAATCAAGTCTTTGGGTATGACGGATGGAATCTTCAGGTAATACAAACGGAACCCGTATTGAGAGAGCAATTGGATGGGAAACGTTGGTGCGTCGTCTACACGGCCCACGTTCGAATTACTCTGACCGAAACTGGGACGTTCAAAGAAGATTATGGGACGGGAGATGCCATTGACAACCAGCTACCGGCTGCGCTACAGTTGGCGTTGAAAGCGTCCATTACCGATGCCATTAAGCGTGCAGCTCGTCATTTTGGAGATAAACTTGGAAATTGCTTGTATCAGAATAAGTTTGATCTCAACGAAGCCCCCAAGAATTTGGGTCAAGCTCTGGAGCAGTTCGATAAGAGAATGGGGATTTGAAGTGGAAGCGGAAGCTGCGTCGGAGTGATGACTCCCAGATACTGTATTCAACCTAACACTAAAAATGATAAGATTATGATTAAAACTAATCAAACGAAAATCTATAGAGTTGACTTTTGATGAGTGGAGAATAAGGTGTTCTATCGGCCTGCGAACGCCTCAAAACACGATGGCTCATCCATCCAATAGAATACCTTGTGGTTGTTTAATCATCGTCACCCTCTCTCAGCGCCAGAGGCAACCAAGACTTCCACCACCTTCTGAAAATTCATACCACTTGCAAGATCCAAGGCAGTCTTATTGCAATTGTTCTTTCTATTGATCTCCACACCAACTTTTGCAAGCAGAGCACTAACAATATCAACGTGGCCAAACTTTGACGCATAATGCAAAGCAGTCCAGCCTTTCTTCTGCGATGAATTGACATCCACATCATGATGTTCTAGCAAGACTTTGGCAACTTCGACAAGACCATGCCTTGATGCACAGTGAAGGGGGGTCCAACCATTATTCAGCTTGGCGCTGACCCTCACAGCAGTGCCTTTGAGCAAAGCGCTCACAATGTCGACATGGCCATGCCTTGAGGCATAATGCAAAGCAGTCCAGCCTGTTGTCCGTGTCATATTGACTTCAACACCATCATGCCCGAGCAAGGTATTGGTAACACCAACATGGCCATGCTTCGAAGCAATATGAAGGGCTGTCCAGCCATCATTCACCTTGGCATTGACATCCACGGCATCTTTTGCAATCAAAGCCATCACAACATCAGTATGGCCATGCAATGAAGCATAATGAAGGGCAGTTCAACCATTATCCTTCTCCCTGGCATTGGCATTGATACCATCATGACTCAGCAAGGCTTTGACAATATGAATCTTGCCGCCCTTTGCTGCAGTGCAAAGCAGAGTTCCCATGTTTGACCAGATGCCACCTGTACAATAAAGGTAACAATGGCTTCTTGATATTTTTGAGCTTCCAGCGAGTCTTCTTTAAGTTGCAGAACTTGCTCTGCTAGCCCAAAATCTGCGCTTCTTCTTCTTTGCTCTCCGATTCCTGTACCAGCGGATAGAATGCAGGCACGCAAAGAGCAGTAACACCCAATACAAACAGAAACACCCCGACAAATTTCCAAGTACGGTCTAGGGGCAGCTGCTTGTTGGGCACTTGCATGTATCTCATGACTGAGAGTTGTGCCATTCTAGTAGTCCCCCCTTCTTGGATTGTGATACAAGGTTGACTTGATGAGATTCTTTTAGCCCAGCATCATTGTGCTGAGGATCTGTGTGTGTGCTGACGGTGTCTTGTGTTTAGTGCTGATTGCTACCTCTTCCCCCAGTCTGGATTCATTGAAAGTTCCGCTTCCTTTAACTGGGCAAGATAGATCCTCCAACGTGTCTGGTTTGGACTCTGGTGTTGTTGTTTCCTTCACCTCTAGAAGGATGGATGACAATAATTGTATCTGCTGGTTTAGTTCTGCGAGTTGTTCTGTCAACTGGATTCCTTGTTTATGGATTTCATGCATCTTCAATAAGGATCCACACCATGCGATAAAACCTCCTGCAACAATCAACACAACAGGGTGTTTCCAAAATGGTACAGAAGATCCACCACCCCCGGTCTTCATTGCTTCAAGCTTCGGACGGAAAAGATATGGAAGGTGATGCTTCTAGCTACCACCGTACCAGTACCTGGTACCGTAGGGCGGTGATTGGGTGATTGGTTATTGGTTGTCTTCGTTGCTTTGTTTCGTGGATCGTTTTTAGGTTTCGTTGGGAGGATCAAGGTTTCTTTGTGGATACCCTTATGATAGTTAGTAGGACTCCACGATGAGATTGAAGATTCCACGATGACGACGAGCTCTTTGGCGAGGTCTGACTCAGCGTTCATCATAAGATCGCTCCGAAGCTATCAATTTGTTCAAGCTACCACCTTCAAGCAAGATCATCTTGAGCAAAAGTCATTGTTCAAGATGATTTGCTTATTGCATGTATCTATAGTGTTGCCTATGTTGATGAGCATGGCACTGACCAGCCGCAGTGTGCTGGGCCTCATGTTTGACATGCCATTGCAACCGGTAGAGTTGACCACTGCTCTTCCAGTTTCCATCTCAGCGTCTACCACAATGAGAGACCGATCATTATTCCTCTTGGAGCGATCCTTTCCATCCATTCTCACTGCGGATGATACTTCCGTTTCGCTACTCTCTCCCCAAACACAATCTCGGCAAATGTCTGATGCTATGGTGCTCAAGACGCTTCAAGGGACCAAATGGAGACTGACAGCTGCTCCTACCGACAGCAATAATAAGTCCATTCCCAACGTTTGCCAGCAGCAGTACCTAATCTTTCAGGGATTCTCAGATCAACCCAACAAGGGCATTGTCCAGTGCACTTGCGGTGGCACTACTGATACTACTACAACGGCTTCCACGGGAAGATGGTTATCCAAACCCAGTGAGATTCGCAAGGGAGCCGTGCAATTATCGGCACGATGGAAAGTCAAACTAGCAACTGCTCAGACTGCCGTCATTTTCAAAGGATTCATTCGGGCGGATCCCACATTATCCTCAGGAGGGGGTACCGTGGCAGCCGAAATGAAAGGGTTCATTCTCTCCGTGGAACCAGAGCAAACTCTAGGCAAATTTCGAGCGGACCTTGTAGGGATCAACATCGCGGATGATGAACTCAAAATGGGTATTCAATAGACCACGCATTCCTCTTGCAGTAATCTCTGCCGTCAAGTGTCACTGTGGATGATACTTCAGTTTTGCCGTCTCCCCAAACGAAATGTTGGCAAATGTCCGATGCCATGATGCTCAAGACGCTTCAAGGAACCAAATGGGGACTGGCGGCTGCTCCGTCCCATACCCAATATTTACCAGCAACAGTATGTAATATTTCAGGGATTCTCAGGTCAACCCAACAAGGGCATTGTCCAGTGCACTTGCTGATACTACAGATTGCAGTGCCACGGGAGGATGGTTGTCCAAACCCAGTGGGATTTGCAAGGGAGCTGTGCAAAAAATTCTCGACACCATGGGAAGTCCAGAACAGAATGATGCACAGACTGCCATCATTTTCAAGGGATTTATGTGGGCTCCATTATCCATTGGAGCCAAAAATGAAAGGGGCCAGTCTCTTTCAGAGCAAAGGCTAGGCAAATTTCGAGTGGACCTCGTAGGGAATGGGCATTCAATAGTGCTTTACTAAGAGCTACAATCCGCATACAGAGAGAGACTGGTCAAGAGCAGACAAGATTATATCGTGATTTCTGGAACTGTTTTCTACATTTTCATACGGCGGAAAAGGCCAACGCAGAAAGGAATACAATCCATCCAACCCAACGTAACGGCTGTTTCTGTAAAAGAGTGGGGAATCACAAGATCCCTCTGGCACGCAGCATTATTAATGCAATCTACCCGAACAAGTCGGCGTCGTCCAACATGTTAAAGTTTTCTTCTTCCGCAATGTCATCCTCCTCCATTTCGGTCAAGTCTTCCACCCGGAAATCGATCTCTTGAGCTTCTTCCCTCGTATAGTAACGAACATGAGATCCATCCTCGATTCCGCCGCGTTCCAAGAGCACAGCGTCCAACACTCGATCTCCCATCTTTTGTTCCACTAGGGATTGGATCCCCCGGACACCGGCTTCCGCAATTGCTTCGTTGACCACAATCTTTGCAATCTGGTGCTTGGTACCGGGTGACACCAGCTGTTGGATATCGGCAAAGGTGGAATCGGCAAATTTTTCTTGCTGGCGTTCAATCAGCAGCTTGGCCACGGTCAAGGACTCGCCATGCATGATGCCTTGCAAATCTGGGTTGCCGTTGGCCATTGGGAGAAACGGAACGATCCGTCCAATGCGACCCAAGAAGGCCTCTGTAAATGGATACATAAACTGAAGAGTATTGCGAATGCGGAGTGACAGATCCGACGCGAGCTGATTGAGTTCATCCCCCACGGCATTGTAAATGTCTGGGTTCTGCTTGACAAACTCGGTAATGTCGATATCACAAGCGTTGGTTGTCATGATGAAGATCAAATTTTGACAGGGAATCACATCCGTCTGGGCACCGTGGGAACCGAGACGTTTGTTCGTCCATTCGCCCTTATCAATAACTTGGTACAAAGCATGTATGACCCCCTGGCTTGCCTTTTCGATTTCGTCCAGGAGCACAATGCCCACTGCTTGCGGTTCCAATGACATTTTCAATACGAAATTGTTGAGGGCGGATCCTTGCTGGGCTCCTTGATAGGCGCCAGACCTGCCAAAGACCTCACTTGCATCGGTCAGTTTGCCACAATCTACTTTGATGAAGAAGTCGTCGCTCGGCTTGTTCATGAGCTTGGCAAGCCATCGAGCGAGTTCCGTTTTCCCATTGCCGGATGGGCCCGCAAAGATCATGCTGAGAGGGTGTCGGTTGACGCACATGCCTCGTCCCTTGTTGGCAGGGGTCATGTTCGACACATGGCTCACCACAGATTGACGAATGAATTGCTTGGCCAATCGCTGCCCAATAATATCTGAAAAGTCCAGTTCTTTGATCAGGCAGAGACGTGGCAGCGACGCTTCTTTTCCGACCTTTCTCAGGATGTCCAGTTTGTAGGCACCGACGTAGTTTTGGAACTCGAGAAAGTAATCGAGGGGGGAAAGATCATCCATCAAGGCCTTCCGGTCAGCCTCTGGCATGTGGCGGAACAGAGCTGGCAGCGGGTCCTTCACTCCGTAGGCGAGTAGGAAGTTAAGGGGTTCGTAGCGAGCGGTGCGGCTGATTTCGGGATGGAAGAGCACCACCAAAATTGGTGTTTTCATGGCTATGGGCTGCTTCTTCTTGTTCACAAGTGCCACTAGTGTCCGAGCTTCGTCGCTGGGGCTCTCACGGGACAAATCACAACGGAAGCGAAACAGATACTCTCGCGCCTGCTTGCGCCACTCCTTGGGCTGGTAGATGAGCAACTCTTCCAAGTGGGTGTAGCCCTCCGCATTCTCGTGCTCTCTCCAGTCTTTTCCAAATCCTCGATCCATATGAAACATCCTCAATGCACTGTCGACAAGTGCATCCTGGCGCTTCCGCCGAGCTTCCAATTCTTCAATGATCTTGCCTCGATTCACTCCTCGGGGCAAGGCGCTTCCTGGCGTGGGATGCCCGTTGATTGCAGAAAGCCAGCGATGAAGTGTAGTCCATGGGACCAAGCCAAAGCTCTTCACTGAGCCTTGCTCATCGAGAAACTCGAGAGTTGACATGTTGGTCGAGAGTGGTGTCGAGGGAAAATGGTGGAATGAAGCTTGCAGATAATCTATTATGAAACTTCGATGTGCCGAACCCCGCACAGATGTCGATGTTGAATATTTCACCTTCGTGTATCCTCCGTAGGACAACGGTCGAGACTGGTGTGGCTCCCGCATGTCTCGCAACATACAGTGGGAGCACATACGCAGCGCCTGAGTCGAAAGGAGTAGTCAGAGAGCGGAGAGGAGTCATACGGCAATCCCGCGAAGAGGGAATAGTTATGATAGCAAAATGCTGAGGTGAACACCTACCCTATGGCACAGGCAGCCTAACCTCAAGCCGGGCGCTGTCAGTGTCTGCATTCTCTCTTTTCACCTGATCGTGCCGTTGTAGCCGCTACTTGCGAGAGACTCCACCTCCTTCTCGAGCGAGATGCAAGCTTTACCGTCTGCCTGTTTGAGCACGTGGACGGGGTTGCACATGTACATTGGGCTGAACAAACCTGCTTACGTCGACATGGAAGCCGCATTTCAAAGCGCGTTGTTGGTTCGTCGTGAGTTGCCACTTGCAACGACAGGAAACGTGTCTGGTCAAGCAACTTCAAAGTGCACAATGGCCTGTTGTTCATTGCTGGGATAGAACTTCCCCGTCACCTTCTGGAAAGGAAACAGCCCCGAGTTGCTCCAAGGCAAAGCAATTTCTTCTATGCACAGTGCCAAAGACGATGAATGATCTGTATGCCCTGTTGATGACTAAGGTCTCCTTGCATGGAAGCTCGTATGTATCCAAATTTGCAGTTCTAGCCCTGCATGGTGCCACTTGGCCCAAAATTGGACCCAAGCGTGGTTGGAAGCCACATGCAAGCTTTTAAGAGCAACTACCTGTATCAGCACTGAGAACAGGCCTGCTACGCCAACAACCTTTACTACGAACATATTCACTAGAACGGCTACAAAACGGATGGACGATCTATGACTTTTTGCTTGATATCTTTCCCGAAGAGCGAAGATTGCCGTGGATCCATCATGGCAACTGTTTGTGGCAGGATCTGTCTGATCAAGCGTTTAGTGTTGAGTGCAATGACAGCCTTTACTGTCTTATTTGCTTAGTTTGGTCGCTCCAACCCACGAACCATACGGTACCGTAGAGATTTAAGATCTTGTCAGGGGAAGTCTACTTCACCCAGCACAGTCGTCATCAGCCTCATTATTTTTTGCTTCTTTGAGGATCCTTGGAACCACTTCCAGATCTCTTGCACGTACCCATGAGTGTTGATCTGTTGCATTCCGCGGTGCTACCGTACGACTAACCTTTGTTGTGGATCTTTGTTGATGGCATTACATGCATTAGCCGTGTCAAATAAGGAAAGAGCATATACATACCCAGCTAGCTAGCCTTGCAGTCAAACGATGAGTAGGGATAAGAGCAAGAACGATTATGGCTCTATTGCCATAAAAGCAGCAACCATGGACGGTTCTTCTGCATCCAACTCTGCGTACTACAATCGACGTCGATCGTCTCTGGAGATCTATCGTACCTTTCTCGACGAGTTTTTGGCGTCCAATGGTGGTTGGCTGCTCATCTTGCTGGGATTTCTCACAGCTCTAGGAGCGGGTGCGCTGGTAGGGGCAGTCCCTCAAGTCTTGACACAGAAATTTGCGGAACATCAGTATGGATTGGACAAGGAAATCCAATGCCTTTCCGAGGAACCTCTGCCCATGGAATGTGTTCAGGGCGCGGATTATGCTCAAGGCGCCGCGTCCTATACTTCTCTCTTTCGTAACTTGATGGCATTGCTGGTGAATTCGGTAGCAGGAAGTTATTCCGATACCCACGGCAGAAGAGGTGCGGTCAACAGAACATCCAGTGTTTTTCCGTAGCACATGAGGAGGAATGCTTCCTCACTAAATCTTTTCTACTTCTCACTTTTCACCATAACAAACATCAGGCGTCCAAATCGCCAGTCTCTTCTTGGTGGTACTCTCGCCCATTTCCTTTTGGTTGATTCAAATCTCTGACGAGGTCCCACCCATTTGGTACTACATTTTGGATTGCTTTGCGGGCATTATCAGCTGGTTCTCCATTGGTTTTACGCAACTCTCCGATATCATGCCTCAAAGGCATCGCGCCGCAGCCTTTGGACTCTACTTTGGATCCTTCATGGCGGGCATTGCCATTGCACCCTTTCTCGCCACACTCATGACTCATGTCCAGATTGCCGTGTTTTCCTCCCTCGTTCGCATTGTGGCCTTGCTCATTGCCATTCTCTTTCTGCCCGAGACGTTGCCCGTCGAGAATCGACGACGCAGCAGTCACCTCGCCGTCCACGACGACTATGTGGCCGCTCACCCCAACAGTAAAAAGAGCTGGTGGAAACTACTCTTGTCACCCATTGTCAAAATGAGCATCCTTCAACGATCGTCCTCGCTCCTCCTGGTGGCATTTGGTGCCTTTACCAGCAAGATGGTATTCAGTGCGGATGTGACGCTCTTCTTTTACTACATTGAAGCCAATCTCGGTGCCACCGAGCAGGATGTGGCGGGAATGATGTTTACCACGGGGGTTGTGGGCGTGCTGGTCCAAGCGGGCTTTTTAAAGTATCTCATTTCCTTTTTTGGAGAACGACGGTTGCTCATTCTTAGTTTTTGCTCGGGCATGGCTCACAATTTAATCTATGGACTGGCTCCCAACAAGTGGTTCCTCTACGTGGGTTTGTGCCTGTCGGCATTGACCAATACCAACAATGCCCTGCTTTCCTCGCTGGCATCCCGCAGTGTGGCGCGTACCGAACAGGGACACATTCAAGGGGCACTGTTTAGTCTCACATCCTTGGCCGAAGCGATTGGTCCGATCAGTTTCAACTTTATCTACCGCAACTGGCACACATTTGGTTCGGGGACCATGTTTGTGGTGGGTGCCATGTTGTTTGGTGTGGGAATGGTGGCCGTCTCCTTGGTGCCACCCAAGGAAGTCAATGATGATGATGATGACGAACAAGAGGGCGATGACAAGTTTGCCGACGAAGAGGAGAGCACGTCCGATCTCGATGGGAGCCAAGAAGAAAAGGAGATCTTGGTTTTGCCCTAGCTACACACGAGGATTAGATTCCATTCCCGGACCGCGCAGCTTCCTCCCCGAAGATTGCACATTACATATTATGATAGACAACTTACATTACACTTCTACTCAAAAGTAGCTACAGTACTAGCTAGCTAAAGTGTCCCGGGATGGCGACCCTCGTCACCGTTACTTGGTAGCCTGCTGCATTCGTCTGTGTGCGGCCTTGGGAAAAGTTCCCGACTTCGTCTTCAAGGTTGCAACTCACGCTACAGCTTTTCGCGCACTGCCCACAACCTAGGAACTGCTTCATCCCGTTCTCACAAACTCGGGTTGATGCTGTTTCTCCCACAACAAGTCGAGGCAACTCTTCTCCAGTGGCTTTTTGTTCATGTGGCGATAGTTGGAGACATTCATCTTGTCCCAGGCACTGTTCTTGTCCTGGGCTTTGAATGCTTCTCGGATGACCCACTGATCCGGTGTACTGGCATTCCCCACGACCGTAATGCTGCGATTGCTACTGCTGTTGTTGGATGTTTCTTCTTTGAAGTCATGATAGTAATAGACTCCCGCCTTGGGCTGATGGGTTGGCTTCCACGGTCCGTTTTTTCCATCATGAATTCCTCGAAATGCCTTGTACGCCCGGTGCAAGCAATGAGGTCCCGATTCGACGGGTACATTAAACGTTCCCACTTCCACCTGGGCATGCATTCGTTGCATGACATCTTGAATGGCATGAAACATGAGTGGATGCTGTGGTCCAATAGCAAAGAAATACTGACTTAGGATTTTGAATTGGTCTTCAATGAGAAAGAAACCATCCATGTCGGGGGTGATGGTTGTGGCATTGAATAGTGTATTGGGACGTCTGTAGGTATTGAGAAGGAAATTTGAACAAGGCACAGTGATGAGCAGGTGAGATGGAGGAAGCTGTGTATTCATCTAAAGAACTTGACAACTACATGTAGCTACTAGAGGAAGTCAACTCACGTATCCATGTCTGCATAGACTCCACCGTACTGGAACAGGACCAGATACCTCCATAGATCTGACATTGCCGCTGTGGTTTCAGAATGAATCAAGCCATAGGAGTGAGAATAGGATATGATAGGTTGAACTGATTGAAGATATACCGTACTCACCTCCTCCCGCCCCTCTCAAGCATTCAAAACTGTTTTGTATCTGGGGAAACAATGGCCATGACTGACTGCGGAATAGTGTCTCCACGGCTTGATCATCGTGAAAGTAGAAGGAGTATCCAGGCATTTGAGATACCCAGTATTTCAGGTTGTCGTGGAATGCTTGGGTGACACATTTGGTTTTGCCAGTCACGTGAATCGTTTTTGGAATGTTTCTGCCCGCGCCGACGAGGAGATCAGCAGTGGTATTCACTACTTGATCCGCTGGAATGAGTCCATCGGTGCAAGCAATGTTGGTTTCGTACGCTCTCACCAGATCTGGAAGAGGGACCTGGAAAGAAGTGAATGGAGGAGCTTCTGTCACGTCTAGCAGAGCCCTTCTACCATTAGTGCCGGGAGGACCTCGAGAACGCAGTTGTTTCACATCTAGAGTCAGCAAGACATTGTACTGGGCAGAAATGCCTAACAATACCAACAGCGGGAACACCAAAGGAAACTTGGTCGTCGGGGGCAACATGGTTGTTCAACACTCTTGCAAAATTCCCATGCAAGCAACAGCAATTTGTGAGGACCGTCGTGCCACCATCGCAGCCTCGAATACAAACACGGTCGATGAAACTGGACCGTAGCGTCCGACGTTTTTCACTCAGGATTTACTGACTGAAAAACGTCGATTGGTCCTGGCCTAGCTAGTGGTACATGTATACTGTGCCAGTTCACGTGGAGTTGCGTTGATACCCTGCTTATTCAAGAAACAACCGGTACGCACCAGAGTAAGCAGGTCTTATTAATAAGTAGAATTAAAGCAGCTATTGAACCATCGAACCATCGAAGCTTCTTATTATGGGGCTATCCACACTGCCAGGTTCTATTAATATTAGTCTACTAGCTAGTAGTAGCCACGCGTAGACTCTTTGGAGGCTGGGAGCGTGTTTGGAGCATAATGTCATAAGAAACCGGTCAATGAACTTGTCCATGACCGGATGACCGGTGCCGGAGAAATGACCCTGCAGGCAATTTTTGGGTTCATAGAGCTGTTCATAGCTAGCTAGCTTGGCTCTCTTTGTAAATTGTTACGTAATAATAATAATAATTGCCAGAAGACCTGGTACATGCATCCATGATATTGAAGATGAGTGCCATACCAGTTCTAAAACACTGCACAGGGGCTAATAGTAGAATACTCTCACAAAGTAGAACAAACCATAATTAATTTAGCACGGTAGCGGGGGCTCTTTTTGGAAATCAAAGCATTCTAGCTACTAGTAGAGCTGGCGCGGACCGCTCCAGGCTCCAGATCATCGACAAAATACTTTGAACGGGGCGGGTTTGGATAGCATGGTTATTATTAGATTATCTACGGAAAGCCAGCGAGAGCCAGGAAGCCAAGAAGAGTTGAAATCCAGGAAACGACATACATGAACGAAGATCCAAATCCGGTCCAAGAACTCTTTGTCAAAGCCAATCTAGCCAGCCAACCCATAGCTTAGTTCCAACCATCCAAAGAAGAAGAACAGCATTTCCATCAGGAGCGATTCTATGCCGTCAAGCGTTCTTCTTCAGGACCATCAACAAACCAAAGCATTCCCCGGGTACCTGTAATCATGGCAGCATCTACGGTACCGTATGCTGTAGTCTAGTCGCTACCGTTATTATTGGAATGAATTAACGTTGAATATTTTTATCCGTCTTGCTGGCTTTAACAAATAAGCCAGCGGAGCTGTGTAACCTCGGCAGAAAGGTTTCAGTGTAGAAGCAGATCCCCCTATTAGCTAGCTACAGGAACGTTGTGGAATGGGCAGTCGTGCCTAGACAAGATGGTTTGGAATTAAGACAAGATTGGAAATCTCGTTTTGTCCTAATTCTCGATTAGGACACGACATCTTATCCTATAATTCTCACTAGACAAAATTGGGTGACAAGACTGGTAGATTTAAGACAAGATCACGAAACCAACGACAAGCCAGAAACCAATAACAGCCACTCAACAGCAACAATCAAAAGGAGACCATGGCCGACATCGAAGATGACTACAACGATGAGAACGACATAGGGCAGCTTGTGGTTCTCACTCCTAGCGAGATGCTAGAGAGGGGGTTGCTGTTTGCCGATTATTCCAAGAAGACTGTCGACCGTTGCAAGGAATCAACCAGCATCGAAAGGTTCTTGTCGCGATATGGAGCATCTCCAACCGTGCTGTGCGCCATCTTTGAAGATCTCTAACGATCTGAGAATGAAGAATGCCGCGTAGATTCTGGATCAATTCGGCTGGATTATTTTCTTATGTCCATGCACTTTCTCCGACAATATCCAACAGAGCATGAGCGCGCTGCAGCGACGGGATTTCATTAAGCATTCTCCTCCGTCTTTCCCTTTTGCGACTGGTGAGATGATCGCATACAACCAAAAAGACTGCGTAATTGTCTTCTCAGTCCTTCACCTTTGCAAGTTGATGGTCAATCTTCACAGTTCCAATCAAAAGCTGAAGCCAATTGTCCTCTCCAGAATCGGCAAAAATAGTCTTGGCGTCGAACTCGTGATATCCGGAAACACAAGTCGATAGTATTGAACTGCTTGATAGCCGGCCCTCCTTTGGTTGCTTCTTCTTGAGCTTGTCATAACTATGATCCAATGCACCCGCAAGTCCCTTGGCAGCGTTCGTTGTCGATGCTTCAAATGCATCTCGATGGAACCGCTGATTGTAATCCCAGGCGGGGAGTTTGACCAATATCTCATTGCTGCTCGTAATACGCGCCGAATACCAAAAGGTCGTCAGATCGTCCAAAATCCAGCGGAGATCCAATAGAAGAACAATACCGTATCCATAATAGAGATATCCTTTGTGGTTGCCCACACCCTCAAGCATCTGGCTGAGCTCGTAGACCTGAAGTGGCCCATTATTTGCCAGATTTTCAATATCGACTTGGATTGGAACTAAGAAACAAGCAAAATGCAGTGAGGAGAACAGCCAAGAACAAACATTATCCCATTTCTCAGCACGTACGAATGCTAGAGTTGCTGTTGCCCAAGTTCAAATTGTCGAGACTGGCAGCAAGATCTTTTGTTGGGGTTGATTTCTTCATCTTGCGATCCCTTGCTGCTTTGTTGGTGTTGACTTCGGAGTTTCCTGCGTTTCCTGCTTCTTCTTGGATAGTTTGGTGGCGTCTCGATCACTGCTGGAACAGGCAGTTCGTCATCTTCATCTTCGTCTTCCTTTGAGCTGATCGAAGAATCGGTTTTCTCAACCTGTTCTTTCTCTTTCTTGGTGGGCATTTCTGGAATTTCTAGCTTCAGCAATACTCTGCTCCGCCACTGATTCTGTGACAACAATTCCACTTGTTTACCTTGTTGCTAATCTTGGTACGAAGAGCCGAGCCAACATCTCCGTACAAAGCTTTGTCGTCCGAGTTGTGCTTGTCGAGAAGCTTTTGCAGCACCTTTGGGCCCTTTAGCTTGTGAATTCCTCCGTACTCTCGTTGAATGTCAGTTGCAAGAGACTTGATTACAAATGCGGGTAACCCTGGTCTACTGCCAACAGTAGACGATGCAACAGACCCTCCACCAGGATCAGCCTTTGTTTCCTTCTTTCCACTTCGGGTTGAGACCATTGTGGCACCTTTGGCCGCCAAAAAATTGGAGGCAGAATTCTGAATTCAGAGGTCACCTAAGCCAGCAAGGCCTGCTCGTGGTAGATTTCTACGTGTATCCCTGCTCTTCAAATTCTTTCTTGGAGAGCTAGATTTTTAGCTCTCAAAGTTCTTAAGTTAGTTGGGTCGTTTGACAGCAACAGCAACAACAACAACACACAACAAATCATGCCGCGACGTCAAACCACCAAGAATTCGAGGACTCCTCCTCCATTACCACCGACATCCTTAAGGATGAGCAGTTGGAAGTCCCATTGGACGAGATCCCACCAGATGCCGAAGAATCCTGGCTCAAGAGCAAAGCTAGAGCGCTTTTGATGCAAGATATTATCGACAATGTGATTCCGCGACAGCCCGACAAAGCAATGCCAACCAGTGAGATCTTTACAAGCCGTCCCGAATATGCTCTTCATGGGTACAAAAACTTCTCGACACGACTTTCAAGCCTTTGAAAGATTGTGAAGTGGCACCTCTCTAGAACCGATGATGACAAGGCTGCATTGAGCAATTTCCTCACAAACAATGTTGTGCACAAATTCTCTGCTCATGGTTACCTGGAATGGGATGGATCAGAAGCAAAAAAGTGATTGGAAGAAGACATCGAGCTTGGCTTACTCGAGACGCTAGAACCCGCGGAGCTTAAGTGCCTTCGAGATGCCTGAAAGTTTTTAGAGATCACATCTATCAGCTAGCCAAAACAAAGAAATACCTGCATACATTGGATATGAAAGGAAAGAAGCGCTTGAAACCAAAGATAAAGAAGAAGAACAAAGCCTCCTAGCTGTCGATAGATGGAGTACGGTCGTAGTCGTCTTGTAATAGCTACTAGTAGTGTCGTTGAAAATTGGCTTGAAGACTTAGGACAAGATGAAAGATTTAGAGACAGCAACCTTGTCCTATATGACAAGACCGGAAGAGCCAATCCGGCTTATAGGACAAGATTTGAAGACAAGATTGAGAATTAGGACAAAACCGTGTTTTCAATCTTGTCTTATTTCAAAATTAGACAAAATCGGAAGCACGACTGACCAGATACCGCATTTCCACAGCGTTCCAGTTGCTTAGAAGCAGATACCTCTAGTGCTTAGCTAGTGCTTAGCTTGGCTTAGCTACTGCTAAGCTAGAAGAATCCCCCTAGCTAGAAGCAGATTCCCATAGCAAGCTAGAAGCAGATACCCCTAGCTAGCTAGAATCCTAGTTATATAGCGTTCGCTGGCTTTAGAGTTTTTCCTGGTAGAAGCAAACCCCCTACTAGGATGCATGTAAATAGCTTTAGCTGATTTTTAAAAGCACCATCCTAGCTAGGATACCTATTTAGTTTTGCTGACTTATTTGTATTCTAACCCTACCCTTATACCTGCAGGGACCACCGTAGCAGGAAAAACAATTAAAGGGGTTGAGGGCTCTGGCAGCAAGACTGCCGAGGTGAATGCGTTTCGGAGCGACCACCACAACCCGAGCGTCACAAAAGATGACCAAGTAATAGACGAGACAATTGGTATACTATAGTTAGTTATAGTGGACAACAAAAACCCATCATGAGCAAAGAGTTGGCGAGAGAGATTCTGCAATACGTCAAGTTACGAGATCGTCCATCTCGTTTGGAGTTGCGCATTTGGGGCGGGACTCCCATGAATCGGATCATGAACATTACGGCTCCTGTCGAGCAAGGTCAATTGGTGTACCGATTGGGTCACTATCAAGAACGACGGACGCATTGGGGCCAATCGTATGCCAATGAAGTCCAGTGCGAATTGAAATTCAGTCCGGAACATCTTCAAGGAGTGATTGCTCTAATCGATGGCGCCAATTACGGCGTCGACGATGGCCGCATTCAAGTCGTCAGTGTCGAACAGTCCATTGTGTTGGCGCAGTTCCGATTGCCCGTAGGAGACGATCAGAGAGACACCAGACTCGATATCATCAAGGGAGCTCTCACTACGCTCATGGGGGAGTGAACGACAAAACAAAACAAAATACAAACCATTCAATGAAAATGAAAATCAATCCACAAAGAAAGGACCACACGAGGACGACACGTGTGTCAATATCCAAGAATTGCTGCTTTTTTGTTGTGGAGAAAATGGAAGCCCCCCCCCTGCCAGAGGCGACAAACATCTCAAAGCAGAGCAACCATTTTATTTTATGAATGAAAAAAAGAGGAGAGAAAAAAGCTTTGTCATCGACACGGCTTGACGTGGGACAGACAGAAAAAAAAAACACGCTTTCGCTTTTGGGAACAATTTCAGCTGGCCCACAAACAAACAAACAAACAAACAAACAAACAAACAAACAAACAAACAAACAAACACCCCACATCAACACGTAAGGTGGACGTCAAGTTTTCATGTCATGGTTGGTTGGTTGGTTGGTTGGTTGGAACGGGAGTTGACCTTAGAACAAACATGGCCAACTTTTTGTTTATAAAAAAGAGTGCTCTAGTAAAGCTCCACAATTTTTAATTGCACAATGGAACTTTTTGGTACCGTACCCTTCAAAGATGGGAAATCACTTCTGTGGATATATCATTGCATTGGGAATCAAACGCGGACTTCCTGGCTTCTACGGTACATGGAAGTCGGTGGGAAAATGGACACGCCACAAGGCAATGAATGAGGGGAGCTTGACATGCATCTGGACTGGACTGAGCTTGACCCATTCATGCCAGCCTGTTATCCATGTGCCGCACTTGTCTGTTCTGAGCAGAGTCCTGACAAACTGATTGGCTTTCTGGCACACTATCTACATGTGATACATCAAATGCATCCTGACTTTCAACATAACAAACACATCGCTTTCAATTAAGTTCTGTCTGTTGATTAATCTTCCTTTGTGTATTCTCCTCCAAGTACAGAGATGATTCGATTCATCAGGGGATAGATTAGTCCATCCCAGCCATAGCTACCACTTAAAAATTAGGGGTAACGTGTTTCATCTAGCAACACGAGCTATCCACAAAGCTGCTTCCGGTCATCAGACGACTAAGAGGCGCACGTCATGTTGGGCCTGGATTTGTGCCGGCACCGTGCCTCGAAGTGGGTCTGATGCCTGTACCGGTACCTGTAGCTGGGGTACCAGGACCTGGAACGGGAGCTGGGTTAGGAACAGGAACGACAGGTACTGGGATTTCAGCTGCGAGCTCTCCTAGGTAAGTGATCCCAGGGATGATTTGCATGTATCCTGGTGTGTCTCCGTGGACAGGATCAAACGCAGGAGTCCCATCCTTCCCGCACATGCCGTTTACAAGCTATGACAACAGAAACTGAGTGAGCTTGCATCCACTTCTGGAGCCAAGTGACTAGTACGGCACGATGGCGTATACATGGGGCAAATGAGCACTTACTATAGGAGCACCAACGAGATGGTTGGGTGCATATTCTGTGATGTCGTAAACCTATGCGAAAACCAACGCCAGGTACGACTGTCATTGTGAGTGACAGAAATGGAGGTGTGAAGAGCTGCAATGCAACGTCACGAGATTTTAAAACGTTACCTTTCCATACACCGCTGTCCAGCAATCAGTTTCCGTGTGGTGCGCCGCAATGTCGATCGAGGTGTAAGTGCCTTGACTCTGAACCAACGCAGGTTTCGCCATCACCCACAATAATGTAGCAGCGGAAGAGAATCTCACGTTGGGAGCGAGCATAGAAAAGGGCTGAGGAAAGCAACGATAACAAGAGACTTCTAGTAGGAGGTTGCAGATTTGTGAGATGATTTGAATTGGGGCAACTCATGGACATGAAATCTTGTTTGCTCTTGGATCAAGCTGCTGGCTCGAAGCATACTACATGTAAGTCAATGTGACGCGAAGCGAATGTGAGACAGCACGATCAAAAAGTTGCACCCCTCGTCCTTTTTCTTGTGGGCCTGTTGATGGGACCAGTTTGGAAAGAACCCTTACAAAAGTTTCACCAAGGAAGCCCCGTTGTACCCCAAAGTGATACTGAGAGCACTTGTAGGAGTGGTAGGGATCCGATCCGAGGTAGTCTATCCGGAGGTGTAGAGTACGGAGGTGACTGGTACCGCTACGTGTACACCTCCATTGTCTATCATTACCGCTTCAATTGTTTATCAGCAAGCGAACGGAAAACGTCGTCGCCTCGGTCACAAGAAAAATGATGCTCGCACCTCTACCGGTACTACTTGCACCTCCACGTACCGGTACAGTGGTACGTTTTCGAGATTATCGGGGTGTATACTATCATAATAGTAGAGCAGAAGGATTATCTACGGAAGCCAGCGAGGGCCAAAAAGCATGCACAAGGCCTCGTTCGACGCTAAATGGTACAGTGCATTGGTTATGTGCATAAACTACTGCAACTTTCTGGGCGGGGAGGGATCTAGAAGGCCAATTCAGCAGCCATTACCGCAACAGAGATGCTGGGAGTATCTATCTTCAAAGCTTGCTCAAAACCTGCGGAGATTCATACAGTGTGAGCGAGCGAGCTCAGGAGCTCAGGTCTCAGGCAGGTGACTGCTTTGCTTGCTGCCTGATGAGTCACAAAGGCATGCCTGGAGGAGGCAGGAGTTGGGGAAAACTATCCTTGAAAGTCACAATGGAGTACATGTAATGGCGAACTTAGGCACACTGGCACAAACACACTAAACTTGCTTCTGTGGTCAGGAGATCAGGATAGAAAGGCTACTAGCTACTCTAAATTCGGGGGTCCCCACTGTGGGTACCTTCGACGTGCAGCTGTTTGGACAAGAACTTTTGAGAGACCTGCTGCAAGTTAAGAAGCCTTGTAACTGAAATTTCAGCAAGGATTTGCAACTTTTGGGCATTTACTGAATCCCCCTTCAGAACATATGGTTTGGTTATGGTTGGCAAAGGCCAAGTCTTTTCTCCTAAAGATTCAGCTCCAGTCATCAACTCTTGAAAGGTAGACCTTGCTTCTTTTTGCCTTTCCACCAAGAACCTGTGGCTTGGCCATTGCTTGTTGTCATTGTCTGGTCATGACTCTCATCGATGATGATGATGCAAACAGACTACTAGCTAGCTAGCCATCATATCTTTATCACAGGCAGAAGAAAGGCGGTTTTTGCTTGTGCCTTGGCTGTGTCAGCATGTACAGTAGCCATGTTTTTAAAGTGGTAACAAGTATGCAAGTATGTCCCTGACCAACTGCTTTCTGTAACTTCTTTTAGCCAGGTTCCACGAAATGCCATCATAGTGATACTGAGTTCGTCCTCAATTTCATGTTTGTTTCCAGTTCAAGAGCGAGCTCTCAATCAACTCAACTATCAACTATTTGGAGCTGGCTGGCTCGATCCATGTAACTGTGGCTGCTGAAATCTCCCACCAAGGCTTGGTTCTTTAAAAGCTGTTCTTTACGATTCAATGTCTCTAGCTAGCTATTAGAGGCTTGGGTCGTTGGTTGCTTGAAGATGTCAGGGTCGAGGTCATACTACTAGCCTCTCATACCAGTAGCTCCTCTCATCGTGTTGCCAAAAAGGAAAGACATTGCGATGTCGTGGAACTGCTGCAGTTCTGAGCTCTGCGCCTTTGCAACTTTTACGATCGTCCAAAGGGCCAAATGGCACTGTTCTTTGGCACCCAGCCACCGGTACAGGTCCTTGTGTGAGGAACTGACAGAGCTCTGACAGCCACCAGCCACTCCAGTCTCCAGTTTCCATTACATTGTCACGTACATGTATGGCGCAATAATGCAATAAGCAATGCGGCATTTTTAAGCATTGAGAATTGAGAACTAAGTGTCAATGCTTTTTGAGCACTTCATTCATTGTTCTCTAATTCAGTGCTTGGAAACAAAGGATGCGGATGACCATAACGGTCTCTTGGATTTAACGTCTGCTTTACTTAGTCATAATAGTCATATTGAAACACGGTTACCTCTTCAATGATCTCACGCACCGAGACATACATGGACTTGAGATTGGCGTGCACCTAACACACCAAGCTCTCCCCTTTAGGAGCCAAAGCTTGACTGAGTCTATTGTAGTTATTGATAATTACCCCGAAGTGTATTAGTCGAATAGGCCCTTTGCTCTTGGCTCGTCAGCGCCAGCTGCAAGCTCATCCTATTCTCACTTTTTTGCTCTCCACAATTGCGCCTTTGACCCCACTCCAAAAGCTTTTCCCTTTTTGTTGAAACCATGAAGTTGTTGAATCTCTTCCACACTAAGAGCAACCGTTGCAAAGAGGCTGCCATTGAATCCGACGTTGCGACAGTCCGGGAGTCTGTGTCCAGCCACAGCCACAGCACTCGCACAAGCAGTCACAAAAAGGACAAATCCAAGAGAAAAAAGAAAACCACACCTGTGGATGTAGTGATAGAAGAATACCACACACCCAATGAAAAAATCATCAGTGCCTTTCTCCAGGCACTCAATGACCACGCTGACGAGGAGCGCCTCCTCCGATTCTTTGCATCCGACCAAGTCATGGCAAGGTTTGAGGATACCCCTGGTTTCCCAGTATCCGTGTTTGTTGCCGAGTTGCAAAAGTTCTTTAAAAGCTTTCCAGATATCAAGTTTTCGTGGGACTTTATCAAGGAGGAAAAGAGTGGACAGGTGCTTGTGGAAGAGTTGCTCGTCAAGGGGACGCACAGTGGGGAGCCCTATGCGTTTGCCAACTTCCCACCAGTACCCGCCAAGGGAAAGCATTGTGCCATGGATCCAGAGCGATTCTGGTACACCTTGAAAGATGGGAAAATCACTTCTGTGGATATCATTGCATTGGGAAGCAAAAGTGGACTTCCTGGTTTCTACATGGAAGTGGGTGGGAAAATGGACATGCCTCAAGGCAATGAATGAGGTGGCTTGACGTGCATCTGAACTGATCTTGATCCATTTGTGACCCCAGCCTGCCAATCCCAGTGGAAAGCACTTGTCCGTTCTGAGCAGAGTCCTGCCAAACTGATTGGCTTTCTGGCGCACTATCTACATGTGATACATCAAATAATTCTAGATTCATCAAATTCTAGATACATCAAATTCAACATAACGAACACGTCACTTAGTTAAGTTCTCCTTCTTAATGTTACTACATATATTCTCCTCCAATCACAGGGCTGATTCGACTCATCAGCCATAGCTAACCACTTAGGGGTAACGCGTTTCATCCAGCAACACAAGCTATCCGCGAAGCTTCTTCCTGTCATCAAACGACTTGGAGGTTCCGGGCCTTGTTACAGTGGCAGTGACAACGGCGGGCCTGGAAGGTGGCCTTGTTACCTTGCCGGTGGCAGCGGGCCTCGAAGGGGGTCTGGTGACTTTACCTGTACCCGGGGTTACAGGAACTGGAACGGGAGCTGGGGTTGCAGGCACTGGAACTGGAACTGGAACTGGAACTGGAACCGGAGCTGGGGTAGCCGGAACTGGGACGGGTACCGGGGTTGCAGCTACGAGCTTTCCTAGGTAAGTGATGCCTGGAAAGATTTGCATGTATCCTGGTGTGTCTCCGTGGACAGGATCGAAAGCAGGAGTCCCATCCTTCCCACACATGCCATTTACAAGCTATGACAACAGAAATCGTGTGAGCTTGCGTCCACTTCTGGTGTCAAATCGACCTTACCTGTATGGTGTGATGGTGTATGCATGGGGCAAATGAGCACTTACGATAGTGGCACCAACGGGATGGTTGGGCGCATAGGCTGTTACATCGTAAGCCTATGAAAACCAACGCCAGAGAGCGACCACCGTGGTAGACTGTCATTGTGAGTGATATACATTGCTGCGCGAGGATCTGCAATGCAACAACACAATAGTTTTAATGTTACCTCGCCGTACACCGCAGTCCAGCAATCAGTTGCAGTGTTGTGTGCCGCAATGTCAGTCAAGGTGACTTGACTCTGAACCAACACAGGTTTCCCCATCACCCACAATAATGTAGCAGCGGAAGAAAATCTCATGTTGGGTGAGTATAGCAAAGGGGTGGGGAAAGCAATGACCACAAGCGACTTCTAGGTTTCAAATTTGTGAGATGGTTGAATAAAAGGGACAAGCTCACGAACATAAAGTTCGGCCCTGGATCGAGCTTGAAGATGTCAAGGTGCCACGGACAGACCAGTGTGGCCAAGGAATACTAGTTGAGCAAGAGCGATGAACTCACATTTACAGTCGTCGTATGCCAGACAGCACTATCACAACTAGGTTACGAGTTGCAGATCTATAGTTGCCTCGTCCTTTTTCGAAGGATCTGGACCTGTGATGGGACCAGTGTTTGGAAACACTACCAGATAACCAACAAAAGGATTCATCAGAGCGGCTAACCCGTATTCGTTCTGCTTTTCCTCCTATTCAGACCAAGTGTATCCCGCGAGGCTTCCAGCCATGCATTGCCTGATGGGACCACTGGCAGCAGGATCTTGTTCCGAATCTTTTGGGGTGGTATCTTGTTTTGACACTCACAAGCTTTGTAGCCTTTCGATTCGCATCGAAACCTTGCTCCATGTTCGACCTGATGGTTACCGTGCAGTGGTACGCTGATGGACCTGGGAAATGTTAAAATAGACCGGAATTCTCTCTTTTTTTGCCACCAGTTTTTCCCCTGTTTTCTTTAACACCCGCCAATTCTTTCTCCTTTTATTTAACGCCACGACAAACAAAAGGTACTAGCTACCAGTAAGCCGATTGTATCAACTATCCAAAGATATAGAAAGGCTTCATTCAGGTATCTCAAGGGAGTCATAATTATTTCTCTTTAAGAACTAAATGCATGTTCAAAATTTACTATTTTAATAGGGGATGAGCAAACCTCCTCATAGCCCCAGATTGCATTGGTTAGGCAGTAGGGTATGTGGTGCTAGTACCTCCGTAGTTACCGGTACATTGACATGTAATACTGGTAGATTGATCAACTGACTCAACTAACTAAAAGTCAGTTGAAAACTTAAAATTCGGTTTTTTACCTTTTTACCGGCAAATACGTTTAATTGGATTGGATTGGTTTGAATTGCATTGGATTGGACTAGATTGGATTCAATTAGATCCAGAAAAGTACTGTATTTTGTATAGTAAATACCAATTCAATGCAATCCAATCCAATTCAATTCAATGCAATCCAATTCAATGCAATCCAATCAAAATTAACCAGAAAAAGCCAAAAATTGGATTTGATCATTCCTTTTCGCCCAAACTGTACCGCTGCAGGTATCCATACCTACAGGACTTTCTTGGTAGTAGTGTGGAATCTGACCCACCCTAACTATCAGTGTTACGGTAGCGAACAGAGTACACTACAGCGCTATGGCAACTTTTGCTCATCCCCATACGGTAAAAGGAACTGCATAGCGCAAAGTGTATGTTAAAGCTTTTTCAAAGTGTGTGCGTGTTAGACTAATTACTAGGTGAGATGACTGGTGGTGTTAAAAAAAGCAAGAAAAATGGTTCTTTTAATATTTCTCAAAAACCTCCCGAATTTCAACATAGCGACCACATCATTTTATTCAGTTCTGTTTGTTATTCTTCCTGCATGTATTCTCCTCCGAGCACAGGGATGATTCTTCGGGGGGTTAGTCCATCCCACCCCGGCCACAGCTACCACTTAGTTACCGGTAGGGGGCACGCTCTTCATCCAGTGGCACGCTCTATCCGCGAAGCTGCTTCCTGTCATCAGACGACTCGGAGGTAGAAATAGACGTCATAGTGGGCCTGGTTACGGTAGCTGTAACAGTAGCAGCAGCAATGGCGGGCCTCGTAGGGGGTTTGGTGACAGGAACTGGGACAGGCACTGGGGTAGCAGGCACTGGAACGGGAGCTGGGGTGGCAGGAACTGGGACAGGCGCTGGGGTCGCAGGCACTGGAACGGGAGCTGGGGTGGCAGGAACTGGGACAGGCGCTGGGGTAGCAGGCACTGGAACGGGAGCTGGGGTGGTAGGAACTGGAACGGGAGCTGGGGTGGCAGGAACTGGAATGGGTGCTGGGGTGGCTGGAATGGGTGCTGGGGTGACCGGAACTGGAACGGGTGCTGGGGTTGCAGCAAGGAGCGTTCCTAGGTAAGTGATACCAGGGAAGATTTGCATGTACCCTGGTGTGTCTCCATGGACAGGATCAAAAGCAGGAGTTCCATCCTTCCCACACATGCCATTTACGAGCTGTGGCACAAGAAATCGTGTGACATGAGCTTGCATCCACTTCTGGAGTCAAGCGATACATGGGGCAAATGAGCACTTACGATAGTGGCACCAACCGGATGGTTGGGTGCATAGGCTGTTACGTCGTAAACCTATATGAAAGCCAATGCCAGAGACAACCGCGGAAGACTGTCATTGTGAGTGACATTCACCACTGTGCGAGGAGCTGCCACGTAACATCACAAATGCTTAAAGACGTTACCTCACCGTACACGGCAGTCCAGCAATCAGTTACAGTGTTGTGTGCCGCAATGTCAGTCAAGGTGACTTGACTCTGAACCAACGAAGGCTTCACCATCACCCACAATAACGTAGCAGTGGAAAAGAATCTCATGTTGGGCGAGTATCGGAAAGGGGTGAGGAAAGCAATGAAGGTAAGAGACTTAATTCTAGGATTCAAATTTGTGAGATGAGTTTCTTCGGCCCTGGAACAAGCTTGCAGAAGTCAATGTGCTGGGAGTTGTCCATAGCGACTAATGAGTCCTTGTTCGGCAAGAGGAACTGCCTTGTACAAACTTCGAGTGGGAGAAAGCAAGATCATAAACAATACGGTACGAGAGGCAGCTCTAGTATTAGTTACCTGGTCTTTTTTCGAATGATCTGGATCTGTGATGGGACCAGCGTTTGGAAATACTCCAAATGAACTAACAAATGGATTCAAGCAGCTGCTTACCGGTACCGTAACGGTACGAGCGAAACCTTAGCTGTTCTGCCAGCTTCCTCCTTTTGCAGAGCAAGTATGATACTTCGCGAGGCTTCCAGTCATTGACTGATGGGACCAGCAGGATTATTGAGATCTTGTTCCGAATCTTTTGGGGTATCCTGTTTGCCACTCACAAGGAGCTCACAAGGTTTGTTGCTTTCGATATGATTCATCATAGGCATGTCAGCACGGATTTGTTGCGTCATGTTCGACACAATTCACCTCATCGTCGCGTCTTTTCGGTACATTCAGTCGTGGTTTGCCCATCGAAGACCAGTTTGTTAACCCATGAGCACCGATCAGCAACAAGAGGAAAACCAGCGTTGGATCGAGACCTACAAGCATTTGTCGTTGCCAGGTAGCCAGCTAGCGGTAGTATCAGGCAATGGCAGAGGAGATCACGTCCTTACCCGGGGATGCACTTATTGCAGTCTTGTCGTTCCTTCCAACCTTTTGCGATGTGGCAACTTGTTTTGCGAGCTGCCGCACCTTTTTCGAATGTCGTGACGACCCAATTCTCTGGAAGAATCTCTGCCACTCACTTCTGCCTTTTTACGCCAGATGCTCGTTTCGGAGGGACAGCGGCGAGGTATTGCAATGGAAGGAGATTTGCCAAACCTTTGGAAATCCAAGTGTGACAAAGAATTCGCCGATCGTCATTTGGTTGCAAATGGCACCACCTCAACAGATCAGCAACCACGAGACGTCCATGGAGGCGCGCGTCACAATCTTCAACGCGGACAAAGTGCACCCCATCAAGCTCAGTGTCGGGTACCAATTTATGTACTGGAAGCGTGTGGACCTTGCCACGGGCAAATTTCTCTTTTGCGGGGAAAAGGCATTCCATCAGATCCATCCTCGAGCCTTTTTGCGAGGGGGGACGCTTGCTCCCGGAGGCAGGGCTGTACGGGAAATCACAACGACACTCGATCCAGGAGGGCGCTTTGATTTTGACCCCTTCGAATTGATCTATAGTCGCCATCGACTTGAGTCCTTTCTCGAAGCCGGGGTTGGCAGCCAGTACTACCATTTGCGCTCGACGTTGCCAAATGCGAGCCGACGCGGCCCATTCCAGATACGGTGGGCTACACGGTGGAAAAAAGAAGGAGATCGCAGGGAAGGAGATGATGACGGTGGCATTTATTGTTCTAACCCAGTGCCTTGGGAATCGGCGATGCAGCCATCCGGAATCTTTAAAGAAAAGGCAGACTAGCTAGGAAATGGAAGGCTGGCTTACTGGCTGGTGCAGGAGTTTTGCTGGTTGTTGGTATACACAATCTTTGCTTCTATGGTCTCAACTGCTACAAAGATTGTCTAATCGATTCCTGGCCTCCTCACTCTAGTCTATCTCCCATCACAAATACAGCCACAGCCACAAAGCATCCCAGAACAGTTAAAAGACAACCCAAAGGGACCCTCGCATACGTCGATCGCATTGGAGACACAAGTATTGTTGAGATTGCAAATACCAACGGGGATCGTACCAGACAACTGTGGGTTGTCCTCCATTCTCAAAGTATGAAGTGACTGTTGTAGAGTTCCAAGCTCTTCCGGCAAGGTCCCAGAGAGATCATTGCCTGCCAAAGTCAAGTGTCCCACAGACTCAAGCTGGCCAAATTCACTGGGAACTTGGCCGGTGAAGCGATTGTCTCTGAGTTCTAGCTCTGCCAGCCCTGAGAAGAGCCCAAGCTCTGAAGGAATGGTGCCTGAGAGTTCGTTATTCCTTAGGTTGAGAGTGAAGGCGAGTCCTGTAAGGAGTCCCAGCTCACTTGGCACCGGACCAGTGAGCTGGTTATCCCTCATTGTTAACATTGCCAGGCCAGATATTTGACCCAACTCAGTAGGGATTGTGCTTTGGAAAGAGTTTTCAAACAGCGATAGCATCTGTAGCTTTGGAAGCTGCATCAACTCACTGGGAAGACTTCCTGACATGCTGTTTTCATACAAGACTATCCATTCAAGAGAACTTGCTTTCCCAATCTCTGTTGGGATGGTCCCTGAACCATATGCATAGAGGAATGTCAGACAGCAGCAGCAATTATTAATGCAGGTTTCCCACTAGAGAACTACAACATACCAGTGAGAGAACCATCCCATAAGACAAGCGTACCCAGATTGGAAAAGTTTCCAATTTCCGCTGGAATGCTACCTTGCAAACCAGGGTTGTCGCTCATAAATAGTTGTTCCAAGTTTGTAAGTAGCCATAGCTCGGTTGGAATATGCCCTTGGTGGTTGTTTTCCTCCAGTGCAACGTGTCTCAATGTGGTCAGGAAACCAACTTCGGAAGGTATGTTTCCAGCCTCTTGTAGCATCGTCATATGGAGTCCTTCCAAAGATCTGAGCTGTCCAATGTGACTAGAGATGGTTCCCCAAATCTGATTGTATCCAAGGGAAAGTGTCTTGAGAGTTGAAAGTAGGTAGATCTCTGTTGGCAAGTAGCCTGATAAATTGTTTCGGTCAAGCCAAAGATGCTGATAGAGGCCATTGTTATCGCAAGGCTTTGGTGGCTCTGTAGATGGGAAAAAACCTTGGAGGTATCCAGGATACACTTCTGAAAGTGAATTCATCATTGCATAATCGGGTCTGTTGAACCATCCACACTCATGAACACTGTGATCGAGCCAGTTGGTTTGAACTGCCCAATTTGAACCTTCTGTAGCATAATACAAAGTGGCAAGGGCGAATCTTTGGACAACTCGAGCACTCGTGTAGTAAGGAAGCAACTCATAGTCTTGGAGGAGCCATTGCCAAGCCTTGGATTGGGGCGAATCTGCATCGTCTGCTATAGCATGAACAGTCTCATCTGGAAGCAAAGTCAGCAGAGATCCTTCAAGAGCTGTTGGAGCTTGGGTATGATAAGTTGTGGGTGCCAGTGATGGCATCATGAGTGTGGAATCCGTTGGTTTGTTTCCTCTGACTGAAACCACAACAACAACAATTATGAGAATGATTATGAGGAATATTGCTCCCAGACAACCATACTTTTTGATGTTCTTGTTACTTTCTTGTCTCTTTCTAGCAGCCGCATCAAGGTCTTCTAGAATGGCTGGGTGTAGATCCTCTTCTACCACCAAGTTGGCCACTGCCAGGTCATTGTTGTTGGTGCTAGTATCCGTGTTCACAATATTGGCAGCCCTGTCATTGATTGGAGGATTCTCCCCCCGTGGTCGTGTTCCTCTATTATTGGACGTATACGAATTCAAACCACGGACATGAATAGCTCCAGGCAGACGTTCTGGATTAGGGAGCCGGAGGGGCTGGACTCCAAAACTGGAGGGAGACGTCATTATTGACTGAATACTGTTGGAATTATCATTATCAAAAATAACACTTTGAATTCCGAGATGCAGACAAGCTGTCAATGAAGGATCATCTGGTGATGGTGACTTGGTCTGGTTATAAATATCGAAGCCCATGGAAGGCTGGTCTTTCGTGGCCCCTTCCTTTGAAGATGATCGTTTGACTTCTTGCTTGTTGAGGCTGCCTGATAATTCATCTTCTTGCGATGATGGACCTATTTTCTCCTCCAAGCTGGAGTCGTTCGAGAAGGCGATGTGCTCAGGAGCTGCTGCTGGGCTACTCATACTGTGATTTTAATATGTATACAGTTTCGTCCCGTTCAATTGGACCCAACAAACGAAAAAAGAGCACTATCCACTACTATAATGCATCTGATGGAACAGATCGTTGGGGTGTGATCGAGCTGTATCCGGATAGCTGAAGCTGTTACGGTACAGGAAACCCCTTTGTCGGGAGCCAGCTGTGGTTGCCACGTTGCCCCCAAGAATGAGTTGATCCTTCATAGTTAGTTGTTGTTCTACCAATCTGCTGGCTTACTATTCAAGTTCTCCTTCACCAGGCTCTGGCCAGTGGAACTTGGAAGGCTTAAATCCTGTCTGTCGCCACGACCTTATGCAGTCATTTTGGCTTCTTGGAGCCTCGACATTAAATCATCCAATCAGCAACCATGTGACCATGCATTGCTCACAATATTTCGTTGCGACCGAGCTGAAACTGAATCCAGAATGCAGTTAACTTACTTGACCATTCTGAGAGGTTCACGCAGCTCCAAGGACCCCACGGTGTTTCCCCTCGATCCGATCATTGTTTCTAAAATTTAATGCTAGCTAGCTACTAGGCATAGATATGATTGATTCAAGATAATAAGATAAGCAGGATCAAGAATGATCAGATAAGGGCTGCCTGACTAAGAGAATGGTATCTTTTTCAGAAGAAGAAGAAGATTACCTTCTTCTGATGAGTCTGCTGCACAATGATGAGGACAACTCCACAGCTCTTACTTCTACTATGAACAGTACTGCTAATAGTACTAATAGTACTACCATGAGCTACCTGAGCGATGGTCAAGAACGCGTGATTGCCTTGCTGCCTCTGATTCCCGCAATGCTGAGTATCTGTGGTTCTCTCACACTGATTCGCCTACTGCACAAGGCACATTACCAACGTCCGTACCGACGCATTTTGCTGGGCATGAGTTGCTACGATATTCTGAATTCCATTACCGTCTCGTTGCAAACCTTCTTGACGCCTCGCGATACCAGTCGTCGTTTGTGGGCCGTTGGGAATACTACCAGTTGCAATGCCATGGGATTTCTGTTTCAATTCAGTTATCCCAGCTTCATGTACTTTGGCGGTCTCTCGCTGTATTACGTGCTGGTGGTCAAATTTGGAGTCACCAATGACACATTTGCGCGACGCATGGAACCCTTTCTGCATGTCATTACGCTGGCATGGCCGACCATTACGGCATTTGTGGGATTACACCACAATTTGTATGCCGAAGTTTCCATTGGCGCGGGATGTTGGATTTCCGAACAAGCCATTACCGATAGTTGCAATGCCGAGTGTATCGAGTCATGGACATGGATCTTGGGAGGTCTCCCCTTTATGCTCGTGTTTGCCTTGGTACTACTCAACAATGCACTCATTTATTGTCATGTTCGCAACACCATTTTTGCCGTCACTCGACCACGACAGCTGGAACCGGCTCATGATAGTACGACGACCGGCAGCAGCAGTTACAATACTACGAATAGTACCACGCTACAATCACAACAATCCCCACGACAATCCCTTCGACAAAGACGACACTCTCAGTCGCTGACACCCGAATCGCAAGAAGCCAAAGTCCGGGCTGTGGGAGTACAGGCGTTGCTTTACTGCGTCGTATTCATCATGACATACAGTTGGACCATAATCTTGCGATTGGTAAGTAACGATGGGGCGGGACCACCGCAAGAACCCACCGTGTTTCCCATCATGGTACTGCGGGCCATTTTTCTACCGGCCATGGGATTGGGGACGGTCCTGGTATATGCCCGACCTCGGTACATGCTACTCCGACGAGCGCATCCCGCGAAATCGCGTCGAAGGATTCTCCAACAAGTACTGTGGTACGAAGACGACAACGAACAGGGGTCCACACGACGTGGTATTAGAACCCACAACCACAACAATTTACCCCATTCGTCGTCCTCGGGATCTTCGACCATTGGGACCAATCGCTTTTGGATGTCATCCTTGAGGAGTACTCGGTTGGGAATGAGCACAAAGAGCTTTGTCAGCGGTCCATCGCGATCCACTTCGTTGGTCGTACGTGAGGATGCCGAAGAAGAAAAAGAGGACAACAACAATGAGAGTCACCATGATGTCATGCCTCCTGCCGTAGTGCCCGACCTCTCGGTGGTGGACGAAAACGACGCCGAATGCGCCCTCCAATCCACGTCCTTTCACAATAGTGCTACCACCCATGTTTCCAATATCACCTGGAGTGCCCACAACCACCGACACGAGACTCGCGACGATGATCTTCCACCCAAGGAAGACGACGTGGATCTCGGTAGCCATTGTAGTAGCAGCGTGGCGTCCATGGCACACGACAACGATGATGCTGCAGGATCTTTACCTCTACTAGTAGGTACTGCCAATGTGGTAGACCAGCAAGATCCAAATGGGCAGTGAGGGGAACGATCCTCGAAGGGGAATAGAAAGGAAGAGTTCGAATGGGAAAGCTAGATGGGGGTGTGGGAGAATACGGAAACGCATGAACTCCGAAACACAATGGCAAAACCTGCCTGCAAAACTGGCAGCTAGCCATTCGGCAGAGAAAGCCCACTTATTAATGGCGGGAAATGACGGAGACACGGCATTCGAGCGTTCGGGGGGCAGCGCAACTGCAACGAGTCGAGTTTTCCCTTGCGGTGGCATGCAGCCACAGTTCGATGAAGCGGCCGGCCAATGATAGAGATGATCAATACTACAGTATGTTGGGGAACATCAGCAAGCAATCAGCAGACTAACAGGCTAGTAGCTACCATACCGTACCAGCTAGCTAGCAAGTAAGAAACTTGTAAACCCATGCTGCCTACAGTACGGCACAGAACGTATACACCAGTCGCCCGGCTACCAACAGCACACGGAAAGCTGCCCTTCTTGATGTCGTCTGGGCTCATGTTTCCCGCGTCCGCACCGGACGGAGTTGGTTGCATTGCTGTATATAATATTTATTTGCCCGCCTCCTTATTAATTATTACTTACTTATTCATTCATTCATCTATTCATTCTATTTGGGAGTGATCAACTCCAACAGCCTTTGTTCCGTGTCATGCCAGTGTCGCAAGACTTGTTCTCGATACGTGGACATGCAGACCATGTCCCGTAATATTTTCCAATTGACTTTGTAGTCGACATCATCCCGCCACAGCAGTTGTGCCGCCAATTTGGGATCGACCCGATTGGCATGTTCCCGACACGCATATGCGGCATCGTATTGACTAATATCGAGTTGCAACGATGACGCAGGTGGAAGATTGTCGACCCGAAACAAATCCATAAACGACTTGTCGATTTCATCCTTCATATTCCATACCCATGTGCCATGCAGTGGAATCCCAAATCGAAATCCCAGTGCCGTACCATCCCCGCATGCCATGAGTTTGAGAAAATCCGGTTGTGGTACAAAGTCCACGAGTTGTTTGTTGTTATTGGGGTGAAGTAGATAATGAGTCAAATTTTGAATGAGAATGGGACCACTCCGGACGGCATAGACACCGGCTTTGGGAGGATGAGCGGGATGCGATGCACAATCTCCGGCGGCAAAGACACAGGGATGCGAGACACTTTGCAACTGTCGATTGACTTGAATCCATCCGTGAGAGTCCAATTGCAATCCTCGTTTCGTTTGGAGTGTCGTTGCCAACGTATGAGGTTCCGCCCCCGTGGCCCAAATGCAATAGTCAAATTCAATACTGTCCGAGTTATTGTTGAGTGTAATGTGGTGTTGTGCAATGGATTCAATGCCACAATCGTAGCGCCGTAGTTGGATATCTTTGGATTCTAGTATTTCGAGCAATTTGCGACGACACGAGGGTGTTTCCGAGGGTAAAATATCGGACTGACCACTGACGGCGTCCAACACAGTCACCGACAAGTCGTCGACCAATTCGCTCCATCGGCCTCGAATACTCAAGGCCAGTTCCAATCCAGCCACTCCCGCTCCCACCACCACGACTTTGATGATACGCATCTTGCTATCAGTGTTCTGCAGCAGTATTTCTTGTTCCGCCTGTTGAATGCGCTGGATCAAGGCGGCAATGGGTCTCGTGGGAATGGTATACGCCAGAGCTCCTGGAATGACGTGTAAATCTCTTGTGGCGGATCCAATGTCGAGACTCAGTGCATCAAACGAGATGCTATCTGTCGTAGCAGTAGTACTAGTAGACTCGTCATTGTCGTCATTGGTACTACTAGTAGTAGTAGTATAATAAATCAGTTTGTTCTGTAGATCCACATCCACCACTTGCGCCTGCACAAACGTGATATTGGCCCATTCTGCGAGAGGCGCCAAATGCAGTAATGTTGCTGGAGGCGAATACAATTTGGCAATGGCGCCAGGGACCATGCCACTGTAACTCGCCGCTTCCTGCTGATCAATCAACGTCACGCGCAGATGCGAAGGACGTCCGGCCAATGCCTTGATTACTTGGACGTGGGCATGGCCTCCTCCTACCAATACCAAATGCTTGGTCGTGCTGTTGCTACCGGTAGAAGCTACCAATTGTTCCAAGGCATCCTCGTCATTCGTTATAGTATTAGTGGAAAGGTCCAAAGACTCGTACTCCAGATGCTTCGGTGCCATGATACTACTGTATGGGCAAAGATATAAAAAGATACAAAAAGGTGGATGATCCACAAGACGTCGGCGAGTCGAGTCGAGTCTCGAGCAAAGGCTTATTAAGCCTGCAATACCGGTAGTACAGCTCGTACGGTACATGTGCCGGTATACGGTACAACCTCGGTAAGGTACGGGACCCTTGCTTTTTTTTAAAAAAAGATGTGTGTTCCGCCCCACTCGTCAGAGGGGAATACTACATGTGGCTATTAGATCTACCGGTAGCTATCCAGTAATAAGCGCTACCACGAGCCTTGAGTTGAGTAGCTCCCCGAGAACTCTGGTAGCCAGGTAGTCAGTCTACTGTAGTACCGGTACTCGTCAAAGGTTAGGCAACATATTGAAGAAAGGGTGCAAAAGCAACGGCTATCTTCCTGGAGCTTCCAAACTCCGACCACTGAAAAAGCCCATCATTCAATCCACTCGGTACAGTATGTGCCACATGCTATGATACCAACAACGACTACTGTACTGTAGTTAGCTATACGGTACAGTAGTACGCATCTAAATAAGTGGAATGTGTCCTTCCGAGTTGATGTGCAATGATCGGCCGTGCGTTTATTTTGGGAAGGGAAGCCAGTCGGTCGAAAGACGAACGCAACCACAGTAGCCGAAAGCAGTCGTCGTCTTTGTCATTTTTGTTTGCAGTTGGCAGTAGACTACTGTACTCCAGCAATGCAAGGGCCACAGCGCTTGTCAGTTTCCACCCAACACAGGTGACTGATGATACACACACTAGCCGCTCGTAAAAGTAACGTTCGAGATCTCGCTTGTTTTGCGGAAACGGACAGCTAAAAAAGACTGTTTGTCACTCATCAGACTGGATAACTTAAAATTATTTCACTGTTTCTTCTCCAGCTAGCTGTCTACGTACTGTCTACTGTACGGTCTACGAGTCACTTTGCACTGAGGATCAGATTCGATATTCGATTCGATCTTTTTACAAGAGCTTCCCCTGGCCTGGAGGAATTTTGGAATTATGGTGTTGCAGGTTCAACATATGCATACAAGAAACGATACCGGTAAGCTTCTGGGGGGTGGAGGAATCTAGGTCCATCCCACGCCGACAGAAGTGGACCATGACCAAGATTTTGGTAGACAGGGGTAAACACTACGGTAACATGTAGCCCTCAACCACAAGATGGTATTGATTTTCTCCACCCCCCTGTCTCACTGGAAGTACTCAAGCATGAGACTCTCGGAACTGCGGTGGGTCCACAGGGTACTGAGTACATGTACTACCGTACTCTATGTCATCGTTCTACATGTACTAGCTAGCAAAGGTTCACGTTTCACGTTGCTTTACTCAGCGTCATAGAAGTTCATGTTTCGGGCAGAGAGATTTATTGTACTAAAGTGGTTAAACAACGAAACCACAAGTATTCTTGCGGAATATTAAATAGCTGGCAGGAGGTGATTTAAAGCCTACATGCACGTACATGCAGTACCGTTACGCGATGCGTGCCAGGATCCCAATAGAAGTTCTTTGGGGAAGCCTCATTACCGCGAAAACAAAAACACAGCAACTAACCCGAAATATATAAGGCCCGGCGCATAGAAATCCCCACCACCGTCTGTCCGTCGTCGGTCGGAAAGTGTGCGGTCATGGAAAATCGACTTCCTTGCGCCTGATAGAGCTTTTTCTTCGCTATCCAGCCATGTAGATGAGTATAGCGTGCGACAGGCAGAAGTTGAAGTTGCGAACTTAAACAAGCTGCGACAACCGTCGGTGCGATCCGTCAACAACAATCAAGATTTGCTTATCTATGGGCGGGAACATGGTTGGTTGGCGTGTGATTTAAAAATTTACTTAAGCGATGGCTATTTTACTCTCACATTTTCTCAAATCAGCGAAGACTTGCCTCCAAGCTAGCGATATCGAACGTATCGATTCTCCATCCAACACGCTCACTACAACTACAAGCTAGAGGATACCGAAGATCGAAGTGCGCCATGTCAACACCTCCCTCGAGTAAGGTCAATGCTGTTGTGACCCCTGAGAGTGCAAGAGAAGACCTTGGGAAGAGTCCGTGCAAGATAATCCACAAGAAGAGGACTGAATTGAAGAAAACGGATGTGCAAGAAAACTGGGAACATGTGGAGGCTCTTAAGTTGTTCTTCTGCAAGCTTTCGGAGGCTGGCCCTTGCATTGAAGTGAATAACAAGCAGCGCCCCACCAATTGCTGGTGTTTGAAAGACGCTCGCTACATGCTGGATGAGGACAAGATGGAGAAGATGGCGGAATATTTGTTTGGCTACAGTTTGATGGATTGGAATGAACAGCGTGCTTTGCTGGTTGAGTGGATCAAATACTCGCGGCACATGACAACAATGCAAAACAGGCAGTGGGGACTCAAGAATCCCAGGAGAAGGCTAGTGTACGTGCTGCCGGGCACAGGAATACTTATTTGCAAAGATGCACTACTTCGAATGATAGGAATTGGGGAAGATGCGTACCGTTCCATGGCAAGCTAGCAAAGACGGGTGGATCACCGGTGCATGGACTTGTGAAGAAACCAGGGAACAGAAGGAACAAGGAAGCAGAAGATGATCTGTCAAAGTTCTTTGAAGAGCTGAAGACGCACGCAGTTCCTCGAGCAACAAGACTTGTGCAAGAATTCAGCAAGAAAGACAACACTGTACGCACTGAATCCAAGGACGACGACATTATCGAGCTACCTACTGCCTTCACCAAGATGTCGATCTACGCAAGATACCTTAGAGAACGCGGCTGGAAGTACTCCTACTCTGCGAAGGGACTTATCGTAGAGAAAGAAAAGCTGGTGGACGATCCAGCTTCAGTTGTTGCTTGGACAACCTTTCGACTCTTTTGGAAGAGGAATCATCCCAAACTTCGCATTGCCAATCCCAGCGAAGATATATGCGGGGAGTGTTTCATTTATGCGAACCAACACAAGTACCAGACAAAACTCATGAAGAAGAAGGCGCGACGTGAAGCAAGGGCAAGGGAAGATACCGACAGTGATGACTCTGATTCTTCTTCTGATGAGTCGGAGGATGGGTCCATAACTGACAAAGACATTCAGCGAATGCTGGACAATGAGGCTTTGATCACCAATGCAAGCAAGCATGTCGACATGGCAGCCAAACAGAGACAGCTCTTCCGCGACAAGAAAGAAGAAGCTTTCAATACGGCTGACCATCCACCATCCCATCGCGTGATTACACTGGTTGCTGACTATGCGCAGAACATGTACCTCCCCCACTTTGCGTCTGAACAAGCTGGAGATACGTACTACTATTCCCCTTTGAATGTGTACGTCTTCGGTGTTGTCAATTGCTGTCGCAAACCTTACACTCTTTCTGCTTTGACCTACACCGAAGATCAAGCCAAGAAGGGAGGAAACAATGTCTGCAGTCTGCTCCTATATGAGCTGGAGCGACTTGGTTTCACAAAGACACAGCAACCTTACAAGGAGATCAACATATTCATGGACAATTGTGGAGGACAGAACAAGAACCGAATGGTGCTACGGATGCTACACTATCTTGTGAAGAAAGGGTATTGCAAGGTGGCCAGAGCTTCCTTTCTTGTTCGAGGGCACACCAAGAATGATTGTGACCGACTGTTCAATCTTCTCAAGCAGGTGTGGAGGAAGAGCAACACGTACACTCCCGATGACCTCTTCGAGTGCATGAACAGTCATGACCTTGTTGAGCCCATCATGGTGGAACAGAAGGTGTTCCGTGATTGGGCAGAACAGCAAGAAGAAATGATCAAACGTCCAAGCAAGGAGACCAAACAAAACCACATCTTCACAGTGGACGCAGATCGCGATAGCAACATCATGTATGTGCAGGAGTACGACGGAGCTCCAGAGAAGGCGCTTGAACTTGTTACCGACGACTACAAGGATAAGCCACGCAGCTTCTGGACAGAACTCCCATTGCCAGATGCACTTGAACCTATTGGCATCCAAGACATTAAATGGAAGGAGCTACACGACAAGTGGGGCAAGCTCATACCACAAGACAAGAAGAAAGGCTTCAAGTACTATTGTCAGCCACCACCAACAAGTGCGCGCAAGAGGGTAGCTGAGCATTCCAAGGCTAGCAAAAGGCAGCGGCAAGAGAGGTCAACCACTGTGGTAGAAGATCAAACAAAGAGAGCCAGCATCTAGTGCTTTGGTAAGGGATAATGGTGCTTTTTCTTGTTGCGGGATTGCGTTCCATCATGGTGCTTGTGAGCCAAATCAGTTTTTTGCGTTTTTCTCGACTACGACTTTTTAGGAACGACGGACCATGCAAGACGGTTGGGTGGGGATTTCTATGCGCCGGGCCTTATATAACTAAACTCAAAAACTCTCGAGAAGGGAAGCCACTGTGGCTACATTTACCTCTGGAATCACAACCAACAACAACCAAAAGCGACACAACTTCTTTTTGATGTAGAGATGAACCCCTGCCAAGAAACCAACGAGAAAAAGAGCAGCCCGGCTGCTCCTGGTGTTGACAGGATTGATTGTTGCTCACTGGAGGAGAGAAACGGACAAGATGGTATTGCCTATCTCAAGCAAGAGGTCAAACAAGCAACCGAGCAGGACAAGCAAGGCCAGCCGTCCAAGACCGAGTCGCCACCTCTGGGTGATGATACTGTCGTCGTGACTAAAAGGATGTATCACAACAGCAGTCGTATCAAGGGAGATGACGATGATGTCAAACGAGCAAATCCAAAGGAGGATCAGCATTCTGACGAGGACATGGCAAATCATCCAGAGTCGACAGCAGCGCCTCCCCCACCAGGTTCTACTCCTGCCGTAACAACGAAGACGACGACGACGGCTAACCAACTGAATCACGGAATGCAAAGCGTTATATTTGATGCTACTGACAACATTCAAGCTCTGCCGTCTCCCCTCACGAGAAGAGCACAACTACCCGGTGCCTTCCATGTCGGGGGGTTCTATTCTTCTTCTATTACTACAAGCAGGCCACCACAAAGAGAGACTTCACCTGAAACCATCGAAACTGCGACAGCCAATGTGGCCATGGACAGACCCAGCAACAACAATGACCTGGCAGTGGCCAACTTGGTGGTAGAAGAGGATCTACACCCAGCCATTCCCGAAGATGTTGCTGCTGCTGCTACTAGAAAGAGACAAGAAAGTAACAAGAACATCAAAAAGTATGGTTGTCTGGGAGCAATATTCCTCATAATCATTCTCATAATAATTGTTGTTGTTGTGGTTTCCGTGAGAGGAAACAAAGCAACGGATTCCACACTCATGATGCCATCACTGGCACCCACAACTTATCTTACCCAAGCTCCAACAGCTCTTGAAGGATCTCTGCTGACTTTGCTTCCAGACGAGACTGTTCATGCTATAACAGATGATGCAGAATCGCCCCAATCCAAGGCTTGGCAATGGCTCCTCCAAGACTATGAGTTGCTTCCTTACTACTCGAATGCTCGAGTTGTCCAAAGATTCGCCCTTGCAACATTGTATTATGCTACAGAAGGTTCAAATTGGGCAGTTCAAACCAACTGGCTCGATCACAGTGTTCATGAGTGTGGATGGTTCAACAGACCCGACTATGCAATGATGAATTCACTTTCGAAACTGTATCCTGGGTATCTCAGCGGGTTCTTTCCGTCTACAGAGCCACCACCAAAGCCATGTGACGACCAGGGCCTCTACCAACATTTTTGGCTTGATCAGAACAATTTGGCCGGTTTTTTGCCCACAGAAATCTACCTACTTTCAACCCTCAAGACACTTTCCCTTGGATACAATCAGATTCGGGGAACCATCTCTAGTCACATTGGACAGCTCAGATCTTTGGAAGGACTCGATATGTCCACGCTACAAGAGGCTGGAAACATCCCTTCCGAAATTGGTTTGTCGACCACATTGAGACACATTGGGCTAATAGGGAATAATCACCAGGGGCATATTCCAACTGAGCTCTGGCTACTCACAAGCTTGGAATATATTTTGATTGGGCTCAGTCCGGACTTGCAAGGCAGCATTCCAGTAGAAATTGGAAACTTGTCCAACCTTGCTTGGATGAATGTATGGGGTAGTTCTCTCACCGGTACGTAGATTTTCAGCATGAAGTTGGCTGCATTGCCTTTGCTTATTTGTGCTCTTGCTAACCTCCATGATCCTCATGCCTGTGATTCAGGGACCATCCCAACAGAGATTGGGAAAGCAAGTTCTCTTGAATGGATAGTCTTGTATGAAAACAGATTGTCAGGAAGTATTCCCAGTGAGTTGATGCAGCTTCCAAAGCTACGGATGCTATCGCTGTTTGAAAACTCTTTCCAAGGCACAGTCCCCACAGAGCTGGGTCAAATATCTGATCTGGCTCTGTTTGCAGTGAGGGATTGCCAGCTCACTGGCCCAGTGCCAAGTGAGCTGGGACTCCTTACAGGACTTACCTACACTCTCAATCTACGAAATAACCAACTCTCGGGAACCATTCCTTCAGAGCTTGGTCTCTTGACGAGTTCGGTAGAGCTAGACCTTGCAAACAATCACTTCAACGGCCAGATTCCCAGTGAATTTGGCCAGCTTGAGTCTATGGGCCATTTAAGTTTGGCAGGAAATGATCTCTCTGGAACTGTACCGGAAGAGCTTTCAACTCTGCATGATTCCCTCCATACCTTGAGGATCGAGGACAACCTCCAGCTGTCTGGTACAATCCCCCTTGGTATTTGCAATCTCAACAATTCTTGTGTCTCCAATGCGATCGATGTATGTGAGGGTCCCTTTGGGTTGTCTTTTAACTGTTCTGGTTTGCTTTGTGGCTGTGACTGCATTTGTGATGAGAGATGATGATGGGAGCGAGGGGGCCATGCACCAGCTGTCATAGATTAGATTTTATGATTTTGTTTGCACACTACTAGCTAATTTTAATGCACCAGCATTCATAGAACCGATTTGAATAAATACGATGTTTGCATACGACGAGCTAGTTTCAAAGAGTAAAGTAAAAACCGTGTTGACTATAAGAAGACTCCAATGCCCGTCAGCTAGACTCCAGGTGGCATGTGGCATTGACGACATTCTGTTGTGAATGCTAGTGCAGTGATTGCATGGACATCTGTCGTTATCTCCACACTGGTTAGGCTTCTCTTGATGGTTGAAGCAGCCCACGGCACGGCAGTCATGATGAATTGCAACGACGTATACTGTTGAACCTAGTACTGGTGCTGTATCCTCAGCTGTCTTGTGGTTGGTGGACTGGGTTTGTTTGGCTTGGTCTCGTTCAGGATTGATAAATGAAGTTTCATCCAGGGTTGGCACATTACCTCCCACTCTGCCAGTCAAGGCCTCACCGCATCAGATGTGTGGCGTCAACACGGTGGTACTTGTATTGTGCTGATCAAGAGTAAAACTACTTAATTCAGTCACTTTTTGCTAAAATCGTATGACACAAGCACTCTGAAATCTACGTTCGTACCAGCAGCAGCTACCAGCCCGCTACGTTTAGCTCCGTAGCAAGCTTTTGCTCTGTTTTTCAGCCGACAAGCACCATGGCCATCATCTCTCTATCCAGAGATGTTCGCTTATTGCTGTCGTCTACTTCGAACAATGATTCTCAGACGGGCACTACTGATACTACTAAAGCGAACAGTCACTATGATCTCTCCCTAGAGGATGAGGTACAAAGCTTAGTAGGTGAAATAAGTGAGAAATATGTCCCACAACCAAGCACCGACGATGTAATCCTTGATGCCCTTGATGGCCTTCGAAGATACAAAGATTCCGTGAGGTGGAAACACTATCACAGAGAACAACAACAGGAAAAAGCAAAACGCTCGGACTACCGAGCGAAGAGAACAAAGAAGAAGAAAAGGAAATCTACAAAGAACAACCGGATGACAACAATGAAGGACTCAAGACAGGTCTTAGACCACAGAAGATCAACATGACGGCCCCAACAGCCTCAGACGAAGTAGAAGTCTTCCTCAAACAACTGGAGAAGATAGTACTACAAATGGCCACCGATTACAAAGGACACCAAACCAATCCTAAATCCAGAGCCATCAAGAAACTACAGAGCAAACTTCAGAAGAATCCAAACAAGGTTGTCATCCCTACAGACAAAACCAACTCATACAAAATGATGGAAATCGAAACATACATACAACAAGTCAAACAACACCTTGCAAAAAATGCCAAAGAGATCTCACACCCAAGGCTAACCGAGGTATCACAAGCAGCACTAGATCTACTAGAACTGAAGCAAGACTGTCTCTCAGACAAAGAATCAGCCCATGCATTCCAACAAATCAGATCATGCGCAATCCCATCACCCAAGCTTATGATCAAAGATCACAAGAAACCCAACAAAGATGGGGTATTCCCAACTAGACTTATTGTACCAGCCAACAACTACACATCAGCATTCCCTAAACTCGGATACCTAGGAATTTTAAAAGAATTCTAGACGACAATAAAATAAACTACATGGACAAAACAATCATGCAAGCCTCCGACCTCAAAGGCCAAGTAGAAAACTAGGAGTCAACACTAGCATCTCAACAATAGTATCGATCGATGCTGAAGCCTACTACCCTTCAGTTCGATTCAAACTAGTGCGCAAAGCAGTCAAATACTTTGCCAGGAACCTTGACGCAGAATGTCAAAGACGACTAGATGACTGCCTAGATATGATCAAATTTGGGATGAACTCTACACTACTAACATTCAAAGACAAATACTATGAATATGATGGCGACATGGATCCAGAAGAGAAAGGACTAACCATTGGTGGATATGAATCCGCATGGCTGTCTGATCTAGTAGGAGCCTACATCCTAGAAAACACCAAAAATCATTTTGAAGAAACATCATACTATGGCCTCTACAGAGACGATGGTTTTGCGATCTTCAAAGGAACTTGGACATATGAAACGATAGTAGAATGGAGAACCAATTTTCAGGCCAAAGTCAACAGCCTAGCCGAAGGAGACTACCTAGTATTCACCTGTAGCATATGGCTAGACCAAACCAAAAGACAACTCCCAAAAATCAATCCGACCCCAAAGTAACCATGGAAAGTGGAAAATCATTCCCGTATCTAGATATGGAACTGTTCTGGTCGAACCAGGAAGAACTTTACTTCCGAGTCCACCTTAAACCGAACCAACAACTGAAATATCTAAACAGGGGAACTACCCACACAAACGCATGCCTCAAAAACATCCCACTAGGTGTGTTCCAAAGACTCGCCAAACTCACTACAGCTACCAACAAGAATGCCAACCAAACCCTCGATGAAATCTACCCACTACACATCGAGGCGCTGAAGAAAGCTGGACTGGTTCCAGACGAGATACCAACACTACAAGAAGAAATACAACGATACTCCCAGCGACAAGCGGACAAAGCAAACGAACCAGATAGAGATGCCAAGCAATGAAAGAGGAACCGGAACCGATCATTATTCTTCTGTATAGGACACTCCAACGCTTGGACGACCCCAATACACAAGGTAATCAACGACCTCAAGAAGAGCCATGGCCTCGAATGGATTAGAACGTCTATGTCCTACCATCGATTCACCAACCTGCGAGAGATGTTCATGGGCGACCTATCAAGGAAGCTCACCAAAGACGTCATCTCCACCGAGTTCCAAAATGAAACTTGCAACTGAAAGCCAGGAAACAAGAAAGACGGCCAATGCCGATTTGACGACCGCTGCAGAAATAAAATGGTCATATACTGCATCAAATGCATTAACTCGGGCAAAGAATACGTTGGGGCAACCCAACGAAACGTCAAAGAACGAACATACCAACACTTCACCGACGTCATGCGTCTCCTCTAAGGAAAACGCAAGTCAGATTCATACGCAAGACACTTCGCCAACGAATTCCAAAACTTCGCATCTCCTTCACTATTCCGACTCAACGGCGACATTCAAAGGAACAGCATCAAAATTAGCATCCTATGGCAAGGCAACCCCATCAGCACTGTCGAGACCTTCGGGACACGACACTGCAGCCTATGCAACAGGGAGCGACTCGAGATACTGAAACGATCCAGAGAATCGGCAGAAAACCTGATCAACTCCTGCAACGAAATATACGGAGCATGCCGACATAAACCTCGATTTCATAAGTACCACAATAGCCCAAGCACTGATGATTCCCAAGGGGGATGAAAAAGTCAAACAACCGAAAAGTTACCACAGAGCAAAGCCTGTGTTTTGGCGATTCGGCAGTTTGTGCTGATCAAGAGTAAAACTACTTAATTCAGTCACTTTTTGCTAAAATCGTATGATTGTGTGGAATAGTGAGAGTTTCGACGCTGGCCATGTTGCTCCGGAGCCGCCGCTTTTGGTGCCGGAGCTACGAGTTTGTCATCGCAATTTCGCCACTCCTGATTTAGGCATGATCGACGCACTCGGTCCATGGGTCTATGCATGGAGTTCTAGTCCCGCGGATATTATCATCTCCGCAGCGGACTTCTAAAGTTGGTCGTCGTTCTGGAGCCTCTGGCTATCAAGTTGGTCGTCATTCTGGAGCCTCTGCCTGTCATAGTCTCTACTAGCTACGACGTACTCCCTCTCTACATGCCAAGCCAGAGATCATTCCGTACTCGAAGACTACCAGTACTGATAGTACCTGCGACTGCTAGTAATTACTGTATCAATTGTGCCACTAATCGACCTGTCGTTTTGTCGTTTTGTTAAAAAGATTCATAAAGAAGCTGGCAAAGTAAATCAAGAAGCCCGTCTGGGAAGCGAGGATAAAGAGTAAACAGTACAGTACTGTAGAAGCTTGACTGTCTCTTTTCCAGGAGCTATTAGGAATTATTGATGTCAAAACGAAGACTTTTCCTTCGGTTTGCTTTCCTCAGAAGCTGTTCGTGCTTGTTCGAAGCTCTCCAACTTCTTACATGGCCAATCAGGATTTATTGTTGGAAGTCAAAAACGGAAACGCTGAGACTTTGAGTCTTGGTGCACAACAGCTGGCAACAGGAACTAAGGTAGCACTTAAAGCCTCATGGCCTCATACGGTACCCATCAATATCTCCCTCAGTACCAGTACCGGTACCGGTACTGGCTCGTGGCGTATCTGATCCTCTCACGTCACTGTAGGCTTCCATTCGGAGGAGTTCTCTGTCGGAAGTCGGAAGTCGGAAGGGGCGAACGCTGCGTGCTGGGACTCTATCCCTGCAAAAGAAAAGGGAAGCTACTGTCGCTATTGACGGTATCACAACCCCACGCACCCCTTGATTTCTGATTGTAGAATGAACCACAACCTGATTGATTTCTGATTGTGGAGATGAACTCGTGCCAAGAAACCAATGAGAAAATGAGCAGCTCCGCTGCTCTGGGTGCTGACAGGATTGGTTGCCGCCCACAGGAGAGAAACGGAGAAGATGGTCTGGTCAGTCTCAAGCAAGATGTCAAACAAGCAACCGAACAGGAGGTGCCGTCCAAGACCAACCAAACCGTGTTACCACCTCCAGGTGATACTGTCGTGGTTACCAGGATGTATCACGGCAGCAGCATCAAGCAAGATGATGATGTCAAACGAGCTAATCAAACGAAAGGCCAGCACTCCGAGGGCATGACAAATCAAACAGAGTCACCACCACCAAGTTCTCCTGCCATTACGACGACTAACCGAAGGAATCAAGGAAGCGATATCTTCAATCCTATTGGCGACATTCAGTCTCTGCCGTCGCCTCCAAGCCTTGCGGTTTGTCCTGCGGAGCGTGGACCCGGTGCCTTCCATGTGAGTGGCTCTTATTTGTCTTCTGCGAATACCAGTAGGCAACTACAACGAGAACCTCTTCCACACATGGAAACTGCTGCTGCCAATGTGGTCATGGATAGCATGAATACCTTGGCAGTGGCCAACTTGGTCATTGAAAAGGATCTGCAGCCAGCCATTCCCGAAGATGTTGTTGCTGCTGCTGCTAGAAAGAGACAAGAAAGTAACAAGAACATCAAGAAGTATGGTTGTCTTGGAGCAATATGCCTCGTTGCCATTCTCGTGGTTGTTGTTACTCTTTCCGTGAGAGGAAACAACCCAATGGATTCCACACTCATGCCAACAATGGCACCAACAAGCCCTCCGTCCCAAGCTCCAACAACTCTTGCGAGCTCTCTGCTGACTTTGCTTCCAGATGAGACTGTTCGTGCCATAGCCGATGATGAAGAATCGTCCCAATCCAAGGCTTGGCAATGGCTCCTCCAAGACTATGAGTTGCTGCCTTACTACAAGAATGCTCGAGTTGTCCAAAAGTTTGCCCTCGCCACATTGTATTATGCAACAGAAGGTTCAAACTGGGCAGTTAAAACCAGCTGGCTCAATCACAGTATTCATGAATGTGACTGGTACAACAGACCTGACTATGCAATGATGAATACACTTTCACATGTGTATCCTGGATATCTTAGGGGTTTCTTTCCATCTACAGAGCCACCACCAAAGACATGTGACGACCAGGGCCTCTATCAGCATCTTTGGCTTGATCAAAACAAGTTGGCAGGTTCCTTGCCAACAGAGATCTACCTACTTTCAACCCTCAAGACACTTTCTCTTGGATACAATCAGGAGATTCGGGGAACCATCTCTAGTCACATTGGACAGCTCAGATCTTTGGAAGGGCTCCATATGACAATGCTACAAGATGCTGGACAGATACCTTCCGAAGTTGGTCTGCTCACCGCATTGAGACACATTGGGCTGAAGGAAAACAACCACCAAGGGCATATTCCAACGGAGCTATGGCTACTTACAAACTTGGAACAACTATTCATGAGTGACAACCCTGGTTTGCATGGTAGCATTCCAGTGGAAATTGAAAACTTTTCCAATCTGGTTTGGCTTGTCTTATGGGATGGTTCTCTCACTGGTATGTAGTTCTCTAGTGTGAAATCTGCATCAATAGTTGCTGCTGCTTTTTGGTGCTGTTCCTGAATCTGACATTCTTCTGTGCATATGGTTCAGGGTCCATCCCCACAGAGATTGGGAAAGCAAGTTCTCTTGAATATATTGTCTTGTATGCAAACAGATTGTCAGGAAGTCTTCCCAGTGAATTGATGCAGCTTCCAAAGCTGCAGTTGCTATCACTGTTCGAAAACTCTTTCCAAAGCACAATCCCTACAGAGCTAGGTCAAATATCTGGTCTGGTTCTGTTTTCAGTTAGGGATAACCAGCTCACTGGTACAGTGCCAAGTGAACTCGGCCTCCTTACCAGACTTGCCTTCACTCTCAACCTACGTAGCAACCAACTCTCAGGAACCATTCCTTCAGAGCTTGGGCTCTTCTCAGGGCTGGCAGAGCTAGAACTCAGAGACAATCATTTCACCGGCCAGATTCCCAGTGAATTTGGTCAGCTGAAGTCCATGGGCCACCTGACGTTTGCAGGAAATGATCTCTCTGGGACCCTGCCGGAAGAGCTTGGAGCTCTACAACAGTCCCTTCATACTTTGAGGATGGAGGACAACCCACAGCTGTATGGTACGATTCCCGCTGGTATTTGCAATCTCAACAATACTTGTGTCTCCAACTCAATTGATGTATGTGAGGGTCCATTTGGTTTGTCTTTTGACTGCTCTGGTGTGCTTTGTGGCTGTGGTTGCATTTGCGATGAGAGATGATTACTGGAGTGAGGGCACCATATGCACCAGGAAGTCATAGAATAGATTTTAGAATTACGTTTGCTACTAGCTAGTTTTGGAGTGTAAAAGAAAATGTGTTTACCAACAATGAGACTCCAAAGTCCGTCCAACTGGCTAGCTAGCGTACCTGGCTATGACAGAATTTCTAAGCTTGGTCTTTCTCCTCGCGATCAGTGCGTCAACGGTACCGTAATGGGAGTCTGGTGGGTGGCTCTGACTCGTTTGATGAGAAGATGAGAAGCATTTTTAAAAAACAAACTTTGTTCCTGAGAATTCTCTGGTTGACCAATCAAGAAGATCTTCCTTGGTCGATTTTGCAGGAACCTCCTTTTGGTACCGGAAAATGGCCTTCGCAGTCGAATGATGGCAGAGGGCGAGCCCACAGATACCCCTGCAGCAACCATAAAGCCCAGAAGTGTGCAAATGAGCTGCGGGAGACATTTTGTGCTCGTTACCGGAGGCTCCAAAAGATCGTTACGTGCTTTGATTTGTACTTAAACGTCGCCGCTGCGTCGCCTCATTCGGATGTTGTGACACTTCAGCGCAAACTCTGAAACGAAACCAGAAAGTCCGGACCAATGCAGTTCCACTTCAACTCTGACTATCCTGGGTTGACAGCAGAAGCTGTGTCCCTTGGGCTGGATGTGGGTGTCGCCGAGGCAAAAGTGTTTGCATCTGATCCCAGAGAGTTCCCACCCGCCCAACCAATCCCCTGTGCTCGGATCACAACTCGGATCTATCGCCCTGATCGCAATGAAGTCAAAACAGTGCAGAATGTACTCGTCAGAATCATGCCAAGACCACAGCAGCCCAGCAACTCTATAGGCGACAACTCATCCATGAGTAGCGATGACTTGTCCGTTTCCTCATCCACCTCATCCACAACCACCATGAGTGACATGTACATGGAAGAGGCAGTTGATGGTGGCCCAATGATGTCTGGACAAAGTCAAACGCCGGTGGATGAAACTCATGAATATCGGGCATACTGGATCCAACGGACACTGAGGGAAGCAATCTATGGCCGTGTTTTGTTTGCAACTGTGTTGAGGCGACGGAGCTCCCACCACACCAATGACAACAATGCAGACTGGGAAGTCACCTCTGAGTTTTGTGCCATCAAGGAAATGTCCCAGCAACTCATTCGAAAGGAAAAGGATAGATTGGCAGAAGATCCAATCAAGGAAGTTTCGGCCATGCAGTACCTAAAGCAATGGCATGAAAGCCACAATGGCAACTCCACAACTGGTGGAATGGAGGCATCCAATCACTCTGTCATGGATACGCATATCATGATGCCACTTGACTTGCTCTCTGATGATATCAATCTGTATAGCATTATGCCATATTGCGATGGAGGAGAGCTGTTTGAACGGTTAGACACCAATGAACGGTTCTCAGAAGATGAAGCACGATACTGGATGCATCAGCTACTGTCGGTAAGTGACTCAATGCTTGAAAGTAACTTGTTGCCAACTAAGGTAGGTGAGATCAGAGTCTGGCATCTCACCATGCCAGCCATTCGTGCTGCTTGCTTACATCCTTCTCCTGTGGCCTACGACAGGGTCTGGAAAGCTTGCAACGTGCTGGGATTTGCCACCGTGACATTAGCCTTGAGAACTTGCTGGTGCATCAGAACAAGGCTCTTGTGATTGACCTAGGCATGTGTCTGCGAGTTCCTCTATCAGACAAGAACAGCTCTCTCACCAATTCGAATGCACATGGTAGTACCTTTGTAATAGATGGCAAGGTACAGTCCCGGTCCTTGCTGCGACCACAGGGCACTTGTGGTAAATGGATCTACATGTCCCCTGAAATCTATTCGAACAAGGAACCCTTTGATGGCTATGCAGTGGACTTGTGGGCAGCTGGAGTCATTCTGTTTCTCATGTTGACTGGCTTTCCTCCTTGGGAATGTGCTTGTACGACCGATTTGAGGTTCAAGTACATGACGGGAGGATACTTGGTGCAAATGCTGACCGAGTGGGAACTTGGTTTGAGCTGTGATGCCATGGATCTGTTGCAACGCATGCTGTTTTTGGATCCCAAGGATCGATTGAGTCTGGATCAAGTTCGGGCACATCCTTGGATGCTGACCGGCTGATATACTTTGATTTAGTTAGGCAATAGTAGCCAGAGAACTTTCACTAGAACGTTAGAACCACGCATTCCAGTGCCTTGTTGGATCTTTGTTGCATAGTACTGTTCCATACACAAGTAAGTTTCTGTGGCACCGATCGACAAGTACTATCGTTCTAGTCCGGTCTATGGCTGCTGCTTCGGGTGGGTTTTCTCTTGTTTCTGAAAGTAAAGGCTTGGCCTCTAGCCTGTGGTTCGGTGCGGGGTTGTCAAGGCTTACAGTACCGGTACCACCCGTGGTCGTCTAACAATCCAAGGTAGACCCTTTGAAACTTCCTCTCACCTTTACGTTTCCTTGCCAAGTACCAGTATACGGCGGGTTGGCCAAGGTCGATCGATCCCTAACCTTACAAGCCATTCAACCGCGCCAAAACGCCACCAACCACAGACACTGGACCCCCACCTCCAACCGCCCCACCAAGCACGACCTTTTCTTTGACCTTGACGAATTCTCTTAGTATTTGTTGTCCCCTGACGAGTAAAACTAGCTAGACTCTCTGGCCAGTAGACAAGATGGACGACGACGAGGACTCCGTGGAGAGCATCCATTCTGAGGATAGTAGTAGTATTTCCGAGGAAGAGGAGGAAAGTGATGATGTGGAGTATTGAAGGCAATGGCTCTGTTGATAACTGAAGGTTAGAAACAATTATGGGAGCCATTGGCTGAGCAGGGGATGTCCTCCAATAGCTGTTATGGCTGTTGGAGGCTCTGCTGGATCTACATCTAAGTATTTGGCTGGAGAGCCAGGTGAGTGCCTAACAGTCTTGGTGTGAAGATCTGAGTCACAGTTGTGGTGTGACTTCAATACACCCTCGCATGACAAGACTGTTGAGGTTAGGTTGTTGGCTTGGTTTGGTTGGGCTGATAGTGGTGCTGTGGGTTCATATAAATAGGTTGGTCGCATCTGTTGATGGTGTTTTGGTGGGTGGTGCTTGGAGGGGTAGTCGGCTAGATTAAGGGGTCCTGGTTGCCAATAGACAGTGTATTGGTTTTGTTTTATGCGGTCTTGGAGCCAATAGAATCTCATGTCTATTGCTTTGGAGCGGCGTCTATGAATTCCAGGTAGGAACTCAGCTGGTAGGTGCACAAGAGCTGGGATGGAGAGCTCTGTTTGGTGGAGATCTCCTTCCACTGGCGCTGGAAGGGCCAGCCACAAGGCTGGCAGCCAATAAATGCTATTCAATACTGTGGAAGCAATGATTGAACAGTCTAATTGTCAATACCCTGGCACTGGCATACAGGATCCTGTCTACTCAGAGCTCTACTTGTGCTGTTGGGTCTGTATCTGGTCAACTACTTCTTCATTACTTCTTTAAACTATAATATGAACACAAACTTCTGATTTTGCGTGAAACTCCATCTCCAGCCATGCAGGATACAGTCCATGCATCTTTTTGGCTGGTATATACCAGCTATCTTTCTAGATAGGTCATGGTGAGGAGCTGCATCATCCTTCCTTGCGAGGAACTCTATGTCCTCTACAGCTGTTCCTATTTGTCTGATGGTGACACAGACTCATTGTACTGAAAGAGTACAGATGCAGCAGCGATCTTTCCACCAGACTGAGCCAGCACAGCTGCGCCGCACCCATAATGGCTCCTATGGCATAATCCATCGCTCCCCACCATTGGAGTCATGGATGGGGTGCCAACAAGCTTGCACATCATGGGGTTCCCTCGATACTTCCATGAACTGGGGCATCGACTGCTCAGTGTGGACTTTGGTCGCATACCTCAGGGGTTACCAACCTCTTGAATACATCAAGGTTCCATTGCTGAGTACCACTTCACATTGGGAGGGGCATCAATGGGCTTGTGATCGAACATCCAGTCGTGTTCAGGGAGAAAGGGTGCATTGGCATTGGTCCATTTTACCGTCAATTGGGATCCATCTGGTCTCCCCATACTTGCCACAGCTCATTGCTTAGGAGGTATCTGTCTATCTCCCATAAGGGCCAGTGAGAACAATCTGAGCCATAACTGTTCATCTGAGCCCTCAACTGGGTAGTTAGTGACGGGTTGTCATCCTATGAGGTGGGACTGGTTGTCCTTTCATCAGATATTGCCTCAGCTAAAGGCAGACACCTCGTAGACGTCTCCTCAAGTTTACCATCTCCTTACATGGGTTCAAAAGAATCCGTCCAGAGACACGACTAACTTGGTGTTGCTTGGGTATGACCGGGCAGGTCCTGTCACATGACAATGGCAGTGGCTCATCCCACAGCCATCAGCTTGGGTGGGTGTTGCTCTAGCCCGACTGCTTCACCTTTGCTGAGGGTACACAGTGTAAGTTCTCCCCATCACCCGAAAGTGAAGGGAGTGCCATCAGGGCGGGAGGGTGGGAGTCACCAAAACATGTTTTCACAAAACATTGTACTTGGAATACTATCCTGAGATGACAAGTTTAGCACAAACACTTGTTCATACTGGGCCATGTCCTGCGGAAGGTAGCCCTATGAGGGTGGCATGCTACCCCGCAGCCATGGCCGGTGCCTGGGTACCTTGGGCTCAACCAGTGCGACACAAACACTAGTTGCCTGGCGAAAATCCGCCTTGGTCCTGCACCTGCCGTGGAGGCTGCAGGCACGTATTGCCATCTGGAGATCTGAGGCTCCCCGACTGCTGGTCAGCTTCGCTCTTTGGATCAACCAGGTCAGACATCCGGGCTTGACGATGGTGTGCTTTCACCAAGACTCTCTTGTCAGCGACGGAGAGCTTGTACCAAAGCTGCCGTCCATTGCTGGATAGCTGAGACCAGACATTGTCGGGAAGGCGTGGGATATTACACTGCTCCCCATCACCCTGATGTCCTGTCTTGCCAATGTCAGCGATGTTGGCTAGACGTGAATCATCGTCTCTTCGGTTGATGTCAAAGAATGTGGCAGCATTCAGTAGCACCTCCTTGTACCCGTCGTATGTAAACGATGCATGATGTCCCTCGCAACATACTCTCTCATGTTCACGTGCAGAATGTCGTTCAAGGTGGGGACACCGTGAAGGCCCGCTGTAAGAACAGCTTTCTGTATACCATCGGTGAGCCTATCACTGGAGTCTCTTGGCCATCATTGTATCGGGGAACAACTGTGTCAAACTTACAATGAAGTCCACTGCGGAACCTTGGTCCTCTGGGCTGTATTGCACACTAGTCAGCCATGTGAGTGTTTCCACATGATCCAGAGAAACTGCTACGACAAGTGAGCTCCGGACAAGCTCAACAGAATGGCAAAGCAGTCAGAGTCATGGAAGTGGGACCTCACGTTACCTTTCCATTGGTGGTCTGCACTGTCTTCTGGAAACAGCGTAGAACCAATGATTCATTCGTATAGTTCATCCATGGACTCGGTGCTGCTTGGGACGTAGTCGCATCAAAGATCTTATAAACCCTTGACCTCTAGCCATAGTGATAAAGGACTCATACCACTGGTCGAAGTCCTTGTTGATTTGAGGGTAGGGTAGCCGTGGCATCCGGCTTGGACGGAAGGGCTTGCCTGGAGGGCGTGTTGCCACCCTCACCCCTCTGGGACTTGGAAGCCACCATTGCCATCAGGGTGGGAATGAAGGCTGACTTCCTTCTTGGCTTTCTCGGTTGATCAGTAGGTTGGCCGAATGGGGATGCTGAGTGTACTGGTGTCTTGGATGATGGGCCTAATGGTATGGTGATAGGCTGCTGAAGACACAGTTGTGTAGTGGGTATCTCAGAATAGGGTGTTGGGGATGCCCTGATGAGGTATTGGTGTTGGTTGGGATATACCTCCCCATTGAGGGCCCATACTTGGTGATGGTATCCACCTCCAGCAGGGGAAGTGGCAACATCCATGGCAACTTTGGGTTGGGATGGATACAAGAGGTCCTCAACATCACCCAACAACTCTGTTCCAAACTGCCTGGTTTTGAATCGGTCCTCCTAGCTTAATCTCGGGCTAGGCTTGTGTGATAACCAGGTGTGCAGGGAGTGGAGTAAGGGTGGATGGGATGAACCAGCTGATTGGTATTGTGGCCTTGTGGTGGGGCCAGGAGCTTGGTTCATTTGTTTCATTTTCTTCAATGCTTTTGCCAGTTGGTGGCTAACATTGAAAGGGTACACCTTGGTTGGCTGGTGGGAAGGAGTCACAATGGGGGCCTGAGGTAGGCTACAGGAGGGTCACAGGTGTCCTTCCATGTATGGACTGGATGTGGAGGTCTGCAGGGTGGACCTGTTGTGTTACCAGTGCTATTGCTAGATGCTGGTGGTGTAACACCAATGGCAGGCTGGGCCTGTTGTTTTGCTTCTTCTTCTTGCGAGCCATGAATGGTTGTTGGTGCGCTGGCTGAAACTTGGTGGTGAAAGTGGTGGTTTCGAACCGGGTAGGTATCGTGGAATTAAGTGTTGTTGTTGTTGGTGGTGTAGTGTGGCTGTAGAGGCACTGCACAAACACAATCACAGAAAATCAAAATGAGACTTGAAGGTGCACGCTAGAGAATGACCAAATAGGGGTGCTCTATCAGCTGGTAACCTCGGATGTCTTCGAAACAGTCAAACGGTGCTCTCGTGTGTGTTGCAAGTTACCCTTGGAGTCGACTCGTAACAGTGGATCGATCCGTATCTTCCACAGAGTTCGGAATATCCACGAAAATGTTGAGGCGATGGACTTAGGCTCGCTTGCTTTCGGAACAGAGGTTCGGTACCGGTTCTGTGAGTACCGTGTGAGTACCGTTCCCTTTACCGAGTACCTTCCGGAGGCACGACTGAGAAAATCAGTACTTCCGTAGGAAAGTCGACAATGATGTACCGTCTATCCGCATCGGCGGTCCGTAACCAAGGCCGATTAACAAAGAAACTGGCTGGCCTATCCTCTCAAGCACCTCAGGTTGGTAGGTGACCGTCTTGGTTTGGTCGCTACCACTCGTCGTCGTTGGTTGGTCGATCGGCAGATTCCGATCGTGATTTTCCTTGTTGATGGACCAGTCGATGCTTTCCACTCGCGCCGATCTCGAAAGGTAGGCCGACTGGTATGAAGACAGCCGGTGTATCTTGTAGAGCCCTTTGGTTAGTAGGTGGACCACTGGACACCTTGTTAATCGGTCGCGATTCCAGTTTTCGGTCGTCGATCTGGTGTCAGCCGTGTCGGTAGGTCAGCAACTCCCCCTCTCTTTGTCCTCGACGATTTCCACACCTAATAGCCACTCTTGTGTGCTTGCGACTAGTTAATCCTATGAATTCCAGGTAGGAACTCAGCTGGTAGGTGCACAGAGCTGGGATGGAGAGCTCTGTTTGGTGGAGATCTCCTTCCACTGGCGCTGGAAGGGCCAGCCACAAGGCTGGCAGCCAATGCTATTCAATCACTGTGGAAGCAATGATTGAACAGTCTAATTGCTCAATACCCTGCACTGGCATACAGGATCCTGTCTACTGCAGAGCTCTACTTGTGCTGTTGGGTCTGTATCTGTCAACTACTTCTTCATTACTTCTTTAAACTATAATATGAACACAAACTCTGATTTTGCGTGAAACTCCATCCTCCAGCCATGCAGGATACAGATCCTGCATCTCTTTTGGCTGGTATTATACCAGGCTATCTTTCTAGATAGGTCATGGCTAGGAGCTGCATCATCCTTCCTTGCAGAGGAACTCTATGTCCTCTACAGCTGTTCCTATCTTGTCTGATGGTGACACAGCTCATTGTACTGAAAGAGTGTACAGATGCAGCAGCGATTTTCCACCAGACTGAGCCAGCACAGCTGCGCCGCACCATAATATGGCTCTATGCATAATCTCATCGTTGATAGATTTCCCTGAGATATACCACTCAGAAATCCCCGACCAACATGAGAAAAGATTGCAATGCCCGGGAATCGAACCCAGGCCTCACATTGAGCTCAACCGACTTAACCATTCACTGCTTACAATTCCATGTTGGATTTTAGCATTAGTAATGCCGTCTTTCAGCCAGAGAGTGACTGCTCAATTCATCACTCCCCAGACGTCACGAATCTGGCTCGTAGTAGGAACTATTGATCTCCCCATGAGTTGCCCCGCAAGCACAACCACATGACATCAGAACACCTGCAATGCCAGCATTCCTCGCAAGGCAATGCGTCAATCTCATCACATACTACTTACCAAATTACCGGCCCGTTCATTCTGACGGTATTGCACCATGATCAGATTTCCCTGAGATATACCACTCAGAAATCCCCGACCAACATGAGAAAAGATTGCAATGCCCGGGAATCGAACCCAGGGCCTCACATTGAGCTCAACCGACTTAACCATTCACTACAATTCCCATGTTGGATTTTTAGCATTAGTAATGCCGTCTGTTTCAGCCAGAGAGTGACTGCTCAATTCATCAGGCGTTGCTTGACTGTGTCATTGAGGATACCTTCTGCCACTTTGTTGTCGATGCGCATCGGAGTGGGTGGTTGTTTGTGTCCGAGGAATTCTAGTGTGGCTCGTAGGGGACAGCCTTCTTGTCCACATTCGAAGGCTGCTCCAGTTTCAGCTTCTGCTGCTGACGCGACTACCATTCGCATGATGGGGCAGATGACTAGGATTGGTCCATTGTGCTTGGGTTGTTGTGGTGGCATGCTGTTGTCACTGCAGTAGAAGTAACCGGCTGCGCGTGATCTAGCTTTGGATTCACTGAGGTAGGATGCGTCACTGTCGATGCGTAGGACCATGTCACTTTTGGAGTATCGAATGGTTGCATTTGGATGTGTAGCTGCGTAGTTGAGGAGTTTGTTGCATGCTTGCAGCGTGTCTTCAGTGGGTGTGGCTTGATGGGTTGCGATAGATCCAAGTGCTGTGAGCATGGTGTTGTCTACTGCACGGGCATAAAAGAGGAGAACTCCGAGTATTTGCTGGACACGTTGTTTGTTAGCTTTAGTGAGTGCGGGGGAGTGTTGTGGTTCGCCTGTCATTTGAATGCCATAGTGTAGGGGTTGTGTGACATGCGGCGAGTGTTCCGGTTTGGACGGTGCTGGATGGTTGAATCGCTTTAAGGCTTTGTCGATGTAGCCGGGCATGGAGAGGTCACATGTTCGATTGTGGTAGTCCCATTTGAGGTGTATGCCACTGTAAAGAGCCCCAGACCAGTCTGTGGTGATGGTGTATTGTTGTTTGAGTACATGTTCGAGGTGTTTAGCGTGTTCGTCTCCGACATACATGACACCGAAGTCATCTACGATGAGTACGAAGGTAATTGGTCGTGTCTCATGTTTAAAAAGGGCTGGTGTTCGCTTGGATTGGTGGTATCCGTGCCTCGCGAGGAAAGGGACCAGTCGATCATTGGCTACTCTTCCTGCTTGGGGGAGGCCGTACATGCCGCCATCGATGGCGACGTAGACAAAGCCTCGGTCGTCGATGAGGTTGAGTTCTCGGAGTTTGTATTGTTGGATAATTTCGTCCGGGATGACTGATGTGTGGATTTGCATGTATTCGGTGCGAGGGAGTTTATTGGCAAGGTAATAGTCTTTAATGTCCATTGTCATGAACTTCGCTTTAGGTGTGCTTAGGACGCTGTTGAGGAGAAGCTTGGTTGTGGTGAGGTCGGCAGTTTTGGTGGTCGTTTCGAAAGGATAGTCGATTTTGTCGCCACCGACCGTGTGGCGGACTCGGTATGGGTCAGCTTTCTGTGGGCGGTACGCAACGACTATGCGCATGTATGTTGGTTTGCGTCCTTGTGGTATGTCGTGTTTGGGGATGAATTTCATTGTGTTGGTGCCTTCGACGTCTTTCCATCCATTGAGGAGTCGACCGAACTCTTTGCAGTTTCCTTGCCGCCATAAGTGGCCTTCAGAGCTTTTGGCTAGGTCGCGGTATTCTGCGAGTTGGCCAGTGTCGGGATGGAAGGCTTTGTTGGCTTGGTGAGGTTGTGCGCGGATGTTGTCGATGATCCATTGGACGGTGTGGTTGTCGAGTTGTGGAGAGGTAATGGAGCTAGCGTGGACGGCGACGTGTGTGGGTGCTAATGGCACCCTCGGTTCTTTTGATTTGGTGGGTTGTAGGTAGTCGAGCAGGTTGGGTAAATGGTGCCGACTTAGGAGTGGTGGTGGTTGTGTAGGATGGGTTGGTGCCGCTGTGATTATTGTGTTGAGATCAGTGAGTGCTGCTAGGAGTTGTTCTTCGTGAGTAGGTTGTGGGATGTAGAGATGGTCTGGAGGGAACCATTCAAGTGTGTCAGAGTTGTGTGTGTGTTGTGTTTCCCAAATGTATACTTTGTAGCAGCGATAATGGTTCATTGCGGGGCCTATGTACCAGGCATCTTTGCCTTTAGGTGCCCATGTTGTCCGTTGATTAGGTTTTTCGTGACACAGGACGCGGATGCCAAGTGGAGCGATTGGTGTGGCATTGAAGTCGTATCGGCCATAAATGGCTTCATAGGCAGAGAGCTTTGGGTTGCGTCGACTGGTTCGGAGGAGATTGAGAGTGAGTTCGGCTTGCGGGAGCAGCTCATTCCAGAGGTTAAGTGGAAAGTCTGGGTCTGTAGTGGCAAGGATCGCGGTGAAGTGGTCCTTGAATGTGCGTATGGCTCGTTCAGCGGCATTGCGACGATGTATTCCTGGCGGTACTAGTTGGTGCTTGGTGTTGTTGGTGTGGATTGCTTCATGGCAGTGGAGCATTCATTGTCAAGGGTGTGGAGTTGGGGTTTGTGGCCGCTCAGTACGAGGAGATCATGGACGTCCTTGTAGGCATTGAGAAGCGAGTGGGCTGTGCGGGTTGTGGTTGGGCGAACGTGGATGCTGTTGCTATCGTAATCGTACAGGAGGAAGATGTAGTGGTGGCCTCGGTGGGAGGGGACGGGAAAGCGTCCGGTTTGGTCGCTGTATGTTTTGCCCTCTTGTACGTCCCAGATTGCTGCGAAGCACAGGTGTGTCGGCTGTTGGTTGTCGTCTGTGGTGTTGTCTGGTTGGACGGGGAGTTGCAGGAATGGGTTGGTGGGTTCAGTTTTGGTGGAGCGTTGATTCTGGCGACTTTGGCTGAGATGCCCTTTTGCGGTGGCGACAGTATGTGGTGGCCAGCGTCGGAGTGTGTCAGCGGTGAGCCCAGGGAAGCCGTGGACATGATTGCGTTGGAGTGCTTGCAGTAATGTGGGTAGAGAGGGGGATTCAAGTGCTGCATGGGCGAATCGTACCAGTTGTGCTCCGGTGGGTTTGTTGATTGCGTTTGCTGAGTGTTCTGGGAAGTTGACATGCCAGAGGTGGTCTCCATGGGGATTGCGCCTGCCGTGGAGGATGGTCGTGCCATGGTTATTGTTAATTTGCATGTCGGTTTTGGAGAAATGGGCGGTGCAGTCTTGATCGCAGAGTTGGCCTACGGAGACTAAGTTATGTTGGAAGTTGTCGAACAGTTTGATTTGGTTGTCATTGGGTTGCAGCGTCGGTATGGGTAGTGTTGCTACGTGGGAGTTTGTTTCTGTGTCGGCGTTTGGCATTGCTACTGCTATGGGGTGACTGTCAGGTTGGATATTGCTATGTCGCGGATCATGGCGATTGCCATAGTGCTGATCAGTGCCGGTGTCGGCTATGTTTTTTATCATTGTAGAGAGGGGACCGGTGTGTGTAATGTCATTGTTACTGTTTTGGCTACTACTAGTGTTGCTACGTTTAGGTGTCACCGGCTCCTCTCTGGTTCAGGTTTGCGTGCTTGTGAGAGAGCTAACGTCCGAGTGTGCTGTGGTGGAGGTGCTGTCAGTGCGTGTTTGACTGGTGGCACGCTCGGAGTGGTTGCTGCTGCCGCCACTGCGTTGTTGCCTGTTGTTTGGTATATACTTCACAATGGCGGCTTCTCCGGGTTTGCGTTTGATTTGGCATCGGCCTCCAAGCATGTTGTTGAGGGTGGCTTTTGTGTTGTGCTCTGGGTGGCGGTTGCGGCATGTGTTGCTGTTGTGAGTGAGGTCCCATTGGAGGCCGTGTGAGAAGCAATAGGACATAGCTTCTCCGTCTGCAAGTGTGATAATGAATGGGTTTCCTTTGTTGTTGCTGGTCGCGGCGTTGGCTTGGTGCTGGTCATGGTAGCCAGCTTGCTTGGTGGTGACGGATCGAAGTCTTTCGGTGTTGGCTGCTTTGAAGAATGTCTGGAAGTTGTTCCACGTGTGTTCAGCTGTGGGCTTTGCACGCCAGTCTTTGAGGGCGACTTGAAAAACGCCGCTGTTTTCCAAGTTTTTGAGTCCTGCTCGGAGGGCTGCACGGTCAGTAATTTCGTCGTGGCCTCGGGCGAATGCTTGTGCGTCGTTGATTTGGTTGAAGAGTTTTTCAATGGGTACGTTGACTGACCATTGTTCGTTCATGCGGTCGATGTTTTTGTCCAGGTCGTCATTGGTGAGTTGGCCGTAGGACTCAAGGAGGTGTTGGATGAGGTCCATGTAGTGGAGCATTGAATATCCTTCATCGGGGTCTTCGAGTGCTTTGTAGTAGACTTCGTCGATGGCTTTCATGGTAAGTTTGAGAAGCGCTCTTTCTGTGGATTGGAAAATTTGAAACTCTTGGAGGTCATAGCTGTGTTCAGATACAGCTTGTTGGATTTGTGCTGCGGTGGCTCCTCCAGGAATGTTTGGTCTAGCACCTGGATGGACGGGGTCTATCCATGGTGTGCCTGCAAGGTGAGCTCGAGCATTGTAGGTGGCGAGAGGGAAGCAGAGTCGGAGGTGGCCTTCGTCTCCTGCGCCTCGTGCGCTGTGGATGTTGCGTGCGTTGTCTTTGTTTTCTTTGATGAGTTTTTTGAGTGTCTCGCGGTTGGGGCGAGCTTTGATTGTGGTGAGAGTGGGATGAATGAAGTCAGTAGTGGGATCGTAGGATCGGATGCTCATGGTTGAGGCCTGTTTGTTGGGATTGTGGGTGATGTAGATCGAAGCGATGTGCGTGGTGTGTGGGTTTTTGTCGGATTGTTTCTAACTATTGAAGGCAATGGCTCTGTTGATAACTGAAGGTTAGAAACAATTATGGGAGCCATTGGCTGAGCAGGGGATGTCCTCCAATAGCTGTTATGGCTGTTGGAGGCTCTGCTGGATCTACATCTAAGTATTTGGCTGGAGAGCCAGGTGAGTGCCTAACAGTCTTGGTGTGAAGATCTGAGTCACAGTTGTGGTGTGACTTCAATATGGAGTTTTATTATGGTTCTGACGATCATGAGGCGATGGACGAGGATGTGATTTTGGGGGAGGATGTGAGTGTCGATTTGAGTCAAGTCCGACACGTGACAGTCTTTTGCGATGAATGCGGTGCCAATCCCATTGTGGGCATTCGTTACAAGTCTACGAGGCAAAACAACTATGACATTTGCCAAGAATGTTTGGACGAGAATCACAATGGGAATCGACAAGGGTTTGTGGCGATTGAAGAAGAAGTGGATGATGAAGATGAAGCAGTTCGTTTGGCTGGATTGGATGGGACAGCTCTGGAGCGCAACAGTTTGGTCTGTTCCGGGATTGATCAATTGGTGGAATCTCCATTACTACAGAACCCAAACTCGCAGATTGATGACATTACTCTCATCCTCGAAGGTCGCCATTATAGACACCAACAAGCAGAACCTGATTCCACAGTGAGAGACACCACCATTCGGTTACTCTCACAGCACCGAACCCTCAAAGAAATGGAAATTCAAATTGTGAGTTATCCGCAGAGTCTCACACACAGCATCGTCGCAGTTACCAGAGGTCTCGCCAACAATACATCTGTCAAGTCTATGGCCTGGACCATCGAATGCAGCGGTAGGGACATGACAGAGGAAGCTTGTCAAGCCATCCAACACCTCATGACGCACAATACCACCATTCAATTCATGTTCTTTTTTCAAGACACGGGATGGCCAGGACGACTTGCCACTGCCTTTTTACGACTCCAAAGCTGTGTTTTTGGCGCTCTCTTGAACACACACATTGATACAGTGCGCTTCCAAGGATTTCTTGCCGTCAACCGTGACAACCAGAAAAAGGCATGGGCGGCCATGAAGGAAAATCCCAGACTCAAACGAATCAAAACCACTTTTGAACAAGAAGATTACATGTTGGAGCTTCTGAGGCGTGACAAAAAGTACCAATGGATGACACAATGGTTGCAAGCGGACGAACATCAGTGCTGGGCCATCCTGGAAGGTGCTGCTTCCATGGGTAGTGGAATAGATCCAGTCTTTGTCATTTACCACCTATTGCGGAGTCGGCCACAAGTTATAATGTAGTACCGGTATGACTATTAATAGACTATAGAAATATTCAACTTTCCTCCTGTTTCCGTGCTGTACCACCAAAAACCGCCACAACATGATACTGGCTGAGCACCGTTTGATATGCCGGTTCGGTTGGCAACTCGCTGGCTAGCTAGCTAGCTCTACCGGTGGCCTTTGGTCGAAGAGATCTCTCTAACTAAACCAGTTCGTCCTGTTGACTCGACTCTTAATGGAACTCCGTTGCGCCGGTACCAAAAGTTCACGTACGTACCACAAGCAATGCTGCCTATCCGGAATCCAATCCAATCCAATCCAATCCAATCCAATGATTTCCATTCCCCTAGCTAGCTAGCAGCTGCAAAACTCTCATTGACTTCAGATCAAGATATCAGCAACAGCAACAGATGAAGTTCCCATGGTACAGACACACGCAAAACAAGGCTGCGTCGCTGGGTCTCGATGATTCGAGTCGGCGCATCGAGGATTAACCGTGACAGTCACTATACTAGCTGGTAGGTACGATTTCAAATGCTAAAATTGCAGTTCATAGGATGGCCGGGCCTGAAGACCCTTTCGTCTCGCTCTGTTCGACGCCGTTTGGTACACTGCAATATTGGATATACTAATAACGCGCTCGTCCTGCCCTGCTGCACTCCACCCCTGGCATCCACTCTCACCCATAGATACCGTAGTCCACTCTCTAAACCATACGGTAGTAAGTAATAACCTCTTTGTTGATTGCCAACAAGTAAGTTAGCACAAGTAAGTGTTACGATGCCACCTGACAACTTCCACGGTGCGTTATTTCTAGCCTTACCGTACTGTGGTTTGATTGGTTTGATGTGCCAGGATCCAAGATCTTCCACGTTCAGTCCTCAATTTCGTTCCGTTGATGCCTTCTATCCTCTCATTGTTTGTTGCTGCCGTACTGTATTGTCAGAGCACGACCCAGCCATATATACTGACATAAGATGTCTGTCAGTACTACTACTAGCAGTAACGACGCCATGGCGATTGGCAGTGATGGTGATGGGAGTGTGTTGAGCTGGAATGGATCCGATGGCGATGGAGAAGAGGATGACAGCGTCATGATGCCGGATGACGATCGTAGTAGTAGTAGTGATGAACAAGACGAAGATGAAGCCACTCCCACGCGCCACAACAATGTCTGGTGCGACGAATGCGGCGCCAATCCCATTGTGGGCATTCGCTATAAGTCCACACAACAAAACAATTATGACATTTGTCAAGAATGTTTGGACGAAAATCATGCGTCTGCCGCTGCCGATGCCTTTGTCGCTTTTGGCACTCCTGTGATGGACGAAGACCAAGCCGAAGGCGAAGTAACACAGGGTGGTATTGGGCTCAGTTTTCATTCCTTGCAACAATTGAGTACCAGTCCGCAACTCATCGATGCTAATTCTGCCGTCGACGATGTGACGCTCTATTTGCATTCTTTTGATGACCATCATGCCGCGGCGTCGTCGTCGTCGAGTCAAGATGAGTGTCGACACGCCGTCCAACGCGTATTGGCAGCGCATGTGCGTCTCAAGGAAATGGACATTCAAGTCTTTGGCGCCAGTCCGGCATTGACGGGCAGTATCGTGGCACTCGCGCGAGGGTTGCAGCAGAATACATCCGTCTTGTCCATTTCGTGGACGCTCTATTGGTCTCCCCGTCGTGGATTGGATGGTGAGGCGGTACAGGCATTGGCCGATTTGATGAAGTACAACACTACGGCACGATTTTTGTTTGTCCGACGAGAATCGGCCGGATGGGACAATACTGCTACGAAAATGCCACACGACAATTTAGAAGAAGCACTCTTTGACAGTCTTCTCTATACCAGTGTTGATACATTTCGATTCAATTGTCACATTCCCGTCAAGGATAGCAATAAAAAGAAGGCATGGCATGCCATGAAGGAAAATCCAAGATTACGACGGATCAAGGCCACTTTTGAAAATCATGATTATCAACTCGAATTATTGCGCAAGGACAAAAAGTATCAATGGTCTCAAAAGTGGCTCGGTACAGACAACAACAGCAGCCAGCCACAGAAAGATTGTTGGAATGTACTCCAAGAGGCAGTGGCGCTGTGTGACGACGACATGGATCCTGTCTTTGTCATTTATCACTTTCTGCGGGACAGACCCGAGTTGGTGGTCTAACTAACACAAAGTAATACAGAAAGTAATACAGAAATACAAGGCAAGCAAGCACACCATGGCATGGATGGATGGAAAAACGGCATGGACGCTGTGCCATTGATCCCACGTCGGAGCTCGGTTTGTACCGTATGGATTTACTAGTAGAAAGATATCTACCCTGGAACAAACGACGACACGCGCCCTTTTTAGAAACTTTGGCCATTACGATTGCTTCATTCTCTCGTTTCTGCCGTACAGTCGTACGGTAGGTACCTACCTGCCTACTCCTTGTGCGTACATGTAGTCTAGCTAGTGTGTTCTTGTTTCCTTGCTTCTTCCATCGATTCAGAATCAGTCGTGTTCCAAGCATCCTCGGTCCCGTTCCAAGCATCCTCGGTCCCGTTCCAAGCATCCTCGGTCCCGTTCCAATGCAGTCGTGTACCGAAAATGACCTGTGACCGGTAGCTACTAGAAAGATACCGTATCATTCGAGCGGTTCAAATTCAGTTAGTTGCAACGATTCGATTGATTCGATTTGAAAGTACGGTACGGGCAAACAACTGCCTACAACTAGCTCGGCCTGTGGCAGGACCGGATTGACGTCGTTATTTCCACAGACATTCAATGTATGCTTGCATCAACCACGGAAGGAAGGCATGTTATTAGCGGAAAACTTCTTGGCAACAAGAAGGCTGCCAACAATCAGAGCAGCCGTGGTTGTGCATCCAACAACAACAAGAACAGAAGAGGTTTTTGCCAGCAACCACTCTATAGCTATGCTCGGCACCACCACGGCCAGCCACAATACAAGAGCCACAAATTGAAGCTCGAGATGGAGACTATCCACCCAATGGAATGCCTGCATGGCCATTCCAATCCAATAAGGATACCCCTTGGCATCATAGGAATGGCAAATGGGACCTTTGGTAGCTCTTGGAAGCCATGTGTTGGTACAGACCATACGAAAGGGCGACAGAGAGTAATGGATAAAGTCATGCTGAGACACCAGTGGAAGGACCCAACCTCCTTTCATGGTGATTTGAGAGTCAGCAGCATCTCTGGGATGAGGCCCTTGCAATGATACATAGCAAGAAGCCAAAACTCCATTCACTACAAAGACACCACTTGCTGTCAGTGGAGCATACAAACCCATCTTCTCAATGCTTGTGAGGGACTCCACAACCAGGCCTTGCTCCGCACCAGTAGCATTCATTGATGGAGCCACACCCTGCAAGACATCTCCAACTTGAACTGAAGCTGCTCTGATGGGATTCTTGCTGCCTTGGATATACACAAAATGCTCACTCGAAACTTCAAGAGGAGACTCATCAGAGCTTGATTGAATCTTGAGGAACTTGTTGATGGCATGGGGGTTCCAGTGTCCAAAGGCATACACAGGCTCAAACTGATTTGTTCTTGACAAGACTTTGTCACCGACTCGCAGATCTGACATTGAAACAGTAGCTATATCTCCTTCATTTATCTCATCTGAATTCACAACGCTATCCGCTGCCAAGACGTCCACTGTAGCATCAGCCGAGAAACACTCTGATTCTAAGCTAGTGCCTTTGGCAGCATCTGTTGGCGGTGCATTGGCAGGAGCCGGACCGGGTGCAACTCCAATATCTGGAAGTTGTTGTCCAGGGCTTGGGTTGTCATTGCCCTTGCCGCTGGGCGAGGGGACGCTTCCGTTTCCATCACAGCCTGAATCGTCAGGGCCTTCAGCGAAATCATCCGGGGCGTCGGGGCTTGATCCCCCGCCGTCACCCCCGTCTGTAAAATCGCCAACGCCGCTGCTTCCAACTGCCAATCCCCGCAGCCTGGAACGTCTCTTCCTCGTCAAATTCCCACCCTCCTGACCGCACGAAGCTGAACTAGAGGTGACAGGGCTAACCCACCCAAACAGCAACAAAAGGAGAATTGCTCTTGACATCATGGTGCTCTTAAACTCCCTCTTGCGTGGTTCTTCGCTCTGAGTATGGTTGGGTGGTACCGGTACTGGTATGGGGGGTGTTGATCACTGGCTCAAAAGTGGCAACCTTCCCAAAATAAGCTCTGCGCCTATCTGTGGAGACGAACCGCTTGGTGATCCCGGGGACCGCCAAGACTTAGTGTTTTTGCCTATCAACGACAGGAATGATTTTACTTAAACATGGTACATCACTGGCTCATTCAGAAGATTTAGCATTCACGCGATCTCTCTATATGCTTCTCTAAGTACTAGTATCTTCTCCAACTGGCGCGTCTTTGGAATTTGCACCTACTCACTTTGAAACATGGTTACATACTGTTGGTACCGGTAGTCAGTCGCCGTATCGCGGTGCTGCCCAAGCTACGTCTACCGGTACTTCCAGCTTCCATACCATAGCTTCCAAAAAACGGTACATCGGTTCTACAGTAGCATGGTGAGGTTAGGATGCAGAAAAGGGCGACTGCGGGGGAGCCTGGGAGTTGATCGTTGTGCAGGTGGCGGTCTGGTTGTGCCGAGGGGACTCGTCACTCAAATCTAAGCATGGAACATAATCCCTTCGGGGAAAGTGTAATTCCTAAGTTAATGCACTGGTTGTGCCGACGGGAGCAATGCAACTTGATCAATCGACCCGTTCGAGACAGAGGATGCTTCAACTCAACTCTGATATTCTCCCGTATCTCCGCAACCGAACCGGAATCATCTTGCGACAGTCAAGCCAGGTGGGTTGGTGTCCTCGTTCGAGGTCACATCAGTCTTGCAGCGGAAGAAGGCTGCTCTCATCTATCTCATCTTCTACCCGCTCTCGATCCCATACGGTATCATTCTTCTATTCGCTGGCTGCTCTATACCGCGCGATGTACGAATCGGGCAAGTCATGAGTTGTTGTGTTGGCTCTGTCAAATGAATGTCCCTGCGTTATGTGTTTATTACTCTCGCTCAAGTCGTACATGAGATCATGAGATCATATACGTTTGCTCTTGCTCGTAAGTTCAACGATTGCTTTCTTTATCCTCTGTCATGCTTTTGCCGTTCTTCAAGATCCCGCGGCCGACGTACTCGCCGCTGAAGGCAAGTTCGACCTGTTGTCCGAATACACGCCACAAAGTGGGTCTTTGCTTTTCAGAGTCAACGATGTGTCGTCGGCGGGTGTGAGGGGGGCAGACACGTGTAGAAGACTGTCCTCGCACTCCTCGCTGGCTGAATGAAACGTGGCATGTTTCTATTGCACTCTTCCCAAGTTTCACCTTTCTCTTGGTTAGATCCAGGTTCAGCGATTTTATCCGTTTGGACATCCCTTCCCGTTGTCGTGGTTGTGGTTTTGGGGTATCCAACCAAGTCTCAACAAGGTGAGATCAAAAGGGTTTGAAGCCTGGTCGTGTATTCAATAGCTGAGCGATGGTGATGCTGCGACTTCTCACTCCCCTTGGCTCCCTCGCAGGTCGTCTTGTTGAATCTTCTGTGATGCACTCTCCCAGGTGCCCTAAAAGGGATTCTACTATTTTAAAATACGAACTACTAGCTAGTACGACTACAACTACTATAAAGAATAAAGCCATGATTTTGTTTTTAAATGGAATCTCTACTATGCGTTATTGTTCTATGATTATGTTTAGTTGTATTTAAGATTGTAGCATCAACAATGAAAGAAGTTGGTTGTCGGGAGTCACGGGTATTAACTTTGGACTTTCGTCGCGTGGAGGACGTTCGGACAAGCACTCTGCAATAGAGGCTGCCTAGCACAGGAACCACAAACCTGGCTACCTTTGATGTGACCCTTCAATTGAACCAACTGTATTCATCTCCGCAAAATTGTTGTATAGCCCTGCACCCCACCAGATGCTTGCTCGTTGTGTATTGTATTGTGTTAGTCCCGCAATGTGGCGTCGTCGCCCGCACTTACCTGTTGTCCTAGACTGGAATGTACCGGTCAGGCTGTCTGACTTGCCGTCCAGAAAGAGTTGTTGTCTGAACTGTTGTTTGCTGCTGTGTGTCCGTCACAGGTTGTGTCGTCTTCTTCTTGCCCTTCGCCTTTGGCTTTGTCGACTTTTTCTTGGTGGCCACCGCCCGTCTACGTTTAATTCTAGGTTTTTCAACTGCCACCCGCCGTGGCTTCGTCTTCATTTGTTCTGCAATTCTCTGAGATGCAATCGCCGCCATGCGTCTCTTTGATCGTCGCAAAGTTGATTGTACTGTGTCCACCTTTTCCTCCTCGTCGACTCGGTTGTCGACCAGCGGCGGTTCTTCAGCATCAACTTGTTGTTGTTCTTCGACCAGTAGTGGTTCCTCATCAGCCAAAACTTCCACCACTTGGTCAGTCGCGAATTCGAAATCCGTATCTTCCGAGGCTACACCAGCCTCCAATCGTAGTGTCTTGTGCCGCCGCATCATTTCCTTGACAAGGTCTCCACCATCCTTCATCAAGGCTGCGAGAATGTCGTTGGGTACCACTCCAAGTAGCACACCATTCATCATTCGCATCTCCAATACAAATGGCTGTTGTCCATGCACACTGATCTTGAAGTGTGCCACATGCCACTCTTCAACGTATGGAACCACTGCTGTGCATGTGGGAACCACCGCTGCTTCGCATGGGATTGTGGCATCGGATGCCATCTTCTTGTCGTCGACGGTCGAGACTGTTTCTATTGTCTCGACGTCTTTATTTGTTGTTGGTTGTTGTTCTAATTCTACGGGTGCTAAATCTTCCATGCAGACGTCCTTGACCTTGCGATAGACAAATCGTCGATTGGCAATCTGTTCTCGCGTATTCAAGGTGCAAATTTCGTCGTCAGCGTTGCGCTGAATTCCTCCGTGGTGTAAGTGGCACATGGCGAGTTCGAACATGTAAGTGTTCTTTTTGTTGACCATGAACCAGTGCGCGACTTGCTTGTCGTTTCCTTTCTTCGCCTGGATGAAACGAACAAGTCCCTCAAGGTCTTGATGCACGGCATCAATTTGAATGTACTGTTTGGCTTGTCGTAGGTACGCTTTGTCACTTTGGAACCATTTGTTGTTGGTGATCCATTTGGCCACTTGTTGGTATCCGTACTCTTGAATCAACTGCACGAGATCCAAGACGCGTTCGTGGGGTGTTTGTGTGCCAACGGAAATGAATTGTTGTTGGGCTTCTTGCCAGAATTCGTATTGGGCCTTTGGCACATGTTTCTTCATGTCTCGATAGACACGACGGTTCTCAGCTTGTTCGCTCTCGACAGAAGAGTACCGCACTACAGTGTTGACGGGAGCAAAGGATAAACGGTTTCCATTGCTCCGTTCGGTGTCTTGACCGTAATGGGTCTTCCAGCGAGCGTTGGCTGATTGACTGGGTTGGATACGACAACCTTTGGGCTGGTGCTGGTTGTTGTCGTATCCGTAGTGACCATGCTGATCCGCAGGAACCAGGGAAAGGTCGTAGGCACCTAGGTAGCGACCGTGCTGCTGGAATTCCACATCAGGATGCATTCCGTGCAACAGTGCCGCGGTTTGGACGACATCTTTGTCCAACCCATCCAGTTGGAATGTTGGGACTTCCTCTGCCGCAGGAACGTCCTTGTCGTTGTTGTTGTTGCCCGTCATCTCCTTGGAGACCTGGAGAACGGGGGTCTTCTTGGTGCTGCTGTTGTTGTTGTCGGTGGTCATGGACCACGAGAGCAGCTTGATGATAGAAGAAGAGAACTTCATTTTGCAATTGATAGGTATTGAATAGAAGATTGGTAGGAAAGGTAAAAGTAGACTTGAATAAGGTCTGGGGGGGTTGATCTGGCCTTGGCTTATCAACAATCGCGAAAGTCTTCCTTGTTCGGTTGGGTATGCAACTCTAGCAATCCGGTTGAACAAAAAAGTGAGCTCATCATGGTGACCTCCAAATTGGGATGACAGATTCTGCCAGATGTTTGGGATGACGGATTCTGCCAGATGAAAAACGATGGCGCGCGACGAGAAGAGACTGAACCAATGATGAGCATTGATTTCATGCTCTGTACTACCCAACTACACCCAACAAGACCCTTGCTGGGCCTTACAGAGTCCCTTTGAGTCCCCTTGATGCTTTCTTGGTTGTTGTTTGCATTGATGGTGCTCTTGATGGTGTGCTCTTCGATGCTCTGTGCTCTTTTTCACTGACGTTTTGATGACGAATTTCGAAGTTGAAAATTTGACAGAGCATAACCACGACTGAAAGCTTTTTAATGCTTCCTCATTATTACGCACGACTGGATGATACTTCTTCAAGGATATGTCACCACTGGTTAAGAGGCGATATGGCACTTAGAGCGAGACTTGCCGGGCGAGCCGAAGACGGTTCCGGAATGACTTCTTTCCTTCACTCGATATCTCGATATCCAATCCCTATTTGTTTGGCTATCCCTCTGGCTTCCTTCCTACATGTACTAGTACCTGGTATTAATACCGCTACTGGTAGAGCCTGCCACCTTTGTGGCCCCGAATCGCACCCCCTTCCCCAGCTCCACTTGCAAGCATTTCCAATACAGTACCTGGTAGCAAGCAACAACCTATTATGTTCTACGATTTGAATTAGAGATACTCTGTGTTGCTATCTCAGAAGGCGGCGGTTTCAACTGCGCCAAGCAAGCAGCACAAAGAGAACTGCTTGCCAACAACAACCTTTGCTTTTCTGCTGCCCTTGGTCCGGAATCACACGCAGAAATAGAGAGCCACATATGTTTCCCAGCTACATGCACCTTTCACATGCACCTTTCACAGAGCCTTCACGCGGTCAACGTTATCTTCAATCTTCTGCATGGCAAACTCAAACATAGCATTTAGCTCGCTCTTTGCCACGGTAAAGGCCAAAGACGGGACTTTGGGACAGACAGCGATTTTCTGATCATTGCCTCGACCTATCCCCTTCAATACTAGACCACGCTTGCTCAGAGGTTCTTTTGTCTGCTCCACAAAGCTGTCGTAGATGGTTGTCTCGAACGGGTGGTTTTGAAGCCTTGGCAAGTAAAAGACCCAAGTGTAGGGCCTCTGCGGGTGCTTCTCGTATTCTTTCATCGTTTGGATTACTTTCTCCAGGGATCTCATCAGAGCAAGGTACGTGCGGCGTGGAAAGAGATCACTTCGTATGGAATCCTTCTGAAACTCAAGCTCTTTTCTGTATTGCTTCACAAGGACACGTACCCTCAGAGGCAGCTGCCTTATTCCAACACCCAAGTTAATCACACTGCCGTCCACAGAGATGGCGCGATGAGCAAAGCGTTCGGCCAGGTTGGGACAATCTAAAAGACGCTTCATGGCTCGTTCCAGCTTGCTACATCTTGGGCAACCCAGAATGAATACCTTGACTTGCACCCCCCTATCATCGGAGTTTTTTGGATTTTGACTGCTAATCAGCTTGGAGTTCTCTAGGACCATCGACAAACAGTGTTTCAATCGAAGGTTCTGCTTTATGACATCCTCAGCTCCGGCTCTTCTAAGCTTTCGACGGATGGTGACTTTGCCACTTTCCTGAAAAGCTTTGCAAACCAGCATCAACGACGCCACTTCATCCAGCGGTAGATAGTCAAGCAAAGTCGGGAGCATAGCGGCCGGTAGTCTCATCAGCGGGAACGCCGCGGCTGCAACCAAACTATCATCTCTCACTTCTGTGCACCCTTTCAACATCTTCAATGATCAAAATAAATTGTGACCCAGTGAAGGGAGGACCGAACCTCACGTATCTTCCAGTCGTGAGGACCATTTGGACGTGCTTGGAATCAAAAGGAAAAACCGGTCATTGATACGCGGCTGCATCCAGTACTGCAGGCTACGGTTGAGTCACTATCCGACTAAGAGGTCCTCTTGGAACGACGACGAAGTGTACAGTACAAGCGCACATGCAGCCCTGCCACAGGGTGCCTCTAAAAGTTGCTTTGGCATGGGTTGGCTCCCTACTTGATATGAGATATCCCCATCCACCGGAACTAAGATGGCTAAAAGTAATCGGCTCCTTGCGTTTCCTAGCTAGGAAGGCGGGATAAGACAATAACCGCCTGACAAGGCTGCTTTGAGGCAGCTTTTGAGGAACACCACGGGCATCCATGTACCTGAGCATACACGTGGCCAAATAACTAGCTAGTCATGCAGCTGGATAGAGCAACAGTATTGGCACGAGGACTCTTTCCTGTTCACGTGAAGCCTTTGTTGAACCAACTATTGTCTATGTAGTCCTGTCGCAAACAAAAACCTGCTATGTTTCAATCAGTCACAGCCACAGGATCCGCACCCACACAAGTCGATGCCGCAACTGAACTTCAAAGATTGTGACTCCATCTCAAGCGCGCACAAGCCCGATGGAACCGTTCCACTCAGGCGCGGGTTATCAGAGACATCCAATGAAGATAAGTTCCAATACACCACCAACTCGTCTAGTTGCGCTGGGAGCTCCCCGCTGAGGTTGTTCGACTGCAAATGAAGCTTCTCCAAATCAGTGAGCAATCCTAGCTCTGAGGGGATAGCGCCGGAGAGGTTATTGCCTGGTGCACTGAAGTTGCCCAGCTTTGTGAGACGCCCCAATTCTGACGGCAGCCTGGATCCTAGCTGGTTCCCATCCAACCAAATACCATCAAGTGATGTTGCCGTTCCGAGCTCTGTAGCAATCGAGCCACTCAATCTGTTAAAGCTCGCATCAAGTCTCCTTAGGTGCGGTAGCAAGCCCAGCTCTGTGGGAAGACTGGTCAAACTGTTATCAGCAATAAATAGCGTGTCCAAGCTAGAACAGCGTCCAATTTCTCTGGGCAAACTCGATGACAGCAGATTCTTCCGAATATCAAGCAAGAACAGGGAACTCATCAATCCCAGCGTTGTTGGCAGCGTCCCTGTCAAGGAATTGCCATATAGAATAATTGTGACTGCAGATTGAAGTAAGCCAATTTCCGATGGAAGGGTCCCAGTGAGCTTGGCTCTCAGCTGAAGGTAGTTCAGCTTCTCCATTCCTCCGATCTCGCTGGGGATGCGGCCGGTGATATCATTGTCAAACAGCGCCAGCGAGACCAGGTTGGAAAGGCGGCCAATCTCCGTCGCGATTGGCCCCGTGAGCGGATTGGAATCTGCCCACAAAACTGCCAACTTGGATAGCTGACCAAGCTCACTGGGAAGTGAACCTGATAAGTGGTTTGAATGAATGTTCAGAAATTGGAGGCTATCGGAGAGGAGCCCAATCTCTGAAGGGATGCTGTTTGATAAACCATTGCCCATTAGAAACACAAACCCCAAGTCAGACAGGCTTCCTATACAGGATGGTATGCTGCCAGTCAAGTACTCATTGGAATGCAAAGCAATGCTTTGCAACGATTTTATCAAGCAGATTTCCTCCACCAGCGGGCCTTGCAAATTGTTGTTGAATAGCCAAAGGTGCATCAGTTCTCCGTCCTTGTTGCACCGTTGATCTCTCGTTACTGTGTATTGTTTTTGATCTAGAGTAAAACTGGTTTTGAATGGCCAGTCACACTCTGACACATTGTACCTCAACCACGTGTTGGTCTCTGCCGTCACTCCCTTCATGAGCCACTTGTCACGCCCCCCTGTGGCATAGTACAGAGTGGCCAGGGCAGTCCGTTGCAAAATGCGGTGCTCTGTGTAGTTGGGCAAGAAAGGATCGCCTAGGATCCAATGGAAGGCATGCGCCTGAGGAGAAAATGGATCCTTCAAGATAGCTTCTTGCGTCGAATTTGGAAACAGCGCCAATAAGGCATCATGCTCGGATTGTGGAGGTGTCGTTGCAACGTGAAATGCACTATCCATCGTATCATTCCCTTCTTCAGTGCGTTTCTTACGGGCCACACCAGCTCCAATCCCGGCTGTCAGGGCCACAGCAAAGAACAATCCAGCTCCAGCCAGCATCATTCTCCAACCGCAGCTTATCTTGTCTTTCTTGCGAGCAGCCATTGGTCGGGCCAGTTGAAGATCGCCGTCTTCCTCCTCATTGGCCAGGAGGGTAGCCACAGCGAGATGACTTGTGTCCGCAGGAATGCTAAGCTCTGGCTCTGGTTCACCAGGAGTGACATCATCTCTCTGATCCGAGGAACTTGTTCCTGACTCTAGACGGTCGAGCACAATTTCTTCATCTTCCATTGCATTGTCCATGGCATTAGGAAGGAAAATAGGGAGCTCGTCCAAGTGTCCAGTGCTAAGGTTTGCTGGATTCACGGCCAACCCGGATTCCGGCTCGACCGCGGAAATAGACTGGTCCAGAGCCAGGGAGCTATCCGCGCGGCTAGTTCTTCTGCAAGGTACCTGATTGCAAGTTATTGTGGGTGTTGGCGTTTTGGGGATTTGCTGCCGAGTACCACTGTTTCTCCGAAGACCGTTCTTTTTCGGCAGGTTACCAGCCTGTGCTGGTGGTTCGTTCTGTTCTTGTTGGCTCCCGTCTGACTGGTTTCTGCTGCTGTTGCTGATGAAACTAGGTCTGTTTCCTCGGAGACCGTGCTTGCTGGAGAGGTCGTTTCTTGCTTGTGTTTGCAGTTCCTGTTGGGCTTCACTGCCCTCTGACCGGCTTCTCCTTTCCTGGTTAATGTAGCTGGGTCTGTTTGCTCGCAGACCGTGCTTGCTGGAGAGGTCGATTCTTGCTTGGGCGGATATTTCCTGTTGGGCACCACTGCCCTCCGACCGGCTTCTCTTGTCTTGGTTGATGAAACTAGGTCTGTTTCCTCTGAGGCCATGCTTGTCGGATAGACTGTTCCTTGTTTGAGCAGACATTGGATAGCTCGCATCATCGGGCGCTTTTCCGATAGCGGTATCACTATTGCTTTTACGTCGAAGACCCATGAAAGTTTGTGACGAAGATCTCCAAAGAACTCTCCAAGGCTGGCGATCGCCATTATGATCACCATTGTTTTGACGGCTTCCCTGTCGTCGAAGGCCCTTTTTGCCGTAGTAGTCGGAATCAGACCCGCGCCTTACACTGATGGCACCAGGTCGACTGTCATTCTGGCCTGAAGGAATATTATTAATATTGACAACCTCGTTTGCGACGCTGGCAGGCTTTGCGGCACCATCTTCACTACCATCCATGGCTTCCGTTGCTTTGATATCATGTATATAACGGGGGTTTACAGTAGGTAGATTATCAGTGATCTTTTTCGTTTGTTGAGGCTAAGAACTGCAGTGTGTGGGATAATGGAGCTGAAAATGGTGTTGCATTTCGTTGGGACCTTTCGATTCGATTCAATTGCTTGAGCTCCAGTGCAGCGCATTGGCTCATTTTGAGGTACTAATAGCTCTACTACTAGCTAGCTAGCTAGCTAGAGCTAATAGCAACGATGCACAGCTAGCAAGATCTAGCTAGCGGCGCAGTAACAAAAGAGGTCGCGCAAATGGAAGAAGCTTCTGTCAGACGATCGCAGAAAGATACTTAGACTGAGTTCTTGAGGCCTTCGTGTCGTCATTGAACTATGATTTAACCTTCCTCAGTCTTGTGAATGATCCAGTAGCAAAACTCTTAGAGGTCAATGGCCTCATCCTCGACTTCTGTCGGGGATGTTGATCGCGGCAATGAAAAAGATTGTTCCCAAGAATTCAGTGAAAGGAAAGCAGAAGCAGAGAAGGCATACTAGCCACCGGTATCTAGCTAGCTACCGTAGCAGGTAGCAGGGCTTTCAGCGATTTCCTGTTGTCACTGTCTCTCCTCACTCCTCAACATCGAGGATGAATCTATGCTTACACTGAGAGAAGAAGGATGATGACTAAAACCCTTTGCTCCCTTTCACTGCTGCTTCTGCTATGGACCAGGCATGTCAGTTCGGATTGTAGTGAGGGAGGAGACTTGAGCCTACGGCGGTCCATGCTCCGAGGATTACTTCCCCGAGCCTTGCAAGGAGGAGGTGGACCCGGCGGACCCGACGACATCAAGACGGACGATGCTACTTCCTGCGATGGAGAGGGAGAGCTACCTATTCCGCCAGGCCATGGCCACGGACATCCAACGCCCTCGCCTCCACTCCCAGGGCTTTCCAGCAGTAGTTCTTTGGAAGAGCAGTGCTTTTCGGCAGATGCCACAGTGGAGGTGCTTCAAAACAAGGGGGGCAGTATTGCCACCATTGCCATGTCCGATTTGCGGGTGGGGAATAGGGTATGGACAGGCAATACTAATAATAATGGACCATTATTCCAACCAGTGTATGCCTTTGGTCACTGGAATCCTCATGCCATCAACAAGTTCCTTAAGATTGCAACAAGCTCTGATGAGTCTCCCCTTGAGATTTCGAGTGAGCATTTTGTGTATCTCCAAGGCCGCAAGAATCCCATCAGAGCAGGTTCTATTCAAGTTGGAGATGTCTTGCAGGGTGTGGCTCCATCAATGAATGTAACTGAACAGCAACGCATGGTTGTGGAGTCCATCACTACCATTGAAAAGATGGGTTTGTATGCTCCACTGACAGCTGGTGGAACCTTGGTAGTGAATGGAGTTTTGGCTTCTTGCTATGTATCCTTGCAAGAACAGCAGCACCCAAATACTGATGACACTCAAATCACCATGAAAGGAGGCCTTCCTCTGTTGTCTCAGCACGATTTTATCCATTACTCTTTGTCACCCTTTCGCTTGGCCTGTACCAACACATGGCTTCCAGGACCTGCCAACACCATTTGTCATTCCTATGATGCCAAGGGGTATCCTCATTGGATTGGAATGGCTATGCAGGCATTCCATTGGGTGGATAGTCTCCACATCGTGCTTCAGTTTCTGTCTCTGGTAATGTGGCTGGCCGTGGTGGTGCCTTGTCTGGCAATAGAATGGCTACTTTCAAGCTCCGGTCCTACTACTATGGCTGCTTTGTATGCCGGCAGCCTCATTATCAGGACGATAAAGTGAGCTTAAATGTTGTATAATCGTTAATAAGTATTCATAAGAGTGTTTTTATAAAGCGATATTTGTTAATCAACATTAGAGTTTTGATCTCCGAAGCCAAGCAAGCATTAGTTAGTTTGCCGTAGCATCCCTACTACGGTAGCTACGAGCCCCGTTGGTTGTCGTACGAGCTAGCTTTAGAGATAGGAGCCTTTGATTATACTTCCTCCCCAAGGACAAACAAGACGGCATAATCTTGTTTGGAGCATCCCGGCACCGGTGGCATTTCGGCTCCTGGTTTGACTGGAAAATCTCGTTGATTGGCGGCTGTCGGGGAGCAGGCATTGTTATTATTATTGGACGATGTGTATCGCGCCGATCGACAGGGCAAATGAGTGACATCATAGAGGGTTCCCTTTTGCAGTTCCCATTTGCCATCCTCGAAAACGGTCAGTACGGTGGTGACTTGTCGATCTCCCGTGACGACGTAGCGTTTTCGTGGCAGCACAGTTTGGGTCGCCTTGTCCATTTTCTTGCGGGGCAGCGGGCCGGGAGTCGACATGATCAATCCGTGTTCTTCCAGCCACCAGTCATTGGTGTCAAACGTCCATCCGGCAGGTGCTTGATTGTTGTTGCGAGAAAGAATTTCGTAGTTGCGAAGAAAGACTCCTCGAGGACCGGGATCATCCCGCCAAAGCCCCCATTGATCGGCGCCAGTGCCACTGCTCGCAGTGGGATCTCCGAGGGCGGCAATGAAGCGAAGCTGGGGATACCGTTGAAACTTGGGACGGTCGTCCTCCACGGCATTCGCTGCCACCGACGCAGAAAAAGTGCCTGCTACCACGGATGCCAAAGCCGCCCTTCTGGATTGTAAGGCTGCTGATGGAGATGACAAGCCCTCGACAGAATTGGAAGAACAGACCAACAGCAATAAGAGAGCTACCGCAACCATGGTGTCAATATTTCTTTTATAATGCTTCCTCTCACACCTCTGACCTCCTGTCTTTGCAGGGATGTGTGTTTCCATCACGACGACGAGAGTGAGAATGTTGGGTGGAGGCATTTTTGCGCCATGCGACTGACGTCAGCAGGAAACATTAGCCTGAACCCTCTGAACCGTCATTGCGAACCCCTATCTTTTCTTTGGCACCGGGTCGATCGAAGCATCACAAATAAATCATAATGGAGATCTCATGTTCTGCGCGGCATGCAAGCAACAACAACCTCTTGAACCGAAACAGTATTCTTTGACATCTCCCTTATTGGAAGTGTATTCGTATAGCAATTATCCCAAGCAAGCGTTGGTGTGAGTTTGAGTATCGGAAACGAACGATGAGAGTTTCAACCCTTTGGATACTGCTTGCAGCATTGCTCCAGACGGCAAGAGCCTTTACGTCGACGCCACTGGCAACCAAGACGAAAGTTTTGTCACCCTTACGACGACAAGCTTCCATTGCTGAAAATGATGAACCATTTCCAGAACCACAACAAGAAGAAGCAGAAGAGCCACAAGCCTTAGAAAAGCGCCCATCTGCCAGTAGTAGCCGACGACCTCCAAGCCAGAAGAAACTGATTGACAATGATGCTGTGATTCTTGCCCCAGTCCTAGCTTTGCTACTGGGCTTTATGGCTCTGATGGGGTTTGCCATTAACATGCTCTTTGGTGGGTAAGAAGAAAAATCTGTACAAGTCAAGGAAGTCATTCGAAGTGCAAAGGAATGCAATCAACAAAACAGTTACGAACCTTTCAAATTTCCTAAATAGATATCAAGTTCATTATCATAAGCAATCCTGGTCATCATCAACCTCACCAAAATAGGAGATCAAAACAGAGTTCTGATGGCTATACTGGGCGGTACTTCCAGCCGAGTTTGGTCTGCTTCGCACATTGTATGACGTTCAATTGGATGTGAATTCAGGCCTCACTGCATGGTTCCTTGCTTCCTTATTGCCCTCGGAGCTGCCATGTGTTAGGGAGTCGCTCCAAGTTGTTTCAATGAGGGGCACCTCTCTCGAGCACGTGTACAGTCCCAGAGGCTTTCTGTGACTTGCTGTACCGGAGCTTTGACCGCTCCCAAGCAACTCTGCCCCTGCTCTACAGATGAACCATAAAGTACATGTAGATTCACTGGAACCGATCAGCTTTAGCCTGGTTATGCCGCGAACTATCTAGCTAGAGTATCAAGACGATTGAGAATAAACTACAGTTCAAAGAGCACATCGGAACGAATAATGTACTTGACTCCCTTGGTAATGGTGGCAGAGGCATGAAGGCAATGCAGGGGATGTTCACCGTGAGGAAAGCACAAGACACCTCCCACGGGGGTTCGAATGCCGATGGTCTCGGCCTCCTGCATGTTACGTGCAGGCAAGGCCAGATTGAATTTGTTGACTAGAAACTCGGTCTCGCCGCCTTCAAAGTCTTGCGAGAGAAAGACCAAGAAGCTGTACATGCTCCATCGATCAACAAACGAGTTGACCACCATCTTGCCATTAACGACACGACTTCCTGGCCAGGAACCATCCGTGTGGATCTTGAAAAAGTCATTGGGTTCATAACGATAAACTCGAAACTTGCCATTCAAGCCCAGTGGTTTCTTATCATTGTTGACTCCGCCCTCGTCATTGTCGTCAGAAAAGAAGTCTTTGCAACGATCCCAAATGATTTCCAAGGTCCTGTCATCCGCAATCCAGTTGAGATTGGAATTGTGACGGACGGATCTCGGGAGTGACACGGCAGCGTCCTCGGTGAATCCCAATTCTTCAAATTTGTCCACTTCATTAAAAGAGAGAGAGGTCGAAGAGAAAGAGTAAGGTATACAAGAATGGCGATAAATGGTAAGACTTCCAGCCACTGACATTCACCTCTATGTATACTTACCCATTCGTTGGGTCTCCTCCTTGGAAAAGACATTGAGAATCTGAAAGGCACCCGGGACGCCCTTGACATTACGACGTTCCATGGCCACACAGCTTTCTCCATTGTCAGTGATCTTTTGTTGGTTCTCGCCCAACTGGAATGGATCCATCTGCTTCGATGCCCAAACTGGAAGATCACTGCGAACTTTACCATGCTCACGAGCAATCACGTAGAAATCAGTCGGCGTCAAAGTGGTAGCGTTGGGGGCAGCGTTGGTTGTCATGGCGGCAGAATCACGGGAAGAAAGGATCATCAAGAATAGAGCTGTAGTTCCTCTTTGACACAGGGTTGGAAGATGTTGTTTTTGTTGCTGTTGTCTTCTCAGAATTGTAGATAGGAGCATGATGATCAATGGCAAAGGCCCGCCACCAACAACCAACAACCAACAAGTCTCTGCCTCTCAGTGGATTTGAGTTTGAACAGGAGTTTCTCAGAAATTTTCGATTATTTGATTGGTGCTGGGAGACTGCAATACATTGCCATGCATCGGTGATCGATGCATGCCCTCAAATATACGGTTTAGCTCTTGCCTTCTTTCGATTTGTGGTTACCACTGGTACTAGCTAGCTAGTATTGTGCCTCTTGCAGCATAATGAATAATAAAAATAAAACCCCTGATCCCACAGAACCTAGTCCTGAATATCGCCTGTTCTTTGCTTAAGCCTGGCCCCGGCTGGCTTCCATAGATAATTACCCTACTCTAAACCCCCCTTATTCATAATAAAAATAAATAATAAATAACTATAAGGGGGATTACGTGAAAGGAACAATATTATAAAGATCCCATCAAAGCTTTAACCCAACAAGAACGCGACAAAATGTCCAAATATTGAAGCGTGCGACTCCAATCGCGCTTCCTTCCATCCCTTTGTTGTTTCTGTGGATGGCATGCTTGCCCCCCAAGCCAAGACTCTCTTACAACGCCTTGCTTCTGCTACTGCCTCCAAAACTCAATTTTCCTACTCTCAAATGATGTTCTTCATACAGACCCATATCTCAATTGCCCTTGTGAAAGCTACCCATTTATGTCTCCGTGGATCTCGCAAAGCCAAACCATTTGCCCCCGTAATGGTCCTGAGTTCCTTGCCCCTGATCCCACAGAACCTAGTCCTGAATTTCGACTGTTCTTTGCTTTTGTTAAGCCTTGCCACGGCTGGCTTCCGTAGAGAATTTCCCTGCTCTAAACCCCCTGTAAAAAGAAAAGAAAGGTACAGTACTAGTGCTGGTACTGGTTGGCAACAAAGGTACCGGTACAATGTCATTGTACTGTACTAGTAAACCCCCCTTTAACTAACGATTTGATCAAAGCAGGTTAAAAATTAAATAAGTAATTTTACTGAAACAGAGGCAATTAAAAAGGAAAATACGGGGAGGATTGAATGATCGAAGATTCATCCGAATGATTGATCGAATATGTACCGGTAGTCTTCACACTTCCACGATGTCCGTTTGGAACCTTTGAGCTTGTGAGCGTGGAGACTCACCGTGACATTTTGAATGCTTGCAGGCGGCAAAGCTAAGCACTTTGCCCCAAACAAGGCCAACTCCAAGCTATGATACGAGCTCAGTCAATACATGTAGCTGTGACAGTACACGTGTAGATACCGGTAGACCCATAGCATTTTGAAAGCGAGCTGCAATTTTTCCGTTTGTAGAGTTCATTTATTTTTAAAACCTGCTACCTGGTACCTAGCCCCTTGTAGTTTCAAAGTGCCTGGTTATTGTTTCGTTGTTCTTCAACATGGGCCGGCCACAAGATCGCAATAATAAGGGATGGAGTGCCAAAATGAATCAACTCAAGGAGTTCCAACGTCAGCATGGACACTGCAAAGTTCCATTGAAAGACAGCGATGGGATGATTACAGAACTTGGTAGGTTTGTAGCTTATCAGAGATGTCTTCAGAAGAAGCTGTCGCGTGAAAGAAAGGATGATCTTGATGCCCTTGGATTCACCTGGAATGTGCACGAAGAAAAATGGAATCAAATGTTCACTAACTTGCAAGAGTTTCACAAGGAAAATGGGCACTGCAATGTGGCAATGCAAAGCTCAAGGAAAGCAGGAGAACTCCAAAACCTGAGCAAGTGGGTCTCTTATCAACGAAGAAATTACAGAAAGCTCTCTGATGAGCGAATTGGCAAGCTAGAAGAGTTAGGCTTCATCTGGTCGGGATATGGCAACTCTTCCTCCTATGCAGCAACATCCAAAAAGAGATTCGCGAACCATAAGGCTCCTTCCGCCAAAAAGCGTCGTGCTGGTGAACCACACACTTCAGAACATCAGGAGGAAGAAGTCACATCGCAAGTCGAAAAGAAAGTGGCTTCAGAAGATGAGGCAGTGGTGGTGGCGACTGATCCATCTGAAGCCTCCTTGCCTCCCCATGAGGGAGCACCTCACGAAGTTCAAGCGATCAAGGAGGAGGAGGATGACAAGGAGGCGACGGTGGTGACTCGTCCATCTAAAGTGCAAGTGTCTTCCAATGAGAGGCCATCTCAGCAAGCGCAAGTGACCAGGGAGGAAGAAGGTGAGGAGAAGGTGAACGTGGATGCTCCATCTGAGGAAGAACAAGTGCCAGTGGTAGAGATCAAGGAAGGCGTGCAAGCTATCAAGGAGGAGGACGACGAGGTCGTGGTAGTGGAGCAATCTCCGGCTGAAGTTCCGCAACGAGATGATGGGACCGGGATTCTGCCGAGGCTCACAAGAATCGAGAAAACGCTGGGATTGCCAGAGGGCAGTGAGTTTTCAAAGCAACCAACCCATCATCGCATCAGTCTGTTGTCGAAAGATCTCGGCTTGATGTTTCCTCCGGAAGCATCCTTGCTTGAGCGCGTGGGTGCCCTGGAAACCGCTATCGGAATTTGAAGGGCCCTACCGGTATGATTCTTGAAATTGGACTGAGGGCAATATTACTTTCTCCGTAGCTTAACTAATAGCTAGCTATCCTCTGCTAAGTATACTAGCGCACGAAAAAACCATGTCCTCAGCACCATGTAACCAATATTCTAACCACAGGGAGAGCAACCGTCCACACAGGCCTCCCTCTCCCGTACAATCAAACTGCAATTGGCAGGGAGATCCCTGCTCGTACATGTATCCACCTTCTTCCTAGATGTTTGCGCTTCGAACTCAAACCAAGCATCATCCTGAAGGGCACAGAGTTCCTTCGGTATCTCGATCCCCATTCTCAAAGCCGAGTCAATCAATTGTTGACTAGATTCAAAACGCCCATGCCAGCCGCTCTCGCGGAGGTTATCAGGGATTGTTCCCTTCAGAGACAAGTTTGAAAGATCCAGCACTGGCAGGTTGTCGATACGACCAAAAGCCGCTGGGTATGAAGCCTTGAATCTCTCGATTGCCGCCAAGCACCAGGAAGGCAAGCTTGTACATGTGAGAGAGTTCTGGTTTCCTCCAAGACACGAAGGTGGCTCGCAGCTCCGAGAGTTTGTGGAGTTGCGACAAAGATCCAAATGCGTTCTAGATCCGACAACAACTGGAGACTCGACTCGTCTTGATGGCAAGTTGTTTCCCAAACGGATCGAGCGCCCAGTCTTGGCGGATCCTTTGAGGCCAATTGGAATACATAAGAACTTGACCATCGCGAAGAGCTGTTGGTTCCACCATGCCTTCATTGTGCCAAAGTCCTTTTGGTCCAACGATCAATTGAAGGCTTGAGTTTGAGGAGATGATGGGATGTCTATAAGCTCTCCAAAGTGTGGTTTGGAGGTTAGCCAAAGATCAGCCACGGCATCGGAAGGAACGGCAGACGCCCCCCCCTTTTGGAGCCATTTGGGCGATATGGCGGCACCTACCAAAGAAAAGATTCTTCTTGGTGTGTGCCTTGTCCGAGATCCGAGACCGAACCCCACCAGGAAAGCTGAAACAACTGCCAGCCCTGAATTCGAAAGAAGCAAGACACAAAGCCAATGGGCAGAAAACAATGGCGTTCCCTGGGCCTAATAACTAAGCTCGTGCTCCCTTGTTGCAATTGGTTGTGTTTTCCATCAGTCAGTCGGTTTCGTCTTCATTTTTGTCGGGGGTACGGCTCTACGGTACCGTACCGTATGGGGTACAGCTGTACGTACGGGACCAATTTTGACCTCTGGGGACCAATTTTGACATCTGGGGACCAATTTTGACCTGACGGGACCAATTTTGGAATGGCTTTAAAACCTGTCACGACTGACTCAAAATACCGATCGCGTAAAAAACGAAAACACGAGCCTGGCATTTGCTGCAATGAAATCCTTAATTCATTTTAAGAATTGAGATTTAACATTCATCGGATCATTCATCAGTAACTGTTGAATTTGTTCAGAAACCAGACGAAACAGCTGAAACAGCCCATTGCTGCTACTAGCTACCGGTAGCTATTAATAGTACGTTAGGTTTTCAGATGCTTCAGATGTCAGATGTAGCTAAACGGCTAAACCAGCTAACTGCTCGCTGAGTGGTAAAGCAATCATTGGCGGTTGGTCCACCTGGGCGCGAAGTACTGCACATGTACAGAACTCAACAAGCAAGTGGACCCTGAGCATCCTCGTAACACAGGTACTTTTTGCTGTCTCACCGATTCAATCAATCCAAGGGTCGCCAATCTATGGTTGTAGCCATCGGTAACGGTACCGGTAGCAATGGTTGTTCTAAACTTTTAGGTACTGTTACTGTAGGGAAATGCAGCAGGTTATTTTATTGAGAATAGTGTTATCACACTGCCGTGGGCGACATTGTGTCCACAAACACTACTAGCACGGGTGCACCACTGTTGTTGTCTCGCCGACCCAGGAAGAGGCCGGCAAGAAAACCAACAATGACTACCATTCCCGCAGCAATCAATATAGATAGGGCAATTTTCCGAAAACGTTGCTTTCCCTGCAACTCCCGTTCATGTTTCCGTCTAGCTTCCATATCCACAGGCTGGGCTTCTTCCATAATGTTGGCAGCATCATAGTCGTCCAACACGGGGGTAGCCTCAAGAAATGGATGGTCTCCATCCATAGTGACGGTTTGGCGGCGCTGCTCGACAGTAGGGTTAGCTTCTGCGGAAGACGCAATACCGGTATCTGCGCCATCCGCATTGGAGCTCGACAGTTGTGGTCCTTCTGCAAATGCTCCTGGCACGCTTTCCATGACGGCACCAGTCGAGAACAGCTTTTGTTCTAGACGACCGGCTTCCAGATCCAGGTAGTCCTCTGTAGCGTTTTGACAATCGTCTTCAGATTGCATTTCTTGTCCCTTGGTGCGTAATAGCTGACTGCTCGAACAATCTTGGCGACGAGGGCTTACATTTGCGAGTATTTCATCTGTCTTCTTGTTTTCATCTGCCGGGTGTACTTTCTCATCCTTGCTCCTTGGTGGCATTTGCGGATGAGCTTTCTTATCATCAGTCTCTGCTGGTGATTGCAACTCCGTCAGGGTATCTTTTTTGCCAGGCCGGTGTTGTTCCAGCCTGATCTCGACAATCTCCCGTAGCAGATCTAGGTCGTCGTCTTCCGCTCCTTGGTCTTCGACATGGTGGGACGAGAGATCTGCCTTATTGCTCATTCTAGACTACTTGGTTAGGAGGGGATGGGAGGTGCGCAAGGAAACAAACAGGAAGAAACACTGCTACTACCGGTAGTGGTGCTGAGGATGTAATGCCACAAGAGTATGGTCGCCCATGCCATGCAACTGCTTGTCACCGCCATATCAATCGGAAATACTTTGTCTGTTTTGCCTCAGTCGCTCTTTCGACAGCCAGCGTCCCTCCGAATTGTAGTGGTCAGTGCAGATTTACTTGTAGCCAGAAAACCGGTACCGGTGCCAAAGCGGGGGATTCATACTAAGTAAGTTACAGTACCGGTACAGCCCCTATGCCTCTTCACTCGCCACAGCCCACAGTACCTGGTACTGTCTTTAACCACTGTCCACACCCCAAAAAGCATTGAATAAATCTTTATCCCCAGAAAGATTCCAGAACGAAGCGAAAGGTCGATAAAGACTGCGTACTACTGCGTACCTCTCAGTAGACCCCTACTGAGTAGCGGTACTCTAGCTAGAGGTACCGGTAGACTATTAATTGATGGCTGGTAGGCTCGACTCGACTCTCTTGTTCAAAAGCCTTTTTACCGAGGTACATACGTACATACCACTACTTCAACACGGGGAAGTGATGTTATTAAATCTAGAGAATGTCACAGAAATGCTTTGCGTTGACCTCCGAACTTCGAACTTCTTCGAAGAGGCGAACTAGCCCATTATTTCCTTTTTCTTCATCATTCATCAGGGATGTTCCTTGAACCTTGAACCCGGGTTGAACGCGTGAACCCTTGAACCCTTGAAGCAAGTATTTACACTGCTGCAGATTTAGCTACCGGTACCGATAAGCTACTGTACTGTTTCGTACGGAACAGCACATGTAGTTGTCACCCTCTTTGGCAATTGGCAACCTCGAGCTCGACAGTCGACAGCTAACTCGACTGGTTTGTGGCATGATGAACGACGCGAAATTGGAACTGGAAGAACCGTTTTGGGCCTGTCATTGCATTGATACATTTACCAGTGTCGAGGTCAATGATTATCATTCTGACTTTGGTGCTGTGATGTACCGGTACTGGTATCCATGGACACGATGGAGCCTAAGAAGCAGCTGATGGCCCGAACGAGAACATCCCAGCCCAGTTGCATGATCATGTGGCTCATAAATGGATGACTTGCTGAACCTCACCGCCAAGTCGCTGAAGTAAGAATCGAATCTATCAAAGCGAGCGATGGTGGCGAACCAATTTTAAGAGTTTCTGCATATTCTGGATGTGGCTGCAACCCCGATCAACAAGTATGTATGAATGCGAGCTTGTAAAACAACTTGGGCCAGATGAAAGCTATGGAAACACGCTCGAAAGATATTGAGATGATCTCCAAGCTTGAAGGGGACCTTGAAGGACTCTTTGACCTTCTGATGAACGCCTTGAAAAAATGTGAGAATGGCATAAATGTTTGTATCTGCAGTCAAAAAATATTTCGAAGAGATACAAGACAATTGAGGAAACCTATTTGAAACTATTAAACCTGCTTGACAATCTAAATGGTGCCGATGATGAGCTACATACTTGGTCTTCCGGCAGAAGAGGCACCAGAGAATGGTAATGAAACACGCCGGAGGCTGGAAGACATTGGTAATTGCAGAGCTGATATTCCAGACTGGGCTGGAGAGGGAGAACAACTTCACATTCCATGGTGTACAAAGCAGACTCGGAGTGCCCCCCAAAAACGAATGTTGTCACAATTCAAATGCTGCCTCATCTTACAAGGGTATCAAGAGGGAATGCACAGTAAACTCTGATTCTTGTGACCAAAATGAGGGTTGTAAAAGGACAAAAAGTTTGATTGGCATTGCTAGTGTCCAAGTGTTGAATAGGGGTGTTATGCGAATGATGGATCTTAGCTTTCGTGATCAAGTCTTGACAAGGAAGGGTGTGTACCCATGAGCCTGTCTATCAATTTGCCCATTTGCCCTAATACCAGAAATGAAGACTTTCTCCAAGTGTACACCAAGGATGGACAAGGACGACCTCTTGAGATCATGACTAAATACTTCACCGGTGCCAGTACAAACTTAGTGAACTTTATGGATTGCAATGAGGCATCCAACAGAGCGCCAAACCGTGCGTGACCGTGTGACCAGTGCTCCCTCCTCCTTCAATAGGTTGGTTGCCATGCTACTAGCCCAAGTTGTGTCCGTCCTGCTTGGCATTTGCTTGGCGTCACTAACCAGGCTAAGATGAATGCTGAACAAATCGCCACTGGTGTTTGCTCTTCGGCTTCTCCCTCACTCCTCACTGGGACCGATTTCGATTCTGTTGGGACTGGTACCGGTACCTACGGTACTCGAGCACGTACCGGTACCGGTACCTACACTAGTCTACATGTACTCACTTGGGCTGAGTTCTGGTATCTGGTATCATTAATTTTGTAGCTAATTTTGTTATGGTGCTTTTCGCAACCTGGCTCAGGTGCTACGGTATGGTGAGCTTATGGTGTCTGTGACAGAAGAAGTCTCAAATGCTCTTGAAGGGAAAGCAAATTTAAATCTTCTTCAGAAAAGACATGACCAAATACTTCACAGGTGCCAGTTGCACTGTTAAATGAACCCCGAGGATCGCAAAGGAGGGAAACAATGCTCCGAACCTTGCGAGCTTGTGGGCTTGCGAGCTGCTTGTGTGACTGCTGCTCACAATTTGGCCACAAACTACTTTGCCTCCTTCTATCCACAACTTCCTTGAAACAACTACTGCGGGTATTAGCGAATTCAATCGAATCGCCATGATGATGATTGTAATGGTACCAACGCTGCAGACTACTAGTAGGCAGGTTTCGCCGTCTTTGACGTGGGAAGAAAACTACACACTTCTCGAGAATTACATTGCCGAGAACGGTGGCAACAACTTTTCCAGCCCTCAAGAATTCTGGAGCGGGCCCTCCAAGGTGAACCAATGGCTGATGTACAACAAGGTCGAGCTTCAAAAGCCCCGGAATCGTATCCATCCAGTATGGATCGAACGAAAGGAACTACTGGAGCAGTTGGGAATGGACATGCCCGGAGTGTTTCAATCTCCGACTACTAGTGCAAGTAGCACCAGACCGGTTCTAAGAAAATGTCAAACGAAGAAGAAGAGACGTATCCCACGAAACCAAGAATGGATGGGATGGTATCGAGTGGACAATATTGTTGAAGACAGCATTGACTACTGGGGATTTGGTTGCGGCTTCATGACGACGACAGCAGAAGAAGACGAAGAGCCCTTGCCATGCAACAGTTACGCCAATGTGCCTCAATCATGGGTGCTGCAAGGAGGTGAATCCGCCACCAAGAGTCAAAATGACCGACACACGTTTATGAAGGATTTGTCAGCCTCCACAATGCAGTTGACACAAAGTTGGATGGCGCGGTTGGCTGGTGGCAACCGCCAACCGGCTGGGAAGCGAGAGGTTGCCCTGGCCGCCTGAGCGAAGGTTTGACTTCCGAACTATTGGTGGCCAAAGTATTGGAGTTCACATTCATTTGCAGAGCTCAGCGTACGCACTGCCGGTATACCCTCACCGGTACCGGTACGGGAGTCAAGAGGCTGCTACTTCATGCTAGTTCCGCGTATATACCTTTGTCGTTTTCGCTAGATTCGCAGGTGGTGGGTGGGTGGGTGGTGGTATTGTACGTGGAGGTACGATACCGTACGACACCAAAGAGATCGTTTTGGAGGCACTTTTTACCTTTAATTAAAGATACCGGTAACCCCAACCAATGCACACATCACTGCGGTCCCCAGTGATGATGATTTCTTGCTGCTAAAGAATTTCCTTCGTGTTATCTACCCCCGTTTCTTTCCATTTCTGGCTAGTTAGTTAGTCGCTGGGGAGCCGCTCTTTGTACTTGTCGTTTCACTTGCTTTTGTCTGGCATTGTATGCCTTGATGTCTAGATATTCCTTGTGCAGTTCATGAAAGGCATCTGGTTTGGCAAATCCCTGATCCATGAGTCCTTGTTCCATTTTGAGGATATCGTAGAAATCATGGGTCAATGGCTTTTTCTTCATTTTCTCTTTGGAAGCTTTATTCCAAATCAGAGGATGATGATGCCGATGGGTTGTAGTATCCGATTCTTCTTCTTTCTGTTGCTGTTCATTGCTGAGTAGTCGTTCGGTATCATAGGTATCTTGTGCATTTCGGTAGACATTGGCAAATTGATCATGTCGTGACAGCGTGGTGTTACTGCTACTGCTGGAACGTAGCAATGGTTGTTTGGATTTCCCTCGGCTGTAAAGCGGTTTCAACAAAGCCGATCCTTGGCTCCAGAGAACCAATACCACACCACCCAAGATTACCCCAACAATTGCTATACCTCTACTACCACATCTCTTGTGTCCGCTGGGCTTTTCATTGTCACTGCCCATCTTCTATACATTATTAGTTAGACTGACCGATTAATTAATTGGTCCTGCGAGACTTCAATACATTGCCATGCATCGGTGCATGCCCTCCTTTACGGTTTTACCACTTGCCTTCTGCTGTCTGGTGGCCTGCCTCGATCTCACCTTGGCACACGGGACATGATTTACGGGGCCCTTGTGCCGGTCTCCACTTAGTTTGTCCCCCCCAAAACAAAATCCTACAGCATCAATCGCATCAAGCCCCTAATTTCTCCTTTTCGTTTCGTTTCCTTTCCTTTGCCTGTCCCTATCGGATTCCAAGACTAGACTCTAGAGTAGGGAACTCTAGAGTGCCCCCTTTATCTCTCGCCTTTACTCCATGTGGTGTATGCTAATACCTGGCTCAGCCTGGCTAATGTTTGTGCCCGCCACCTCTGCTTGTGTGGCTCGCATACGGTATCCCGACTGGCATCATGAGAATCCTGCACACCATCTGAGATGCCAATGGTGCACTTGCACTCTTCTGCTAATTTTGACCCCTTCTATTCCTTATTCCCAACTGCTTTGGTCCCACTCAATATTCCCCTGATATGCTCCTTCCCCCAACCATTACTTTTCCAGTGATAACAGAGACATCCAACGGAATAGTGTGAAGATGAGCCAGAAGCACTGCCAAAACCTTCAGGACTCCACACTGCCAGCTTTGCAACAAGGAGAGACTAGCTAGCTAGAAATATTAAGGTGACCTTGAGAATCACCAGAAACAATGATCAACACCTGCAACGAAACCTACGGCACCTGCCCACACAATCCAGAGTCTCACAAGGACGTGTAATCTAGCCCAGCACTGAGGAGTCTCACAGAGATGAAAGAGTTAGTTAGGCCAAAACCAAAAGTTACCACAGCCTGAAAGCTGTGTTTTCGGGAATTGGCAGTTGGTGACCTGTTTCAGTATCAAAAATTGCTTAATCCTGTCGCCCTTTGCTACATAGTACGTACTGGCTACTGGTACACATCGGTTCAAGAGTGAGGAACTGGCCGATAAGAGCCGGGCAAGCTTCAAAAAAGACTTAACGCAATTTCTGGAAAGGATGGATCCCTTCTTTGGAACGGAGATCGGAGATTCGGAGTTTTCATGAAACGTTCGGAGGCCAACAAGCAATTAGGAATTGTTTAACATTGTAAATGCCACTAAATGAAGCAAAGGTGTTAAGGTTGGACTCTTTGATAACATGGTTTATTGCTTTAGTGGTTGGCTTTGGAAGGGGAGCACGAAACGTTTTGGTTTTCGCGGTTGGCTTCGGAAGGCAACGTTTTCGGAAATGCGCGTCGGGCAGCTATTGTCCTCTCTGAACCGATGTGGGTAGCTAGGTGGATTCTAACCCTGCCCTTCCCATTCCTCCCCCCGCCCCCCTGTGCGGTACCTACGGTTCGGTATCGTCGTAATGTACACGTGCCTATTATAACCCCCCCCCTTCTTGACCATGCTTGGCTATCAGCGCGATACAGTACCACCATGACAAGATCCAAGACAGGACGAAGCCATGTCTAGTAGTTGGACTTGTGTAACCTGTACCTTTGCCGATAATCCTGTGGAGTTCCTAACATGCTCCGTTTGTGGCACTCCTCAGGCATCAGTAGCCGCCTGCAGGGCGAATTGGGAAAAAACAGAACAACAACCTCCTTCTGCTTGCCAGGATGATTGCTGGGTTTGTCAAGTGTGCACTTTTGCCGGCAACTCCAAGAATCAGAGTCAGTGCATCATGTGCAATGAAGTCAGTGAATCTCCACTGGAGGAAAGAGCAGAGGAAGAAGGGCCGATCCAAGCAGCATCTCTGGATACTGGGGATTCAACTGGATGCAATAAAATTGACGAAACCCCATCTCCCGGCGACAAACTGGGGGATCCTCCTGAGCATAGGGATGCTGTTGCGAGTGCTCATGCAGCTTCACTGTTGTTGGAGAAGAAAGCAAGAGAAGAAGAGCAACAACAGGTATCAAATCAGGATACTGATTCCTCTGGATCCGCCAACAAAGAAACCCATTTACCCAGCAACATGAAACAGCATGGGGCAAGCCCGGAGACGGTGGGGCATGCAGTTCCAGATCTTTCCATGTTTGGACAGCCCACGGTGGAACAGGAAAACAGTGCCCTCCAGCAGCGACGACAGCACGCGGAGGAAGAGCTAAGATGGCTTTGGAAGCTCTTCTCAACCAATGACAACTCAGACCCGGTCTCCCCTGAGGGTTCTTTCTTGGGTATCTTGATGCGGGTTCTGCATTTGGCACTGGTGAACCAAAAAGTTCGAAATGAGTTGGTCCTCTTGGATGCATTTGAGCCTTTGCTGTTGGCGTTTCAAAGTGCCCAAAACAAAACGGAGAAAGTCCTTTCTGCACTAATTGTGGCCGTTCTTGTCGACTCTGATCCATCCATTTGGAACTTTACTCATACAAGACAACGGCTAATTGAAGCATGCCTGACCTATTTGGACGGACTGGAAGCAGAGGTTGGATTAGTGGACTTGGGACCAGGTTTTGCTGATTTTCCGTTGTTGTCCGAATTGCTCCCAGATGCCAAGACTGCATGTAGCCAGCGGCAGGCCTTGTGCAAGACACCTTCTGGGAACGACGATGCTTTTGATATTCATGTAAGGTTTGAAGCAGCGTTTTGGTGTCTGAAGGAAGCTGATGAGAAGCACCACTTCAAGGGTAGAGAGGGCTTGTCTCAACTGGAGACAGGTGCCATCAGAGTATTGGGATTGACACACAGCGCTCCGGGGCTTGTTTATCAAGTTTTCCCTCTGCTGGCTAAAGCGGTGGCCGAAGTAAACCGAGACGACAGACTGGCGTCGACTTTAGCGGCAGTTGCAGTCGTCTATACCATACCCTTCCTTGCAGACTTCATGCTGGCAAGCAACCAGGAAAACATCAATACCTGCATAAAGTTCTTGCAGGACAACCCCCTACCGGTGCAGGGTGATGTCGTCTACATCGGAGCATACGAACTAGCTCAGAAGGAAATTGATTTTGCACTTCTGCTAGCTCGCGGTGAAGTGGATGCAGACGGTGTGGACGCTATGACTTGGATTTCATCACAAAAGGACAATCTGCACGCCCTCCTTTGCTACCTCCAATCACCAAACGAAACTGCACAGCTCGCTGCGGCAAGTGCCCTGATGAAATTGGCAGAAGAAAGCCAAAATACACGACAAAACATGAGGCATTTTGGAGCATGCCACATCCTGAAGGACTTGCATGGGAAAGCGACCTCCAAACCAGGTGTTCAAGTCTGTTTGGAGTTGATTGCCTTGCGTCTGCTGGAAGCGAACAGTTTTATTGCCTGGACGCTAAATTTGTCTATTTGGTATGTGGATGTCCTGGAGAACCTGATCCATCATTCAAGAGTTGACGTAATGAGCAACCAACAGTACGGTTGGCTCTTGGAAAAGTGCAATGCAGGGCGAGAAGGCCTGGCTTGGCATCATAATCGCTTCTTGAAGGAGAAGGAGAGCGTCCTGACAATATATCGACGCCGATTCTTTCCTATCACGACCTCGACCATGTCCCCTTCGCAACTTTACAACGCCAGAAAGCCTGCGACTGGTACGGAATACGATTTGACGGATATCTACCAGCGAAAGGATGCAGTCGCTTTGCTGCGCCTCTATGGCGTTGGCAGCATCAGAGTGCTGGATGCATCCCTGGTGCTCTTGGCACTAGTGGAATCCTCCAAAGAGGCCAGAAATCGCATACGTGAATGCGTTGGTGAAAAGATTCTTCTGGCCAAGTTTCCCACGCAAGTGGATGCACAGTCAGAGTTGTTACGCGCAACGGTTAGCTTGATCCTCGACAAGCTATCGGAAGAGGGGTATGATCTTGAACTGACGGCTGAGCAAACCAGTCGCATCACATACGACACTGCGTCTCTTGCATTTCGTGTTCGTGGAAAGATTCAGAATATCTTCAGTGACCCGTCGGGCTTGGTTCGTCTGAGCCCCACGATGCATGGCCCGGCAAGGTACATTGGTGTGGCAACAGTTGTTCTACTTACTTCTCTTGGGGTTTCGCTGCAAAGCACCTCGAACTCAACGAAGGAGAACTCAATATACTTTCACGATATGGTGTCGTGCAGGACACTCGAGGATGCAACTAGAGTGTGTATTCAGTGCAAGGAAACGGCATTTACCTTGTCTTTTGGATCCGCGGAAGCGGCGGCTGGGCTAGTTGAAGACGTCAACAGTCGATTCATTGTGGCGGAAAAGACCAAGAGTGACCCGGCAGAGGCTTTGAGAGTGCACAACGTAGCGTTTGCCGACGACCCTGAATTCCTCGGAGTCAGTGCATACCATCTGAAGAGTGTTTTTCTGACGAAAGTTGTCGATACAAAAGGTCTTTCAACGAGGTCCAAGTTCTATGAGGTGGAAAACCTTTTTAGCGACAATGGTTTTGTTCGAGAGCAGGGGGCAGCAACTGTTTGTCCAGTTGATGGTAGGTGCGGTTCCGCGTATGTCCACACTCTGGCCGGAGAAGATCACGTTGGCCCCGCGACTCTCATGCTTAGCTGGACCTGGAGGTTAGTAAAGTTTGATGATTGCAGACCCCAAATATATACTGATCTCTCTGACTTCCGTCGCTACTTCCAATGAAAAATCACAGTTACACTGTGAAAGACGTTGTCGAGACAATTGACGAATTCTGCAGAAAGAACAAATTCGACCGTAGAAGGACATACGTAAGTACACATTCGTGGCCTCTTTCAAGCAGATGCCATCTCGGATCCTCTCCACTGCGTCGCATTTCGCTAATATCTTTGTACACTCTTGACACTTTTTCCACGTAGATTTGGATATGTTGTTTGTGCCTGAATCAACATCGGATTGTGGAATCCAACAAGTCCGGAATGGCCGATCAGAAAGCTTTGGATTTCGAGGCAGCGTTTCGGAGTAGGGTGGTCGCCGTAGGTCGCGTTATAAGCATGAGCACTCCATGGGTAAGCAAGGGATTTCCAGCGCCAGCTAATCTTTGCACATGGCACCTCTACTCAATCAATCTGGCTACCGCTGGGTGCACTGCTGTTGCATCTTGACTTCAGGAAAACCCCGCCAACCTGCGCCGCATCTGGTGCCTGTACGAGATCTTTATTTGTCTCCAGGAGAGTGTTGAGCTATCAATCGTGATGCCACCACGGCAAAGTGACAGGTTTGCCATTCAATTTTTCAAATGCCAGGACTCCCTCTTTCAGGCGCTTTGCAACGTTGACGTGGAAAGAGCAGAGGCATCTGTCGAGAGCGACAGAGACACAATCCTAGAATTGGTTCGAGAAGGGAAGGGATTCGCGGAGGTCAACTCGAGTGTGCGGGAGCACATGCGAGCCTGGGTTCGGGGAGTCATGGCCGAAATAGTTTCCTTACGACAAAACGCTGAAGCGGCGAATGACGAGCCATTGGGGGCGTCACAGGCTGCTTCCACATCGTTCTACAAAGAGGCTGGGAACGTTTACGAGCTGTTTGGGGACTACGATGCAGCCCTAAGTATGCGGAAGAAGGTCTCGTCGCGGGACGAACCGTTGCATGGACTCGAAGCTGCCGAATGGTATGCCGACGTTGGCGCCACCTTGCGGACAAGATCGTGGGGTGAAGCACTTGGCATGCTGAAGAAGTCAGTCCATCTATATGAAGAAGAGCTAGGCAACAAAAGCCAAGAAACTGCGAAGCTTTACTTTCAGTTGGGCACGTTGTACCAAGAAATGAAGCTTACATTGGATGCATTGGCGTATTTGCAGAAAGCACTTGAAGCACGCGAAGAAAGCCTTGGTAGCAATCATCGTGACACTGCCATTGCACGCTGTCATGTCAGCGTTCTTACTGCCGAAGTTGATGGAACATCAGTTGAAGATGCAATCCAAAAAGCATACGAATCCCTCTCCATTCTTCTCGCTGCAGTGGGGCCGAATAATCCTGACACAGCCGTCGGTGCCTTGCAGCTCTGTTTGTTCAACTCCACAACAAGAAGGTGTCGGCGGAAGGGTCGCATAAGACGGGTTTCACCACCGGACCGTTCTTGCTTCTGCTTGAAACGGTTGCTACAAGGTTGAGATTCGGAGATGTTGCTCTTGACGAAATGAATAAGTGCATCGCTATCCAGGAGACAACCATAGGGAGGAAACACCCAAATTTTGCAAAGTCTTTGATCCAGAGAGGCGAGATCTATCGCCTTTTGGGAAAATTGAACGAAGCTGAACAAGACTTCCAGGCTGGACTTGGAATCCAGAGAGCAACTCTGGCGGAAGGACACGTGGACATTGCCCTATCCCTTGCTCAGCTAAGCGTGCTTGCATGTACACGGGGAGAAATGGATGCTGGCACGGGCATGCATTTGCGTAGCCAAGCAATTGACGCGTTGAAGGCCGGGAACAACGCCGCACCGGAGGCTAAGACGGACTCCGACAACTTGTTCATGCCAATACGAAGGACCCATATTGTGTCAGATGTCTTCTTTCAAGTTGGAAAGGAGCGTCTTACAAAAGGCTTCCCAAGAGAGGCCCTTTTGATTTTGGAATTAGGGGTGTCCGTGGTTGAGAGAAGTTTCCCAAGCAGTAGCGACATGGTCCCAGGTTACTATGAGATGGTACAGACGATTCGAGAGGCAAATCTGGCAGTACAGAACCAGAGGGAAGCCCATGTGGTGAATGAGTTGAAAAACGAAGGCAACCAAGAATCTTCGGAAAAGGAAGAATCGACGACAGATTTTGTGCTGGCTTCTGCTTCACCGCATCCCTGAGAAGCAGATGATAAATGCTCCACAACACCGACTTGACGCGTACAGCGACGGTCGAGACAACAGCTGAAGCAGTTCATCGTTGGATGTAGGCGAATGCGGTGGGCCTGGAATTGGACATGGTGTTTGGCGTTTATGAAAGAAGCACACGCAGCGGTTTTCATGGACGATCGACTTGGATACTACGATAGCTATGATGGATACAAACTATAGCAACGTGTTTTGTTGCTGGAAACAAACCGCATTCCCCAATCAAGCGCACGAGCAATCACAACCACAAAGACCAGATCCGCAGTCAAATAACAGCGTGTCATTCAAGGTGCACAAGCCGAATGGCACTGTACCTTCCAAATCGTTGCCAGCTACATCAAAATACTCAAGGACAGTGGACTGGTTGCCTCCTGCCGCTGCCAGCAGACCTACTTCTCCTGGAATGCTCCCGGTAATGCCATTGTTGGAAGCATTGAATTGGGACAACTTGCCCCACAAGCCAATTTCAGACGGGAGTGGCCCAGAAAAGGAGTTCCCATAAAGTTCCAACCTGACACAAAGTGTTGTGAGGTTTTGCGGGCAGATAGCCAAAGAACACGCAACAGTCATCTTACTTTTTCATATCCAACTGGCTAAGTGCAGGCGATATCGATCCAGTCAAGTGGTTGTCAACAAGCTGGAGCCACTCTAAACCTCGCATGTTGGCCACTTCAGAAGGGATCGGACCAGTCAAGAGGCTGTTTTTCACGAGAGAGAAGTATGGACCCAACTGGTAAATTCTAAATTCAGAAGAGACAGAATATGGGCTGTCACTTCCCACAAATGGCACCAGTCCAATCTCTGAAGGAATGGTCCCTGTGAGACCTGTTCCCAAACAACTCAGACCAAACAAGCGTGACAGTTGACCCAATGTTGTTGGAATGGTGGATGTGATGTTGACATTGTTGATGGTCAAGACTGCGAGACAAAATAAATGGTCAGGAAATCTAATAATGTAGCACTTGATTCTGCCTAGCCACCCGGTTTCTCTCTTACCCTCTAAGCTGGCCAACAAGCCCAGTTCACTAGGCAGTGTGCCTGAATAGTATCAAAGTCAATCTAATGAGGCACTTCAAATTTGCATTGGCATTAAAGGGAAAATGGCAACCCAATATTTCTGCTCACCTTCAAATTTATTCCGGCCAATATACAAATGGACCATGTCTGTGAGGAGTCCAATTTCTGTGGGAATTGTCCCTGTATAGAGAGCATGCAATCAAAAGAACTGAGCATCTCTCCCGAAAAGCTTTCAATGACACAGCCATTCATTATTACCTGACATTTGAGCCTCATAAAAGAAAAGAGCCATGAGCTTCTGTAAGGAAAAGAGGTGTGTCGGGATTGTTGAAGTCATTTGATTGGACCCCAAATTGATGGCCAGCATGTTTGAGAGCAGCCCCATTTCTGATGGAAGTGGCCCTTGCAGTTGTGTCCGATGTGACGATAGGTATTTGAGTAGTGTCAGCTTTCCAATCTCTGTGGGGATGACACTGCACATTGGATCATCAGTTCATAGTTGTGGCAGGTTGCATGGACTCGAGTGTCAGTCCCAAATCCAATGCAATGTGAGCTATATTCTCTTGACTTACCCAGTAAGCTGCTCAAAGGCCAATGACAAATCTTCAAAACAGAGGACCAGGCCGAGTGAGTGTGTACTTTAAAAAAGGCGAACAAACAAGGTCCAGGTTCTGTGCCCGACTCCAACCATTAAGAAGAGATGACAAGCGCACTTTGCTTATAAACTCACCCACAAGATTTGTAAGGGTACCAATTTCTGTGGGGATGGATCCATGCATGGCAGTGTTGGATATTCCCAGGAACTGTAGTTTTGAGAGTTTACTGATTTGATCACCAACCAATAACTTGCCCCTCAAGTTGAGGTTCAAACCAAAATCGATGCTCTTGAGAGAAGTCAGTAGGAAAAGTTCGTTGGGAATAATCCCATCGAGTCCATTTTGTGCCAAGGATAGATGCTCATATTGCCACCCAGTATCTAGATTTGACATGTTGCGACACGGTGTTGTCATGGGATCGGGGTATTCATAGGGCAGGTAAGAGAGAACGTGGATGGGGAAGCTATTCTGAAACCAGTGGCATTCATGTTCTGTGTAGGATAGCCAGTGGGAGTTGTTGAACCATGAGGGACCATCCGTGGCATAGAACCAGGTAGCCAAGATGAACCGTTGAAGGAGACGATCATCAGGATAGGAGTTGAAGGATGGGTCACGCAGCGTCCAGTTGTAAGCTTGCGACTGAGGCGATGGGGGTTGTTGGATTGAATCTACCGCGTCCTTCGGCAGAAGCAAATTCAATCGCACATCCCTGGTAAAGAGTGTTGGTGACGGGGTTGGCGGCGAGTCAGTCGGGGTGGGGGAGTTTGTGACCACGATGTTATGCTTTTCCTTGGAAGGTGACAACATGATATAGGCCACCACGATTCCAGTAAGGACAAAAAGAGCGCAAAAGGCCAATAGGACCAATTTCGTTGGGTCCATTGCCAGGCCACGCTTGGACCGCTTGCTTTCATCCCATTCAACAGCCTGTGGCAGCTCATCGTTCGTGACAGGATCTGCTTCAGTCAAGTCTCTATCGGTATTGTCTTGCTGTGGTTGTTGGCTGGTCATCAGTGATCCAATTTCCGGGTCCATAGATGCAGCTGGGGGTTGCGGAACTTGAGCCATCTGGAGGTCGTTCCCTTGTTCCAAGCGAGAATATCGCACCGACGGATTTCTCTGCAGAGCCTCACCGGGGGCTCCTGCATAAGCCCCTGGGCGTATCTCACTCACTGTCGTAGAACGAGATCTGCTGTTGCTTTGGTCCAACAGAGCACCGTCTTCTCGTTGGAGTTCTTGATTGGCTGCCCTAGCCCTGACTCCCACGACCTTTAGAATCGTCGCGTCACCTTCATGTTCCTCTGTTTCGTTGGGTGCCTTCTTTTGCGGCGCTGCTCTCGCCAATGCAGGTAATGCCATATTAGCTGTGTGCCTTGTGTGAGCCGGGCCATTGGGGTATCGACTGCAGCTGGTGTGCTCTTCTCGATTTGGTCTGGTCTCGCCGTCATATGTACTGTTCGGGTGTCCGCCTTTGGCCCTAGCTTCTACAACAACCTTGAGCACATCGACTTCATCATCATCGGTATCGCCGGGTCTCTTTCTAGAAGCACTCATCGATCCTGAAGGATTGGTCAATCAGCATGCACAAGGAACCGGATATCGTTCAACAAACACAAGCGCGGTAAAGTGACATGCCATGCATTCAATTGAGAGGGCGTTTGAGAGGGTGTTGTTGCATGGGGATCGCGGATTGATGCCATGGACATTCGCAGCACGCACGCCCGGTACCAGTACCTACCAGATCGAGAAGTTGTAGCTCCAGCCCTTGCGTGATTCTATCCGCTATCTAGCTAGCGGGTACCAGGTACAGGCGTAGGATCTCCTTCGATGGGGTGCACGAACGATGAAGGCACATGATACTCCCATGAGACTGCATGGGTAATGTCCACATCACAACCACAAGCGATCCAGCTTCTTGTGCGATTCGCTGTCTGTTCCTGGCTACCATGGCCCTGCGACAGGCCAGAAAACACCACAGAGACAGCCACACAATGACGAGGCAACACTCCTGGTGCTCCAAATTCTACAACCTTACGGTGCAATAGCCTCGTGGCTCCAGTATGTACTACCGTACCAATGCGACATCTGTGCCACACACTTGATATCAAGGCAGGCAGGTTGATAGAACACGGAGTTTAGCTAGAATCAGGAAAACCCTTTTAAAATTAATCTTGAGAGTACTCAAGTGGAAAGGCAAACTCCCGTCTCATCACAACAACTGGTGCAGCAATCAGAAGCACACTGGATGAGAGGAACTCCGGTTTCTGTATTGGGCAAACAGTCAGCCACCAATGCAACTTCACCTACACTGTCAACATATTCAAAATTATGGCAGAAAGAGATTGGAAATGTGCCAGTGATCTGATTCCCATTCACTACAAATTGTTGCAGACGTGTCAGTGCCGCAATCTCATTGGGAATGGTGCCACTGAAGTTGTTATTGGATAGGTGCAGGTGCCGGAGACGTGTCTTAAGAAGACCAAGTGAGGAGCTGATTGTCCCAGTAAAGTTGCAACCATCCAAGTCTAGAAGCTGGAGATTGTCAAGTCCTGCGTACAGTTCTTCAGGGATTGCCCCCTGCATGTTGGTGTTGGAAAGAACCATTTCTTGAAGCTGGTTTGCCAAGCCACTCTCTGAGGGTAAGGAACCAGAAATATAAGTGTGGTTCAAACGCAGATATTCCAAGTTGGTGAGCAGCCCAATTTCACTTGGTAAAGTCCCAGTGAGCTTGTAATGTGCAAAGAGGAACAAAAAGAAGGTAAGCTTCGGGCATGGGTGTGGGTGTGGGTGTGGGTGTGGGTGTAATTGTTTGTGGTGCACCAAGAGAAAAGAGAGAACAGAGGGAAGGGGTGACTCACATTATTTCCACTCAAATAGAGCCACTCTAGAGAAGTTTGACTGAATAGTTCTTGTGAAATAGAACCTGTCAGAGTGTTGCTTCCGAGTATGAGGACTTTCAGAGGGAGTAGACCCAACTCTGATGGAATCCTCCCGGTCAATGTGTTTCCCTGCAGAAGAAGATTGGTAAGTTTTCCATTTCCTTCAAGAAGGTTTGTAACCCATTCTACAGGTATAGTGCCAGAAAATTGGTTCCAGGACAAGTCTAGACTTTCCAGGGCAAAACCTGGCTTTTTTGAAAAGAGTCTTGGGGGCGGTACTCCTGTCAGCATGTTGGAGTTGAGCCATAGAAGCCTCAGCGGCGGCAATCTTGTGATCTCCCAGGGAAGAGGGCCATTGAGATGATTCCAATCTGAACCAAGAAAGATATCCACAGTGTAAGAAACCGGCCCGTCACAGACGTTTGATAACCTTTTCGAGATACGTACAAAGTTGCAGCTCAACAAGTGTCCTCCCCATGGACTGCACAGTTTCACAGGTAATTCCAGCCCACTGGCATTCATGACTAGGGGAGAGCCACTGATCCCCCCAAATGTTTGACGTTGCTTCGCCACCATAATACATTGGCTCATAGCAGAAGCCAGATGTTGCACTCCCTTGGGGACTTGCTACTGGGTTGCACTCTTTCCATGGCTTGTGCCTTGTGGTCTGATAGTAGAAGAGCGCCAGCAGAAACCGTTGAACCAAATTGGGCGAATCATAGCTTAATTGCAATGGGTCCTGATTGACAATCCAGTCAAAAGCCTTCAGCCTAGTTTCAATCAAGAACTCAGCAAGGTCAACATCCAAATCATCTCCAGATTCTTCCACATGTTCGAAATAGTCCCTGCCCAAAATGAGAGTTAAGGTAACTTCAATCTTGGGTGCCTCAACAGCATCTCTTGTTGTGGTGGGTGCCATGGTACTGCTGCCATCCACATAGACCTTCTGACTGCAGTGTCCGGTGCCACAGACAGCCCCGATAAGAATACCTGCAACAACCAAGAGAACGAATAGGCCTTCCATGAGGTAAACCCACAAATTGCCTCTCTTTTTTTGACTGTTGTGGCTCCCATTATCAGCAGTAGCAATGGGCAAGTCATCCTCAGCAACTGGTCTTGCCTCTGCCAATGACTCGGAAGGAGGTGGTTGGATATCTTCTCCTGCTTCTTCTTCATCCCCGTCCTCAGCATCAGCGTCCATACTGCTTGGCTGATGTGTTTGTTCGGTGAATCGGAATGCCTGGACAGCATGAGCTCCTGGGACGCTCTCCTGTACCGCAACGGATGACATATTCACGGGCATTGGCATTTCTTGAATCCAACTAGGTGGTGGTGCGGAAGTTGCACCCTCGTGATTTTCAGAAACGGTCTCGTTGCTCCTGTCCTTACCACGGAACGTTGAATCGGCACTTTGGCCGTCTTCAATAAGTTCATTCATATTTCCGGCCACCTCATGCTCTCTCTGTTCCTTTTGAATGGCCGGATCAATAATGCCAGTGTCTTGTACATCTGATTCAAAGGAAATTTGTCGAACCGAGTATATTTGGGTTTTTTGGTTGATTTTGGATTCCAAGCTCGCCATGGATGGAACATCCACTGATGCCTCCTTTTTCATAGCTTTTTCATGTTCCTTCAGGACATGATTAGTGTCCAACTTTTGGCTGCTTGTTGTATGGATGCTCTTGCTGTCAGCAGGATCCTGTGAGGCTTCCTCTGCTAGAGGTGGTAAAATGGGCTGTTTTTTATTTGTCACTCCTCTCTGCTGCTGGTTGACCGGCTGAAAGGTTGGATCGTCTACATCATCAGTATCATGTAAATTCTGTGTGGATGGGTACATGTGAGGGACAAATAGCTCCGCATCCTTGAAATGAGTCGTGACGGAAGAAGCACAACTCATGTCTTCTGGTGTAGGGACATTGATCATGCTGGGTGGTTCCATGACCGAGTCATCCTCGACTTCTTGTAGCTGTTGGTAAAGCTGATCAGTGCTGGAAGGTAGCAGCACTCCACCGAGACCATCAGCACTGCCAATAACATTAGATCTAGGAGGAGTAGACATCCTGCAAGAATTCGATGGATAAGAGATTGGAATGATTGCTGAATGATTGATGTTGGAGGGAACGATCGACGATCGAGGCTTGGATAATAAGAAAAGCTCAGGCAACGGAGAGCGATCGAGTGGATTGGCCTACCTGGTATGGTACGGCATGGACTATGGATGGGAACGGGTGCCACGGCACATGGCACATGGCAAAGAATTCAGCAGTGCAAAAACAGGAATGTCACGCTTACCGGTATTAATACCACTACATGTACTAGTAACTTATTGTGAATGCTGCGGCGTTCTTCAGCTGCAGATGAACGCGTCAGCGACGTTCTCTGAACGGCTTCCGCATTCCGCATTATTTAATTAAAACTTCGCTGCTCTATTTATGTCTACAGTTAGTTTACCGGGACCATGGGACCCGCTCTAATTCGTTACTTGCATTTCGATGTGATGGTGACCGCAGACTATTCATACTACCGGTGACGTATGCAAAGTATCATACGTTCATTAGTTCTCTGAAGGCTTCACCCTGTGCCCTCTAATTCTCTGTAAGGGTCAAGGAACAGTGGGCTTCCGATCACGATAGCTCCAACCCTGATGCTGTATCTTAGGATCTTTCATTAATAAAAGATCTGTGTCAAGAAAACGAACAGCATGCACGAAAGCACCCCACCCAATCCCAGCATAGGTATATCAGCTATACTCAACAGTAGAGGACCCCATGCATAATCATGTCAACCTCGAAAGCTACCACAACTACTCTTCGTTCCTTTATCCAGGGCAAGTATGTTGTGCCCTCTGGCAGCAGTAGTCACTGTTATGATTTAGTCAATGCCGCCACGGGTCAAGCACGTGCTTCCGTTCAAGTGGCTTCCTCGATCGAGTTGGATGCTGCCTTGGATGTGGCAATGGAAGCACAGCAACGGTGGAATGTCGATTTTTCGCCCTTGGATCGTGCTCGGTTACTGAACCAAGCCGCTCACGTCTTGCAAGATCCTTCCGTGCAAGAGCAAATTGCCATGGCGGAAACTCTGGATACCGGTCGGCCCATTATGGAGACGCGGCACGAAGCGCCCGGTGCCGCGGATTGTCTGCAATGGTTTGCGGGATTAGCGCCCAGTGTGGGAGGACAACATTTATGTCTAGCGGGCGGCAGTTTTGGTTACACGAGACGAGAACCCCTCGGTTTGACGGTGGGCATTGGGGCCTGGAATTATCCGCTGCAGTCGGCGGTTTGGAAGTCGGCACCGGCATTGGCGTTTGGCAACAGCATGGTCTTTAAGCCGTCCGAATTAACTCCCACTACGGCACTGAAGCTAGCGGAAATTTATCAACAAGTGGGAATTCCCGATGGAGTCTTTAATGTGGTGTTGGGAGATGGCGCCACGGTGGGCAAGCCTCTGGTCCAAGATACTCGTCCCAACAAGATTAGTTTTACCGGATCCATGCCCACCGGCAAGACGATCTACCGTGCGGCGGCGGACGACTTGAAAAAGGTCACTTTGGAATTGGGAGGCAAATCTCCACTCATTCTCTGTCATGATGCCAACGTGGAGGCGGCCGTCAGTGGTGCCATGATGGCCAATTGGTATTCCTCTGGTCAAGTGTGCAGCAATGGGACGCGGGTCTTTTGTCATGAATCCATACGAGACGAATTCTTGGAACGACTCGTTGAACGCACGCGCCCATTGCGAATAGGAGATCCTCTCGATGATGCCACTCAAATTGGTCCCATGGTCTCTCAAGCACACATGGACAAGGTCCTCAAGTACATTCAACATGGGATCGAGGTGGACCAAGCCACGCTCTTGTACGGAGGAAACCGCATTATGGATCGGGATGGGTTTTATCTGGAACCCGCCATTTTTATCGATTGCACCGACGACATGAAAATTGTGCAAGAGGAAATCTTTGGCATGGTCATGACTGTCTTGTCTTTTGACGATGAAGACGAAGTAATACAACGCGCCAATGACACGCCATTTGGTTTGTCGGCGGGAGTCTTTACGCAGGATCTGCAACGGGCCCATCGCCTGGTGGCCCAATTGGAGGCGGGCACGACATGGATCAACAATTACAATCTCGCACCGGTCGAGTTGCCCTGGGGTGGATTCAAACACTCCGGACTGGGATCCGAAAATGGACTGGCAGGGGTCGAATCCTGGACGCGCCTCAAATCGGTCTATGTCGAAATGAACACCATTGAGACGCCGTATGATTGAAACATTATTTTTAGAGCTAACTAGTATTATAAAGCTGGCTAGTAATAGAAAGCTTAGAACTGGCTTGGATCATACTTGGCTAACCCACAGTGCCATCTTTCGCATTAGAGGGGACTATCGTGGGTGAGAGTGGATGCCAGGGGTGGAGTGCAGCAAGACAACCAGGAGCGAGAAGGCCAACAGACAAGGGCCCAAAGAAGCGAGAGGACAAAGACTACATTCACTCGCCACGGTACATGCACGGTCGCTTTGAGCGTAGGAGGCGCAAATTGGGTCCCGGATCAAGAGGTTAACTCCCACCAAGAATTTTTACCCTCAACGGGAGCTGAAACTTGGATCGATGCCACATACAATTCAGACTGCAACAGCCACAAAGGAATATTCTGGTCCTTCCCACAAGAGCTGAGGCGCGATCCGTAAGAAGCTGACTCGTTGTCCCAGAGTATTGACCAACAGTCACCACTACCGGCGGCGAAGCCAGGCAAGCCAATTTCGCTCGCAAGCTACATACGTGTATGGGTGAAGCCATGGTTTGGATCTCGTCAACTACTCTGAAAATCTCGACAGCCCAAAGTGAACTTTGATATCAACAACAAAGAATCAAGTACACATGAAGTGGGCTCTCTGCGCTTTTGCTGCCTCCGTCGCATATCTGGTATCCGCTAAAAATACATTGACAGTGGTGACAATAAACTTTGGATGTCGTGACTTGTACCCACTGGCAGCATGTGACAACTGTCAAACGCGGTTTGACCTCATGGCAGCCGCCATCAATGGTGGAAGCAATATAGAGGGACTCCCAAATCTTGACGAAGTTGATGTGGTAGTTGCCCAAGAACTTGGTACCGATGCACAAAACTTTGCTCAGATTAGCAGCGCTCTTTCCAATCGTGGTCTGATTCACACCACTGGAGAACCTTCCCCAAGAGCTGGAGACAGAATCTGTAGAAGCCCGATTGTTTTTCATGGCAATGTCAAAGACATTGCTGGATATATAACTGGTTTGGACAATGGAGGCCTTGTCACATGGTCCCGCTACCCTATCCTGGAGACACTGATGCAAAACTGGTGCGGCCACAATCTCCCAACCCCTGCTGGCTACCTGCTCACTCTTTTGGATGTTGGAGAAGGTAGGGTTGCTGCCATTTTCAATCTACATGCCATGCCAAACTATGACTTTGGTATCCCAGGTTCAGCTGAAACAATCCGCACATATCAGTTTGGTGAGGTTTCGGGTTTGGCTGATAAACTGTTAGAATCCTTCAGGGGTTCCAGCAATGCGGCCTTTTCTGTCATCTTGGGAGGAGATTTCAATGAAGATGCCTATCACTTCCAGTCCCACGATGACTCTGCAAATTGCGGCTTAATCACCAATGACCAGGTTTTTCAGAAGTTTCACAGCGTTGGCCTTGGCCTTCTTGGTGCCTGTCAAACAGGTATCATTGGCAAGCCAACATGGGACCCCACCAACAATGACCTGGCTGATCGATTCTCTGAAGACTCCACTCATCAAGTTCTGGACTACCTCATCCAACACTCATCCAGCTCTAGCTCTTCGAATCCAGTCAATGTTGTCACCACACTAAAAACGAAGGAACCGTGGTCGGGACAGTTTTGTCATGATACAACTTTGGGTGAAGCCAAGCCAAACAACTTGTACAGGGCCAGTGCTTATGCTTTATCAGATCACAACCTTGTGACAGCAACTTTTACTCTTCCAGACTCTTCCGGTGCTTCCACTTGGGCCGCAAGAATTGCTTTCAATAACGCTGTTCGTTCATGGAACTCTGGCATTGTAGATGAAGCAGCATGTGGGCAACAAGGCACTGTCTGTTGGACTGATGATGACTGCTGCAATTCTGCATACTCTTGGAATGGGATTGGGCAGACCTGCAATGGAATCTACTGCGCCCCCTGTGCTGAATTGGGACAATCCTGTGGTGCTCAGCTCGAAGGATCAGACTGTTGCGGCTATTATGACTTCACGTCAGGCGAAGGTTTGCATTGCCAAAAAACTGATGATTTGTTCTCCTTGGATGCCCGCTGTGTCCACAAGTTTGACCGAGGGACGTACTGTTTGTGGGATGGAGAATGCAAGTCTAACAACTGCAACTGGCTTTTTAAGTGCGACTAGCTAGACAATCGAAACCAGCAGCATGCCAATGCCAAGCAGCGAGCAATCGATAACGAAACAGCATGCATGTACAGTATAGATAAACATGCAAATTTCTAGAGCCATATGTCATTATGAGTCACCAAGCTTGGCCGAATCAACTCATTGTGAGTAGTACGGTACATTAATTATTTATGACAAAGGCAACTTCTCTGCCAGCTAGTTTCCTTCATTGGCACTGCTGCTTCAATGGACAGCATTTCCAACCTCTACTCCGCATCCATTGGCTATTCTATGTCGCTCTCTAGTAGCCTCATTTGTATCATCCCAGCTTATCAAGTGTCGCGTTCACGCTTGAAGTGACATCTTTGTCATCCATCATATTTCGCATCATGGGATGGATTGCCTTTCTGGCATCGCTCTCAATAACCTCCTTGGCGGCATGGAGTGCTTTGGCAGACTCCAAAACCTCCTCTTCACTGACAAAACCAAGTCCTCGTCCCTGTTTGAGAGTATCCAACGCCAGGTCATGGCCTGCGGCAGCGGCAATTTTGAGGTGTGCAATGCCTTCCACGTAGTTTTCTTGTTTGATCTCGAACATACCCAGCTGTGTTCGGGAAAGAGAATTTCCACCCTCGGCCCCCATTATGTATAGCTCTTTGGCCTTTTCCAAATCTTTGGGAACACCCGCGTTGCCTAACTCATAGAATTGCCCTGCCATTCTCGCCGCGGAAGCCGAACCATGGTCAGCAGCCTGTTTCAGCAATCGAAACGCCACGTACTCATCCTTTACGACACCTGCTCCATTAAGGAAACTACCAGCCATGGTTTCCATGCCATGGGCATCCCCAAGTTTAATTCTAGCTTTGAGAAGCGTCAATCTCTCCTCGTTGCTTCGAGGGACCGGATGACGGCAAAAACTACAGGGAGGCATCATATCGAACAAAGAAGTGGGGGGAGTGGTACGATTCTTCATGGCCGCCTGGGAATGTTGCGTAAAGCAGGCTTGACAAGTCATTTTTCCACAACAGACGGAATAATTGATATTTCGGCCATCGTGAGGCATGGGTACCATGCAGATGGGGCATTCCGTCTCTGGTGTCCAGTCAATGGCCTCACCGGTAGGGGACGAGTCAAGAATATCAAGGAGTTCTTTGGAAAATTTATGCTTCTCGCAGATTTTCTTGTGCGATTTCCAGGCACTCTTTTGGCAATCGGCATTGCAATAGGACACATATTTGCAAGCCGAGCACCGTTTCAACTTCAGGTCTTCACCAGCACTTTTGCCGCAGGCTCCACACGCCTGCAATTGCAACGGAGTGGGTTCAGGCATGATGGTGGTTTCTTTCTGGAGTCCTCTGATGTACAAAAGTAACTATAAGCACTCTATGGCAACTTGAATGGTTTCTTGTAATGCTATGGATCTCTAGCTAGCTAGCTAGATACTTCGTCCCGTTAGTGAGTGGTAAAGGAGGGACGCAAGCAAGATCTTTCGCATTTCGCATGCAAGATATTGGCGGGTCAATTGGGGTTGGTGGCCTCTTTTAAAATAATATTATCATTTTGTTTATCCTTGACTCTAAGCAAAGCAAGCTTTGGTACTCTCACTTGCTCCACACTCGCTCAGGGGCGGTTGCCACAGTTTCAGTCCCGGCGCAGTAATGAGCGCTCATTAGTGCTCTTGGAGCACTAATGAGCGCTCATTAGTGCTCCAAGAGCACTAATGAGCGCTCATTAGTGCTCCGAGCACTCATTACTGTTCCGGGACTAATCATCAGTCCTTGACCGTCCGACGTTTTTCACTCAGGATTTAAAAAACTTCAAATTAACACGACTGGAAAAAGCCCTTAAACAATCCCGTAAATCTTCAACAAGCCCTTAAACAAGCCCTTAACAAACGGTCTGCTTGAATGCTTGAGAAGCTCATCAGCACCAGGGTTCGCGAACCGCTTCGATTGGTTACCGGTTATTAACCGGTCATTTCCGGTTATTAACCGGTCATCGATACGATAACCGGTAACCGGTCATATTTATTTTGATTGGTTGAATAACCGATAACCGGTAACCGGAGCTTTTTGACTGGTTGATCGAACGGTTATCGTATACGGTTATTGGTTATTTGACTGGTTACTTGACTGGTTACTTGATAGGTTATTCGATTTTTGACCTTTGCCATTTCCTCTCATAAATTTCCCAACCAATAACCCAAAAGGGGAACCTCTCGCATTTCGGTTATTCGAGTGGTTACTTTACAGGTTATTTCGACTGGTTATTGGTTACTTTACAGGTTATTTCGACTGGTTATTGTTACTTGACTGGTTACATTGACTGGTTATTTCGTCGTCGCCCCACCGTCTTTCGTCCTCAACCATGCCAGTGTGGCGGAGGATCATGAGTTCGCGGCTCAAGGGACCGGCACTAGCAGTGTTTTCTCGGATGAAAACCGAGACAATGCGGATTTTATTGAACGGACACTTTCACCAACAGCTTTTGACCATGCAGATCGTGAGCTCGAACATGGGGGGAGGTGGAACGTGGTTATGGTACCGACAACGAAGACATCTATGGTGCCCCAGCACCCGCAGTTGCGCCAGCAGTCCCAGTGGCACCTGCAGCCGCAGTGGCGCCTGCAGCGCTGCAGCCGCAGTGGCGCCTGCAGCCGCAGTTGCAAAAGCTCCCGCAGTCAGACGAGGTCCCGCAGTTGCACGAGATCCCGCAGTCGGACGACGCCGCCCAGCCGCAGCGGCACGAGTCCGCCCAGCCGTACGAGCACCTGTGGAAGAAAATATTAGGAGGAAGATGAAGATGAAGATGAAATGACGACGACGAAGGCGCTCCTATGAACCCCCACCTGGCACCGATAGGTACACGAGGATGCTGATCAATGCTCTCCGACGCCCAGAAGCAGTCAAGGAAATGACCACAGAGGAACTGGAGTGGACCCCTGAATCCCTCCTCGAGCATGGACAGTACAGCGAGTGAACACAGCTAGCGAACCTTCTACCCTTTCCTTTGCCCATCTGATGATGGGGGTGAAATGTGCAGAGATTGCAACGGTGGACACTATCATCCACAACACCCCGATGATCCTCGGCTTGTGCCAGATACCCAAACAGTGCTCACTGACCTGGCACTCCTGAAGAAACCGGGAGTATATGAGCTGAGAAAATGCGAATCATCTTTTTGTTGGACACATACTACAACATGTGTTGCAAGCGACTCGGGCGCCTTGATGATGTACCGCGCCGAATCCCAACACCAGATGCCGGAGGAACAAGGTGGGGACGAAAGGGCGCATTTGCATTGAGCTGGGCTGAACAGTGTGCTGTATTTTGACGTATCCCGCATGAAGCGTTGGACTATGGCTATGATTCCCTTCGATGCGAGCCAGTGCTACGACAGAATAAACCATGTCCCCGCTATTCTTGCTGCCCGCTCAGTTGGAATCCCACAAACAGCCTTGACTACCGTTTCGGCACATATCAACAGACACGACACTTTGTCTCCACGGCTTATGGGGTCTCTGAACAGTCCTACGGTGGCACCCAACGCACCGAACAGGGTCTTCAACCTATTCAGGGAGTCGGACAAGGCACCGCGATGCAGGAGCTTTTTGGCCATCCTGTCGGCCAATGCATTGACTGTGTTCGAGCTTTGGGCCTTACCGTTGCCTTCATGAGTGTGCTTGCCCCAAGACTTATCAGTCTCATGGCACAGATATTCATTGATGACAACAACCAATGCGTCTCTGCCCAGACCCAGCACTGTACTGGTGAAGATGTCTTCCACGAGCACAAGAGGCAGCAGACACGTGGGAGGGTACATTAAGAGCAACTGGCGGTGCATCAATCAAGAGAAGTCCTACTTCTACCATGTTGGATTACACCTGGGTCCCTTCCCTCCTCAAAGGACATACCGTCCATTGCGGACTTGCCAGGCAACTGTGGGTCCGTGACAAGGACGGCGGACGCAAGCCAATGTCCGAAAAGAGCCTACGGAGGCAGAAAAGTGGCTTGGCTTCTGGCCCGCACCTGATGGAAACTCGACCCAACAAGTCTCCTACTTGAAACAACGGGTGGATGCCTTTACCACAAAGTGCGCACTAGTGGACGATTTCTGAAGACGATGTGTGGCTGGTCACAAATCCACCATCCAAAAAACTTTGGACTACCCCATGAAAGCCATCCGGCTGTCCCTTTCGGAGTGGGATGAGGTCATCGGACCCCTCTGGCAAACGGTACTTCCAAAGTGTGGCATTTCCCGGAACTTCCCCCGTGTTGTCCTGTTTGCACCCCAGAAGTATCAGGGCTTGGGGGAAATCCATCCCTGGCTCAGGCAAGAATTCACGCACATCCAAACTGTATGGGACAAACTTACCTACACAGATACACTGGTCAGCTCCTCGAGATGGAATGGAACAACTCCGAATGGAGCTTGGAACCAACAGACAGCTCAACGGAGCATCCCTACACACCTTCGAATCCTCCACACCGACTGTTTGGATGAAAACTTGTGGAGTCAATGGATGATTTGGCATTATATGGAGGACACCACTGCTAGATTCGCCACACAGCCACCAATGACCGATTCCTATGGATCTTTTCTCTCAGAACGGATACAGTGCCCACACCTCAAGCAGCTGAATGTCATGCGAATGTTCCTAATGTCATCACCGTGGCAATATTGCACAGCGGATTGGAAAACAACTTCGCACCCAATCTTTCAACGGAACCAAAGTCGACCCCACCTTCACCGAATGGAATGCCCCGTCAACCCAAGTCTCTACCCCCGTCGTTGCCTCTCGTCTGGCAGGGTGCTTAAGAGAGTTTCTCATTGAGCAATACGGAGCCCACAGAATCTCGCATTCGGCCCACCTTATACCCGGCCTTTGGAAGGAAGACCCCATTGCAATACAGGGCTCTTGCCTTATTCGCGACTCGATCCTAGATAGGGTTTGAGTTCGACTCATGACTGAGTCTGTGAATAGTCATTGAGACAGGGTTCTCATGACCGCTAGTCACACTAGGTCGATGGTGAAAATCGGCTAGATATTTAGTGGCGTGGAGAGATTCAGCTACTAATAATGCTAAGAATCTTCACGCGTTCCGTTTTTGGATCTTGTAGTGAGTAGATGCTACCGCAACCTACTCTATCACATCTACAGTCTCCCGGGGGGTTCAGATCTACGATCCTTTGATTGTGGATCTCTCTCGTTGATTAGTTTTCATAGCTTTCTAATCTCTCTCATAACTTCATTCTCTCAAACTCAAAAACACTCGAAGATCTTTACACTAGCTTTAGCGTAGTCCATTTTGTTAACAAACACAATAGCTTCAGCTACCCTCAACCTATTCCTCACCATGAAGATTGCCAAAACGCATACACCAGCTTCGAGCCAAGCTGCGTGACAAACAAATCCTTCCTTCATCATCCCTCGATGATGAATGCTAAATCGACGATTCTCGCTCCCACCTACAAACTTCGCAATATTCCAGCAGCATGCTAACAGCCCAAGTACACCTTCAAGGGTCACAAATCATCAATGGGATCTGAGACTCCACGTCAGACCATCAAGTGGGCTGCGTTGGAGAGGTCTTCGTCGGCTCGCCATTCTACGCCCGACGACAACACAACCTCCTCAGGGAGATGACTTTTAGCTCTGCAAGAGCAGTTACGAATCTAGCTGTGCAGGCCACCGTGAAATACGTTGGAGTGCCTTGCGCCAGATTGCAGTCAACGCGATTCTCCTCGCGACATACGGTGCGGTGAAGACGAAGCCCTTTCCAACACGTTTCCAGGCTGCCTGGAACGGAGCAGC